GCGCGCCCACACTGAGCAGCACGCACCCGTCTCCCTTCCAGGACGAGAACGAAAAATCGGGACAGCCACCGCCCGCCGCGCCGCACGCATCGCTGCCGCGCGCGCTGGCCAGGCTGACGACCGCGTTCCCCGCCGCGCCGTCCGGGCTCGCGGACGCGGATGCGGACATGGACGTGCAGGAGCTGATGGAGGCGCACCTGCCGCCGTGGCCGCGCGCGGCGCAGCTGTGCGACCTGTACCTGGAGCAGGCGCCGTGGTTCTTCGGGGCGGTGACGCGGCGGCAGCTCGTCGAGGAGGTGCTGCCGCTGTTCTACGCCGAGGCGGTGGAGTACCGCGCGCACGCGGGCGCGAGCGGCAGCGGGAGCATCGAGGCGGGCGCGCTGAGCAGCTCCGCGGCGGCGTTCGACCTGCAGCGCGCGCCGAACAGCGGGACGGGGACGGCGCACGACCTGGCGCTGCTGTTTGTGACGTTCTGCTTCGGCGCGCTGACGGACGTCGAGCTGCCGCCCGCGCCGCACAACTCGGAGGCGGAGCAGTACTTCCAGCTGACGCGCGCGGCGCTGAACGCGGAGCCGCTGCTCGAGCGGCCGCCGAGCGTCGTGACGGTGCAGACACTGAGCCTGATGGCGATTTACCAGGTGGGTGGAGGCGTATTCTCTGCGCGTGCATTAACATAATTCAGTCGCCATGGGCAGGGCCTGGTTGCGGATGAAAACAGCATCGAGAGCACGTGGGCGCTCATGGGGCTCAGCTCGAAGCTGGCGCAAAGTGTAAGGCATTCGCATTTCCCTCGAGCGATCGCCGTTCTGCAGCTCTCTTCGCTGACGTCGTGATCTGCTCCCCCCCCCTCTCACAGATCGGTCTGCGTAAGTCGTCCATATGAGAAGCTGCCCCGCGTGCGGATGACCGACGATCCCTTCTACGTCTCTGTTCTGTTTCTGTAGATCGTGATTGCGCCCGATGGAAGCTGCCCCCCGCGGAAGTCCAGAAGCGGCGTGCGCTGTTTTGGGAGCTGTTCATCACCGACTGTTGGCAGGTGGGTCCTGTTATGCCGCTGCTGCTGAACCCGCGCTGACCGCCGTTCTTGGCCCAGGCGCTGGCGACAGGACGACTGCCCACGTTCTCGCTGCCTTTCGTCGACACAGAGCTCCCGGCAGACCCCGACGAGACCATCGCGGACGACGGCACTCCTCAGCCTAGCTGTATGTTTCCACCTGCGTTGCTCTTACTCTTTTTATCTTTCTTTCTAATTCATTTGATTCCTGACGCATTCCGGCGCTACTAATAGTCCCGGCGTGGAAAGCAAAGTGGGGCAAGGAGTGCGTCGCCGACGTCGTGCAGGGAACGCTCACCTCGCGCGCACCAAAGTACACCGTCATACTCGACCTGGACCGCAAAATCCGCGACGTGGCGCTCCCGAAGTACGCCATGGGCGCGCCGCCCCAGAACGCGGGGCTTGCGCAGACGATGGCGCACTTCATGCCGATCAACTACCTGCATCTAAGTGAGTCGAACATGCCTCGCGGACACTGGTCGACACCATGCTGACGCTTCTGCGTTCGGACAGCCCTGCTTTATGTCCACCGCTGCTTCTTCGCACAGGCGCTCAGCGACCACCCGACGGACCCGCTCAAGAGCCAGTACGCCCCGTCGTTCCTTGCGGGCTACCGGAGCGCGTGCGCGTTCCTGGGCACCATCCGCGACCAGTTTGCGATCTTCCCTATCCAGATTGCGCGCTTCTGGGTGTTGTGGACCCATGGGTTCTCTTCTGCGGTGAGTACTGAGTGCGCACGGCCCCGCACGCGTGGTGCTGGTCATCTCATTCACATCTATCTCACACGCTGACATGCCAATGCCGTGCCCGTCCTAGGTGATGCTTGCGTCGGTCGTGACACACGGCGGCACGACCAAGACCGCGCAGGCGGCGCTCGGCGAGCTGAGGCTCGCGTATGACCTCTTCGAGAAGGCGGCCAAATACGGCGGCCGCGCCGTCAAGTTCCTGGTGAGCGGCCGTCGTCTCCATAACTCGTCGTCGTCTCCAGCTGACATCTCATGCGTCTCCGCCCTCCGCCCTCCGCCCTCCGTCTTAGCCCATCGTCCGCCGGCTGCACGAGAAGGCGTACCAGACGTTCAGCCAGGGCCTCCCACCCACGCGGGACATCTTTGCGCCGCGCGTCGCGGGCGCGCGGCACGACGAGCTCTCCATCTTCAGCGGGCGCACACACACCGTCGCGACCAAGGCGAACAAGCCCGCGCGGGCGCGTTCGGTCTCGCGACGCCGCCCCGGCGCGAGCTCCTCCGCGTCGCCCATCTCACCCGACTCGACGGGCTCCCCGCCGGTGATGTCGAGCTCCGGCTCGGCGTCGGGCGTGTCGGGGTCGGGCGCTGGTTCGGGGTCGGGGTCGGGCGCGGGTATTGGATCGGGGCGCAACTCTGAGTCGCCCGCGACGGTGGCGGCGGAGGCGTTTCCGAGCCTGGAGTCGTACGGCAGCGCGGTGCACCCGATGCTGGTGGACCAAATGCGCGCGTTCCATGGCGAGCTGGATGCGCAAATCCATAGCGTGCAGGCTTATTATTTGAGCCAAGGCCAGGGCCAGGGCCAGCCCGCACCCGAACCCGCACTCGCACCCGCACTCGCACCCGCACTCGCACCCGCACCCGCACCGCAGGCCGCTGTGACATACCAGCAATTTCAGCAGTATGACAGCGCACCGCACTACGAGGACATGCAGCAGTATGGCGGTCAGCCGCCCTACGGAGGGGTGCAGCAGCCGCACGATGGTCAACAGTATGCCATGCCATCTGAGTACGGTGGTGGTGGTAGCGGCGGCGACGGGGGCTGGTACGTGATGCAGGGGCAGGAGCAGCCACAGCAGGGCCATATGGACATGCCTCCCCCTCCCGCGCACTCGGCTTCTGCCCAGCAGATGCCCGCGTCACAGCTCGTCCCAATTGATCCACACCAGCTGCAGCCGCCCGCGCACCACTCGCAGGCCTACCAGATGTACGATGATGCCCCGTCTCACGGTCAGTCAACCCAACACTACTACCGCTACGGCATGCCCACCCCCATCACTCCCCAATCCGCCACGGAGCACGCCTACCCCAGCCACCCGCCAGCCCAGTCGCAACTCTGGCCCATCCCGCCCGCAGAGCCTGGAGCGCTGGCGTATCCGCCACCCCCTACGGACTATCAACAAGCCCCGGAGCATGTATACCAGCAGCCCTCCAGCCGGAGCCAGAGCCAGAGCCAGAGCCAGAGCCTCAGCCGCCGCCCGAGCATGAACATGCACGCGAGCCAGGGCTACAGCTATGGTCACCAGCCGCAAGTGGTGCAGATGATGCCGCCCCCGCTTGTGCTCCCCGTGCAGCCGGGTGCATACAGTCTGCAAGAGACGTGGACGTCGTTCATGCAGCATGAGCTGCCGACGCCGGTCGCGCCGCCACCCCCCTTTATGCGCCAGTGAAATGTGCGGTCCCTCGGTGGGTCGCCGAGCCCCCTCCCCTCCCGGCTCTTCGTTTGTATGTACACGATTGGATCGTCTCTGTTCACCTCGCTGTGTCGTATGCTTTTCGCTGTCTATACCGGATAACCCGTTTTCGTGCACTTTGCTTATCGACGTCGCTAATCGCTGTATGGATCTCCTGCGGGATTGTAATATTTATATGTTGTTCAGTGCGCACCGTCGTCGTAGGCCAGGTTAATAGGACTACTGAATGCCTTGTCAAAGACGTGGCCGAACTGCAAACGCTGAGCGAGTTCGTCAAAGCAAGCTGCAATGAGTACGACCGGAAAGAAAAGCGGTCCCATGTGGATTATGGATTATGCCACTATCTAAGGTAGTTATGACTCTGAGGCGGCGCTCTCAGCAGCTAATAGATCGCCTTTTAGCCCGCCCATGCTGTCACAGACCTCCATGACATGTTCATGGAACACGTCCGGGAGACCTTCAGGTCGACCTGGCACAAGGATATTTGGGAGCACGCGAGTGTGGAACAACCGGTGCGCAACAGAACCACCCTGGAACGTGTAGAATCGCTGGTCAAATCGCGTACGGAGACCAGATAGCAAATAAGGACACACAAATTGGTGGAAGACACCCCCCACGAGAGCCTCCACCGCAGTGCCCTGTACTTTGTACAGCCCGACACTCCGCGAGGCCTCTGGGCCTAGGCGAGACAACACCGCAACGGGGCCCTCTTGCCTCGCAGTAGGTGTGGAAAGCAGGGGACCGGCCACCGGTGTCCATTTCATGACTTTTCCAAACGACCACAGCGGCGCGACGTGCTCTCCGAGGACGTACGTGTTGAGCGCGCGCTGGGAGATTTGGGAGTAGTCATGCGTTGGGTGCAGCGCGGGGGAGCTGTGTAAGAAGAGGTGGAGGTATGTCTGGAGGATACGTCTGCCTGGGTCTCGACTAAGTATCACACCGCGTTGAATCAGCTCGGAGGTCATACCTATAAAGCTGAGTCGTGCGTTATGTCTGTAGATGGCGTCGGGATGGCTGGTGTGCGTCAGGATGCGGGCAGCAAGTTCTGGGGGAAACTTGAGAGGTGGGAACAGAGAGTTCAGGTGTTGCTCCATATCCATTTGGGCGACATCCGTGTGCAGGGCTCGCAGCGAGCCCTTTTGCGCATCCACTAGGCATGCTGGCCGCGAGGATCGTCGTGTCGAACCCGACGCTTGCTGGATGTCGGAGAACGCGCGCGTTTGTGCTCCCCATCCTGTATAATGCAACTTGAGCACAACCCATGAACAGATGCGCTGCCTATATACCTGGAGCAATGCGTCGGCAGTGTCGCCCCGCGTGCCGCGGTGTTGAGAAGATCCAACTTTTTGACATGGCACCGGGGATCTTCGCAAACGAGGCAAGGAAGTACGAGTCAGCCCGCAGCCAGCAGCAAGCCTCTGGACGCGTGAACGATTGGCGAGGAAACGAAGTGACTTGGTGGAAAGCAAGCCTCAGCTCACTGGCAGCTGAGCGACAGTATTTGAGCCGAGTCGATCTGGATCCCGTGATCGAGTGAACTGGATCGACCCGCGACCTCCGTACTATGTCGTTCTTCGCCCCGTGCTCGTCCTCCGCTCGCACCTTCTCCTGCCGTGGCTGGATAGCTTTGGGAAGTACTGGGCATGCATGATTTCACCAGGGAAGAGATTCTGTCGGTCTTAGCAGGACTGGGCATCGAGCTTCCCCCTGCGACCAAGCTTCCTCACGAAGCTCTGCAGAAGCGTCTCAAACAAAGCTTACTTGCAGCTCAGTCTTTCTTCAACGTCCTACCGGCTCCCCCTGTCGATCCTAAATCTCTCACCGAATGGCCATTGCCAGAGCACGAACCTGATAACACTGTTCTCGAGGCGATCAAACGGTCTAACCTCGCTGAAATCAGCGCAAACATCCAAGCGATGCGTCGCGGCGAGCATGTGGCGCCGGAGATCTTCGTCAATCCTGTATCGGACTTGAGGCAAACACTTATGGGGATTGCCAGTGTGTGGGATAAGGGGCTTAGATGGTGCGTCATTAACGATCTCGAGTCTCAAGTCTGTACCATCAGTCTCAGAGTGCGTGATATCAGTAGACAACGTATTCGAGTGCTCTGCAATCTCTCACCTTGCGAACCGCAGATCCTATCAATCCACGCGCTGAATTCGCAGACACCTCTCATCGTCGTCCTGTATCGCGCATTCACTATTGCCGATGCACCTGCTGGTGTTGAGTGGGCCCAGGCGCAATTGCAGAAGAGCTTGGCTTCCACGATCAAGGCGACAGTACTGGAACAGAAACTCATTCTTAAGCTGCTGGGGCTGAACTCCAAGTATCTCTCCCATAATTATGCGCCGGGGAAAACCCCTTTGGAGACGGACTTTACGCCGTCGTTCTTTCTTCCGGTCGGGCCTCTCGGCTTTGCAGATATAGGAAAGCTCAACGCAGACACAGGATGCTTCCTGTGTGGCAAGAAAGCGGCCAGTCGGTGCTCGCAGTGTCAATCTGTCTCATATTGTGGGCCAGGTCAGTCCGTCCTTGAAGCAGCCGACATGTCCTGATACCCACACGTGCAGAGTGCCAACATGCGGATTGGCCCAACCATAAACATACATGCCGCTCACTCAAGGGCGGTTCCTGGCGCACGATTCCGTTCACGCGCGTCATGCCCGGTCATGAGGGGAGCTATAGTGCCTATCTAAACCGTTTCCATAGCGCCACCAATTTTGGCTCTGTCCGCGACCCTGCGAACGACTCAATCCCCCCACCCAATATCCATGGCGACAAGGTCTTCCTCGTCAAGCTGCAGCTCGGGGTGTCATCTGGGATGCCAAACATGATGATCTATGACAGGCAACAGTCGTTCAACGATTCCGTATTCTTCGTGAAGGACGTCAACCCGCAGCTTTTCGAGGAAGTGCAAGCAGAGATGTCGGGCCCACGCAGTGGGTATCGGGGGCTGAAGATGTACCGATTTGCGAAACGCCTCAGCGACTGGGAGCTCAGCATTTGCCTGGATAGAAAACCTCAAGGTGAGATCAAATGGTGATCAAGCGGTTTTTGGGCAGTTTCTCAAAGGCCAGGGTGGACCGGGGGTGACACTCGAATGATCCCATAATGGTAGGACAGGGTTTCCTGCGGTGGGCATCCTTCGCGCACGTATTACAACTGTACATTTTGGTCTAAATCAATGGTGAATCGAACCGATCGACGCTCAGTGATCAATTTGATCGCCCAATTTGTCTTCGCTGCCCGTTCACGTTCTACTTTCATTTGGCCGCGCGCTGCATTGCTGCAGGCACAGAAGATCTGCTCCAGCAATTTTTGCCTATATTAATCCAGAGTCTGCAGATCTGTAATCAACATGGAGCCCCTGAAGAGACAAGAAATCCTCTCGATTCTAACCAAGCTCGGCGTCGAACTTCCTCCCGCGACGAGATTACCAGATGAAGCCCTGAAGAAGCGTCTCCAGCAAGGTTTTCAGGCAGCGCAGTCTTCTTCGAGAGTACTTCAGACAGCCCCTATCAACCCGATGGTTCTCCCTGCTTGGCAAGGAGCCGACAAATCTGTCCACGAGGCAATCAAGAGGGTAAACTTCTCGAAGGCGTACACAAATTACCAGAGAATGCGCAGAGGACAGGATATCACGCCCGAACTCTTCGTCAATCCTGTCATGGACTTAGACAAACGCTCATGTCGATCACCGCTGCGTGGGATCAAGGCCATCGATGGTGTGTCATTCAAGACCCAGCCTCTGAGAGCTATGCTATCAATATCCGAGTACGTGCGAACGTGCGTTATGAAGGAGAGGCTCTAGAAATCTGACGATACGTCGATCTCAGATGTTGTCGGTTCAGAAACTGGATTCAGAGACACCACTCATAGTAGTCCTATATCACTCGGTAACCAAGGAAAATATCCTTTCCGGTGTTCAATGGCTACAGGCCCAGATGGACAAAAGAGGTCCTTCCGTTGAGATCAAAGCCACGGAGCTCGAGCAAAAGCTGATACTGAAGTTGCTGGCCCTGAATTCCAAGTACCTCTCGAACGATTATAAGCCAGATAGAGAGCCTGCAGAACCGGCATATAAGCTGTCATTCTTCCTTCCTGTCGGGCCCCTCAGTCTTGAAGATATCGGGAAGCTAAACGCGGACACAGGATGTGCCTTGTGCGGCAGAAGGACGAGCAGCCGGTGTTCACAATGCCAGTCTGTCTCCTACTGTGGAAAAGGTACGCACTATCATGGCAATGACTGTCTACACGCTAATTTGGCTGCGCAGAGTGCCAGCGAGCGGACTGGCCCAGCCACAAGCATACATGCCGCTCACTCAAAGGCGGTACCTGGCGCGCGCTCCCTTTCTCTCGGACGATACCTGGGATGGAGTGAATGTATAGCAGCACTTTCAACCGCTTCGACGGCCCGACCAATCTCGACTCCGTTGGTATCAACGGTCCGGCGAGTTACTCGAGCGTGCCCGCCAACATCCACGGCGAGAAGGTCTTCCTCGTCAAGCTGCAAATTGGTCTATCTCTCGATGCAATGGACGTCATGATCTACGACCGACAGCGATCGTTCGGCGAAGTGTACTTTGCCAAAAACGAGGACGCGCAACTCTTTGCAGACATGAAAGCGGAGATGCGGGGCCCTCGTGGCGGCTTTAAAGGCGTGAAAATGTATCGGTATGCCAAGCGGGTCAGCGATTGGAAATTGAACCTCTGTCTGGACAGAGCCACTTACCGAGATCAAGTGGTAGGTGCGAGGTAAGTCAGCTCGGCTTACGCTCGTCTAAGGATTCTGATCTAGAGTTGACGCAAGATTGTCGCGCGTTCCATCGGAGGCAATCCGAGTACTATGCAATTCGAAGCGGCCCCCAGTGTCCTGTCCCCATGTGTTTATAATGTGTATGTCTCTTACCCTGCTGTCTTCATGTCAACAAGGTACTGTGTATGATTCCTTTCGCTTGAAGAAGGGGCGACCCATGGGCACGCACCAGTTGGCCTCTATCCGGCGCGAATTTGACGACACCATCTCGCAGTAAGCCCAATGTTTGAGGGCATCTCTTGATTTCCAGCGCGTGATCCAGGTCGACGCCATCCTTTTTACCACATCCCCAATAGGACCTGCCACCTTTCGAGAAACTTGGCGGTGCATTTGTCAGCCCAGTGTTTACAACATGCGATGCACCTCTCCCTTGTTCGATGGCTAAGGACAGCCATCTAATCTGTTCCGATAGATGTGTGACCGACTCGAGCGCGACTGCTGTAGGATCCAGAGTATACACCCTAGCTTTCTTCTTTTTGCCCTTACGACGACTACCTGACGAATCTGATGAGCTCGAACCCTCGTCAAACGACTCACCTTCATCATCATCGGAGCTATCCGACTCCTCCTCTTCAGACTCTGGATCATAATCGAGGTTCTCCGTACTGAACTACTCGCGTGCCGCCTGAATAAGTTGTGCCATCGTCGCCGGATCGACAACAGTTAGCCTCTTCCCTTTCACTTGTTCGAGCGTGCCGACGATTCCTTTCCGGATATTCTCAGTTAGGCCTTTGACAAATAGCACATCACGCTCCGACTCTGACATCAGCGCTCGTGGCACCAAGTCGCCCATCTTCTTACCAAATGCGATTGCATATTTATTCACCGCACGACGAGTACGCACCTTCTTCTCCCGCCTCATCTTGTCTGAGAATTGTCGCAAGCCGACTACAGTCACCCGATCATTACCTTTATCTGCGCAATACAGCCTCATTTCCTTCTTCGCTGCATCTCAATCGTTACTTCTGAATGCGATATTTTGCTCCAGGAGCTCTTTAACCGACGTAGAGCAATAGTTCAGCACTCCAAAGGGTAACTCTTGCTCCTTGATGCCGGCGCGCTTTGCCATCCTTTCGAAATGAGTGAGAAATGATTCTAGCTTCTTACCTTTGAATCTCAAGGCTTGCTTCGAGCCCAGAAACGGCATTGATGCAATCGTAGTAGGCATCTTCTCTGCGAGTAACTGCTGGATTTCTTGTAATGTCACGAGGTTCGATGGATTCTGTAGGTTTGTTCCTGAACGTGATTGACTAGGTGAACCCGGCCTCGAAGCTGTCATTGACGGAGTCTGCCAGCCTGATGGTCGCATTTTGAGGCGCATGCGTCTGCGATGTGTCTTCGGTTGCAGTATCGACGGCGTCGATGAACTAACAAGTGTGTCAGTCCAAACGGAGAACTTCTGTACTTACCTTGGTATGGTCAATACCTGTGGGAGGCTCTTTTGCAGCTGTCGTCCAAAGAAGGTCGGAGGATGTCAAAGCCTGTGATGGCTAGCTAGAATAAAAACAAACTCAAGTACGGCCTAGGATCTGACAATGTCAATGCGCAATATTCGAGAATTCGAGAATCCACTGTTTTGTGAAACAACGGATACCGCACTCGAGTCGTTGTGCTGGAGCTCGATATATGCGCGATATAACGTTGCGCGTATCGATAAAAAGACTACGCGATACTAGAGGACATTACAGCGAATACGATACTCAAATCACGTCCGTTGAATGAAGGCTCACCAGGTACGTGCGACGTTTGAGTCGCTTGTCCGCATCTGTTCGCGAGGAGAAGATGAAGGCTGCAGGGGAAAGAGAAAGCGTATTTCTCGGCGTCGAAGCCGGATTATAACCTGTACAAGCCCGAGAACGCCGATGACGTCTGAGGAACTTGACATAGAGTGAGGCAAACGGAAAGAGCAAAACACAACAGAACCCTAACTAAGTAAGATGCATACCGACGACCGTCGCCCCTGGCACAGTCTTGGCCTGTCCGCTCCTGATGTCGACGGCGTCTACTTACGGTGCCTCCGTATTCCCATACAGTGGCACATTCCCACAGGCAAAGGAGCTGACCCAGGTGGGCATTGGACGCGGCGTAGGGATGTTCGTGGATGCTGCGAGACGCACGATCCGCGTCGGCCTTGACGTGATCGAGATCCATGATGCTCCTTGCGTCATCGGCCCGGACGAATACGGCGGCAGAGAATCCTATCCACTTGCTCATCGATGTCACCGACGCTACCCGCGCAGTCATTCTGTTTACTATGCCGCTCGTTTTTCGGCAGGTATCTGCAACGTCTTCTACTCTGATGTGTCTTCAAGCTGATGCAGATGGTGGAGCATGCATTAGAATCAGGCGTCCGATGCTTATGCAGCAGGGATAGACGCATGTTTTCCAAATACTTATGGGCTGTATATCACAAGTGCCATTAGTAGCCGACCTGCGTAAATATTGATCGTTACCTCGAGGAAACCGTTGCCGCCATCAGTACACACAGAGAACAGCACGTGCAAATACATTGTATGAGTTTACTATGGGCACCCAGAAATGCGTTCATAAAGATACATCAGCGAAGACCGGACGATGGTCGCTGGCAAGGATACCATCGTCCGTCAGAGACGACCCCACTTTATGCGCATTCGCCCTCCTGAAAAAACAACAGTCAGAGAGGACATCACCGTAGAATCTACACGCCTACCATCCGCCATTGCTGCCGCCGAACACAAAGTCGATGCGGGTGAACACAGAGTGATCGTTCGGCCTATTGAACCCCGTAAAGGTCGCGAAGTCGCCCCAGACACGCAGCTTCGGCGTCTCCACCTTGAGGTCCTGCATCACGAAATCAGGCAGCGCGTCCTCCGGCACCGCATACTTCTTGGCGAACGCGGGGTCGACAGGAATCGGGCGCTGCTTGCCCGTGATTATCTGGTACGCACCCGAGTCGTAGCCCGTCGCAGCGCTGTTGAAGTCGCCGGTAACGAAGACGGGCCCGCCAGTCGTGTAGGCCTCGTAGCGCGCGCGGATGAGCAGGAGCGAAGCAGCGAGACGGCGCTGGATGTCGGAGCGGTCGTCGAGGTGCGTGTTGAGCAGCGTGAAGGCTTGTGGTGAGGAGGCGAGAGACGATTTTGCGTTGAAGCGGACGACCTCGCATACCCGGTGGGAGCCTGCGCCCGGGAATCGAGAAGGTTCGAAGGGGGTGTGGCTATTCCATGCTCCAGGTCGGTGAAGGACATCTGATGCCAATGAGTTATACGTACGAGAGCCAGAAGGATTCCTTCTCCACTAATGTAAGTTCGGTCCTGTAGGCCGAGATGGTTGTGTCAGAGATATACAAAATAAGTGAACGATTAAAGCGCCACCCTACATACGTCTTGTAAAAGATTGGGCAGAATTCGCCCGCCTCAGCTCCGTCGTCGCGTCCCACGCCTACCTAGAATAGCGATGTGAGTCATCGTAGGCATTTGACAAACGGTTAGGATCCTTACCCACGCCCATTCATCCCCAAGCAGCTGTGCTAGATCCCTGACTTGTCTGACCAGCGCTTCTTGGAATCCTGCAGCAGCAGAGAAATATCTAGAATCCGACAGCTGACCCCGAATGGATGGCGTAGAACGAACCAATAATAGTGGGATTCTCGCTGAGCAGATGCTGCGCGACTTTCATTCTTCTAGTACTCCATGGCTGTTCTCCGCTCCTCGCTAAATAATGAGGTTCTTCCAGCGGACCCGGAAGCACTTCCAGAGACTGTTGCACAGTAATATTGTCCGGCTGCGAGTCGTAGCGGAGGTTGTACGTCGCTATGCGGAGCTGCATCCTGGGGCTGGGCTTGTACAAGACGTGGCCTGCTCGAAAGAACAGGATTACGGCTGCGATCAGAACGGCAGTGAACGTCATCATTGGCATGTCTAGCGACCCTTTCGAGGAACCAGTGTCTCAGTACTCGATCGCAAAAATCAGGGGTGCGCTTTATGCCGCACAACAAGTTCGAATAACAACGGAAGTCTGAAGGCTTGAGACGAGGTGTAGATACATATCATGAACATAGATGATTCAATAAAGAATGCGCGCTCGGAATAAGTGTATGTCAGGCTGACGCAGCATTGCGGTTGGTTGGTGTTCTCAAGCTGGCTGCAGACGCCATAGATGCACGTAGGTACCACTAGCAGATGAGTCGCAGAACGCACCTTCGAAGAATATGTCCCTTTACGTGGCTGCAGCAGCAAGATCTAAAGATCTAAGGGTGGGTTGTAGTCAGTGTCAAGTCAGTCTCCATCCATTCACGTTACATACCACGTCGAAGCAGTGGGGTATGCTTGAGAACCGTCAACCTGAGCCCGGGGAAAACACTCTATGTTGTATGTCTTGTACAGGATGAAAACGAACGCTGCCAAGTTAAGCGAGCCGCGGTCAGGTGGCGCGGTGGAAGGCCTTGGGTACACCAAGCAGGCAGTACAGCATCGATGAATCGAACGTGCTTGCCGTATCACCCTAGCGGTGCCGCCTTGGTCAACAAAGAACGTGGTTATCGGGCGCCCCGCCCCCAACAAGGGATTTCCGTGCACTCAAGTACTCGTGACGCTCGAACTACTCGACCGAGAAATAGTCGAGCAAAAATCCAAGCATATGAAGATCAAGTGAGCTACGAGGACTACGCGACTAGTTATTGACATCTTAGGCATCTGCTCTCAAATATCTCTCGAGAATCAAGCACTGGCAAACTCCATCGCGAATTCCTCCATTGCGTCCAGGGTCTCGGCCAAATGAACCGAGCTCAGCTTCTCCCCACGACTCACAGCTAACGAGTGTGCTGTCCGAACTGCGTTCTTGATCTGACGGCCGTTGATGTCGCGCTCAGCAAGCTCCTCCAGCCGGTCATCAACAGGCTCTGCACCAGCCTTGAGAAGGAACGACCGCCAAATCTGAACTTTGGCGGACTTCGACAGCCCTTTGAAGTTCAGGGCTACGTGAATCCGAGACAGGAATGCGGGATCAAATGTCTTGACGCGGTTAGTGGTCAGGAAGAGGATGCCGGTGTAGTATTCGATGTTTCGCAAACTGTCGTGGAAGGCGGGCGGTCAGCGCGAGACGGCAATTCGTGCAAGATGACTCACAAGACAGCGACCATAGCATTCCGCTCTTGATCATTCAACGATCGTTCTTCGAGGAAGACATCGGCCTATTTATCCCATGAGCGTCATGAGTATTTGCGGGAGAAAGCCGAGGCAACTAGCCCAACCTCGTCGATCAACATCACCGCCTTCCAGGTCGACGCCATCTTAAAAAGTCGCTGCAGCTTGACGTCGAGATCACGCGCGGTTGTGCCGAGGTCACCAGCGCTGACAGCGAGCAACGGGCACCTGATGTGCTCACTGGTCGCCTCGGCCGACAGTGTCTTGCCCACGCCAGGAGGCCCGAAGAGGTTGATGACCAGTCCCTGACCTTTCCCCGGGACGAAGTCGTCGGGGCCTATTCTGGCCATGTGGACCTCCACAAGTGAGCGGAGAAGTGCCTTGCGACTGCCGGGGAGCACGAGGTTGGCGAAGACCTCATCGTTCCAGGTGATGGATTGGAGACGATCAATGCTGAACACGACTGTAAACATAGCTATAAGCCATTGATCGTTTTACAGACGGGACTGTGCGCACGCCATTTCTTTTCCAACAGAGCGAACCCGTAGACAATGGGTGGGGCGAGTAAGAGGTCGTCATCTTGCAGTGCGGGCTCGATGACCTTAAACGTCGAGATGATCTGTATCGAAGGTCCCAAGATTGGGTTGAGATCGTGATATGCAGCTGTAGCCACTCGTGAGCACTAGTGTGTACTTGACTATAACAGACACACTTTTGTCGATCACAACTCGAGAATCAACCTAAAGCGCCACACAGTGTCAGGATCACGTCATCAGAGTCGGGGAGACTCGAACATTATAATTGACAGAGCACTTCTCTCTGCCGGCGATAGTACACTCCGCAGCTATACCTTTGTAGTGGAGATGGTGTGACCCGTTCAGCTCCCGCCACCTGCGACCGCGCGCGGTCAAAGATGCTCTCAGAGCTTTCTCATCGGGATGGTACTGAATAGGGTACGCCGAAAGGGTGTTGATCTTAACGACGCCCTGGAACGCGTTCACAGAGATTGCCTCCGCGACGGTACCATACACCAGTCCATCCTGAGTGCCGGCGACACCTTTCTTGACAGAGTTGAGGCGAATCGAGTGCATGGATTCTATGTAGCGATAGGTCAGAATGTACGAGATCCCGCGTTGCACGGACTCAAGCTGCACGGCGTGCGCATGGCCCGAGATGGGACACTTGATGATGAGGATACTCTTCGGGACGAATATAGCATACAGGAGGTCAAACGTGATCTCGTCGTGTGCAGTTAGGTTAGCAATGCGCCCGAGGGTGCTGCCGTGGTCGGCACGCAAGTAGTTGAAAACGGAATCGACTGTCGCGCACGCGATGTTGTCCGCCTCCGACGGATGGTCGCTGCTCAGCCCAGCTCGATACTCGAGCAGCTTGGGGTAAAATGTAATGAACAGATCTGGAGATAGCTGAAGGGGGGCAATTATGCGGGATTTTCATCTAAGTGCAGATGACACACCTGCAGAGGCTCGTCGGACCACGACACACCCTTTATAAATTGCATGACATCCCTGCAGATTGCCCGAAGCACAGGGCTTTTGACGACAATATGGAATGTCGGCTCCGCTCCGTGTTTGATAGGAATCGTACGAATTACCACGAAGCAGAACGAACGCCACGGGTCATTATCTGGTGGAATCGTTGCGGGGCGCGATAGCAAACTCGTGTCGCGATATGCCCATTGCCGCGTCTGAGTGCTGCAGTAATAGTCAACGTGCTTGACCTCAAGGGTAGGTGCCGTTGTGGACGCGACAGGGGTCGTTGCTGTGATGATGGATTGAGAGTCTGTGCCGCTGGAAGTATCTCCTTCTGATACCTCGTCTTGACTAACTTTGAGTGAGGTGTGCTGGTTCCAAGGAAACGGGAACAAAGACATCTCGTCGAGCCTCACGCGTGCGGGGTACGAATGGGTGATCAATCTCACAAGTGCTCACTTTTAAAATGCGCAAGCAGGATTCCGCGGTCTGCCAAGTACGACAGATGGACAAATTCATGTCAAAGTACACGCAGTTGCGGTGCAAACCCTAGGAGAGCGTGTACAGATCTGTCGTATGCGCGTGCTACCATTTGGCGTCAGGTCATTTGCTCACAGTGCGTGATGTCTGAATGTAGCTGTGAACTGTCCTTGCTTCCAAAGCTCAACAGCTCTTAACCGTACTTTGAAGCCTTTCCAGTCGCTGTGCACGGAACCTGTCTCGGAACAGCATAACATAATAGAGAAAGAGAGGCAAAAAGTCAACGTTTCCATAGTACTTTACGGTAGCGACAGAGAGGCAGAGAAGTGACCGTGAGAACTTATGACACAAACTATACAGCAAGCCCTCGGCAAATGCCGGGTGGCTGCATTCACCACGAGCCAACCACTGTGTCCTAATATCCGGTAAGGAAATCCCGCCCGCCTCCTCCGTTCTCGCAAGTCCTCAAGATGCCCCGAGGTATGTCACGACGGTATTCAGATCGTGTAAGGTCTTGCTGAAGTGCTGCTGCGGCAGTTTATAAGCCTGGCAAGGTGAGACTTCGCGTTTGATCCCGTCCTAGAAGCTTCGTGCTGAGTGTGACGCCAGGTCGCTATCGTCCTCCAGGGACGCCAGGCAGGCAAGAAAGTCATCGTCATCAAGCAGCTTGATGAGGGTACCAAGGAGCGACCATACCCCCACGCGATTGTTGCCGGCATCGAGCGCTACCCTTTGAAGGTGACGAAGCGCATGGGCACGAAGAAGCTAGCGAAGCGGAGCAAAATCAAGCCTTTTATCAAGGTGCGCATGTCGTATCCACGTCTACTGGCGTCCTGGGATCTCATATCGAGTGCTGGTACGGTAGGTCGTCAACTACTCGCACCTTTTCCCCACACGTTATGCGCTTGAGCTGGAGGGTCTGAAGGGCACGGTCTCGTCGGATACATTCAAGGAGCCCTCACAACGGGAGGACTCGAAGAAGCAGATCAAGAAGCTGCTTGAGGACCGCTACACGAGTGGGAAGAACAAGTGGTTCTTCCAGCCCCTTCGCGTACGTCAACCTATCTCATGGTTTGGTCCAATTAACCACTCACATGAGCACTCCAGTTCTAGGCACATTTGTCGGTTGTCACGCTGTTTGGGGAGACTGCAAAACCGCTACATGTACTACATGTCCACCATGACGCATGCTCTGCATCCTGTTTTCCCGTATTTCCTCCGGTTCTATGCAACACATAATGCACTGTAACTGGCTGATGTGTGTGCCCGAAATGCTTGTCTGCAGAGGAATGGACAGGTCAGACGTTGCATGGGACATGGTACATGATTGATGAAGTCTTCTCACTGATTGCAAAAAGTTACGCCCTCTGTCAATGTCATTGATTCTACTCATTTACCCGCTGCATTTGACTACAAGCTTTCCAACCGTGTTGCTATTTGGGTCTGAAACAGATCACCCCTGGTACTTGATATCGCGACTGTAACTGCGTTTCTCACCAGGCTGTGCTGTGAGTGATGAGACAAGGTGCAACCTTTAACGTCGCTAAGAAAATTGGTCACTCGAGCCTCGACAGTTTCCCGCTCCGAGGCACGATGTCAATTGAGCTCGCTGTGTTCCTGACCCGTGTTTACATGGCATAAAATAAGCATGTTCATCAATGAATGCTATGCATCAAAAGGATTGACCCGCAACCTAGGCACGTCCGGAACAGGAGACTGATCCATGGTTTCACCTCGACGGTCAAAATATCGACGGGGATTTATGGTCGCGTAAACTAAGCAAATACTCGAAGCTATCATTTCTCGCACTGCCTTCGACTGGGAGACTGGGTTCAAGTCATTCTGTTCATCGGACTCAGGGGCAAACCACCGCATTACATCCTCAAACATACCGACTCCGCCGAGATATCATGGCCGCCGAAATCATAACCCGCTTCGTTTCTCTCCTGCTGATCTCCGCATCCTACTCAGGAGGCTGGAGACCGCCAAGTCTAGTGATGCGTGTCTGAACCCCTAGGTGTAATATGAATAAATGCACCCCGCCAATCGTTGCCCCCCTGTCTCTTCTAACTAGGCAACATCCCCACTGTTAGCGTAAGCTTGTTATAATGTTCGCCACCGTCGCATTCAGTTCTCTCTCTTCTTTCCTTTTATTTAACGCTGTCTACGCGGCGGATGGCCCGACCTTGCAGACCAGGGGTGTTATTCAGACGTTCTCCGTCTGTGAGGAGATCGGAAAGGCGGTTTCTTCTCAGTCTGCTGTGTTCTATCCTCGTACGTGCTAGTGAAATCATTTATCTTTGTGAGGTTTCACGCCGGCGTTGTAGTTCAATCATCCTACACTGGGGACATAGAGCACTATATGTCCTCTAGTTCACAACTATCCACCTGCTCTGTCGAGCCTGGAGCACCAGAAGATGTCGGCGCCGTTGTATGTTTCTTTCCACATGATTATAGCCATTCTCTCAACTTCAGGCGTGCAGCTGCAAATATTAGGCAAGACAAACACACCCTTCGCGGTACATACTCCTTTCGTATTTTGCTAGTTCGTTCTCACCCAGGCTGCGTAGGTGAAAGGGGGTGGCCATGCGTCCAACCCAGGATTCTCGTCTACCGCTGGAGTCCAGATCACCATGTCGCGGTTCAGCGGTGTGACGTACCACTCAGACTCGCAGACTGTAGACATCGGCTCCGGTCTAATCTGGGACGACGTCTACGCGGCACTCGAGCCGTATGGCGTGAATGTGGTCGGCGGACGAGTCACCGGGGTGGGTGTTGCTGGCTTCACCCTCGGTGGAGGTAGGTATAATAGTGGCATCCATGTTGTGCTCGCTGATGAGATTCCCCGCGTAAAAGGGTTTTCCTTCTTGTCCAACCAGTATGGATTAACTGTAGATACAGTGATGGCCTACCAGCTCGTGCTCCCAAACGGCACTATCAGCGATATCACTGCTTCTTCGAATCCTGATTTATTCTTTGCACTGAAGGTGAGGCCTTTTCTCCCTTATAGGTCGACATATCATACTCATACGGTCTCGCAGGGTGGCTTCAACAATTTCGTGAGTCTTACCAGTGGGAAGCATACGACTCCGTCTGACCGTAACAAATTAGGGTATTGTGACGCAGTTCACCCTGAAGACGTTCCCTCAGGGCCAAGTCTGGGTGAGTATTACTTGTCTCTACTTTGCCTCCTCTTCATTTGTATTGAGATCTAGGGTGGGACCATCTTGGCGTTGGGGGAATTCGACAAAATCGCTACAGCTACGGCCAATTTCTATGCCAACGTTACAGACCCCAAAGCCTCTATTATCTCCACCTTCAATTGGGATCTTGGCATTGTACGTGGGCATTTGTGGATCGGACGGACCATTAGTGTCTCACGTCTTCCTATATAGCATCTCGGGCAAGTCAGCCTTTTTTATGACGGATCCTCCCCACCAGATGGAATGTTCGACGAGTTCATGGCAATCCCTGCCGTGAGCCAGGACATTTCCTCGCGTTCGTTCTTGTCGCTAGTCCTGAGCTCGGTCAGTAATGAAACTTCCGGCCTTCGGTATGTCTCACCAACCCTCGGAAGTCATACGTTCCAGCCTAAGTACTCAAACTTTTGCAGAGGCTACTTCGATACTGTTTCACTGTATGACATCACGCCCTCGATGCTGACTGCTGTATCGAACGAGACTACGGTGTGTTCGCATGCTGTATGTCTGTAAACGGCCTCTGACATGGTTCCAAACAGTACTGGGCAAGCCAACTGGCCTGGGAAGTGCCTGGTCTCTTCCTCAGCTATGACATCGAGCCATTCCTCCCCAGCATGCTCTCCCACGGCTCAGACTCGGCCTGGCCCCCGAAACGCGACAGAGCCATCCTGCCAATGAACATATACTACGCATGGGACTTATCTCTATCCGATACGAAAATGGGGGACACGATGCGGACGAGCTCGAGCCATCTGACTGAGCTAGCTGTGCTTGGGGGCCAGGATGTCACCGACGCGCCGCTGTATCCCAACTATGCTCTGTACGGAACGCCGCTGTCGCGAATGTATGGCGACAATTTGCCTCGGCTGCAGGCAATCAAGGCGCAATACGATCCAAACAACGTTATGGGCCTTGCTGGAGGCTGGAAGTTTTGAGTTTTCTCCAGGACTTGGTGTTTTGCATATGGCTTGACGATCATTTACCACAATCTTTGTTGGATTTGTTTGGACGATATCAGTTATTTATTTCACTTGACTTATGAACCGTTATGTCATCCAATTCCACTTTGGGGCAAAGTCGCAATAAATGGCCCAACACCGCTGAAGTTCGGAGCTCTTCTTGGGACCTCGACTTCCTCCCTGCGACTGATAACCGCTTTTTTTCACAACCAGCAGATGCGTGACGTTGCGTGCTATACCTCGAGCTGCGGTGTATACTCCTGAGTCCAAGGCTCCTGCATCACTAGCAAATCGGGGGTGTTACTCTCAAGAGGGCTTGAAGCTGTGAGGAGAACGCGGTACAGGCATCAAGTCTCTTGATGAAGATGCCGGACATCTCGAGGCATTGCACTTGTAAATCATCAAGACACCATATTATGGCCACGCGCATAACATGCTGCTCACCCTCATGCCCCGGGCATGCGTTAGATGCGTGTTTTCATCGAGACCTTGGCCATATATCCGTCGCATGAAGGCTGAGCGAAGCCTACAGTCCCTTGCACATTGTGATCGCTCTTACGTTTGACAATGGTCATGAAGTCCACTAGCTCATCTTTGCCGACGACCCCCGCGCTCCAAATCACAATTCCAGACGCATACCCTCCTCCGCCTGCTCATTCGGTCTCATATCCGCAGACGACCCCCGCGTTACAAATCACAATTCCAGATGGATACCCTCCACAGCCTGCTCACTTGGTATCGTCTCCGTCGTCTTCTCCCGCGAATTCCAGCTGGGCTCATCCATATCCGTCCTCACGCGAGCAGTCGTCTACGTTACCCTCGCCTGTGTCGCCTCCCAAGCTCGTAGAGGCGTCTGCCCAACCACACCTAGATGCCCATGATCAGCGGGATAGTGAAGCTACGCAGGACGCCGCTTTATCCACCCAGGAGGTTCAGCTAGCTGAACCTCAGATGACACGGGGCTCGCTCATCTTCCCAGCCTTTCGTTGTGGGGAACCGTCTTCTCCTGGCGTCGCTTCACTCGTTGAACTGGCCATAAACACCCCGTCCAGGACAGACTTGATGGGTGAAATATTCCGTGCGCCCAGTCCTGTTTTTCCCTCTCCTCTACCCTCCATCGATCTGCCACCGCATGCTCGTGCCCGTGGCTGTCGTCGCAGTCTTCTCAGCATTTCCACGAAGCCTATCTCTCCACCACAAAGCCCTCCTTCTGCAACAGCACTATCGTCTCCAATCATGGCATCGGTAAACCCCAAGCCATCTAATGCAGCTGCAGGGCCTAGTCGGAAGTCCTCCAGTGCTTCAAAGGCATCTTCAAGCTCCAGTCAGCGAAGCTACCATGCCAAATTCTACTTGAGAGACGAGATGCTAGTGCTAGACGTTGGTGTTGTTTCCTTATATACCGTAACTGCGACTGATGTGCCTTATACAACAGGTCGAGGGCTTGTTATACAAAGTTCATCGCCATCTGCTGGAACGGAACTCAGATTTCTTTTGCAACCTGTTGAAGGGCCAGCTGAGCCAAGATCGAGTTATGGGCGGCTCGGATGACACTGCCATCTCGCTTCCTGACGTGACACGGCGCGAATTTGACTGCTTGCTTGACTTCCTTTACAACCGGTACGCGAACAATTTCCTGTCATACCACATGATCAAATTGACCAGCTGCGTGGGGCAGAGTGTTTGATGATAATGATGCTGTGTCGCTCGAGGAATGGACTACCCTCCTCGATGTGTCAACGCGGCTGCGATTCTCCAAGATCCGCACTCGCGCTATCCGCGAGATCACTGCTCAGCGCCAGTCGTTGAGCGCGGTGGAGATTATCGTACTCGCGATTAGACACGATGTCCCGGGCTGGTTGGCACAGGCATACGCAGACCTGTGCCGTCGCCCGTACCCTCTGGACGAGCTCGAGGCGGAGCGATTGGGCGCGCGCATCACTGCTCGCGTCGGTCGTGCACGCGAGAATATACTCGAGGAGACCTATCGCACGACCTGGCAAAAGCGGTACGGCAGCCGGTACACTCCCCCGGATGCGCCGGACGAGGAGTTGATCTCCAGGGTGGTGAATGATGTGTTCTGGCCCGGGGATGCATCGCATTCTACAATGTAACTGCCATCGGTGCATGCCCGTGCCCGTTCCTGGTCTCGTATACCCGTACCGTCTGTTCAGGCATGCAGGACGCACAGTGTAGCCCACAGGTACACCTCGGTCATCCGGGGGCGGTAATGAATGCTGATCCTTGTATGCTACTCAAAGGTCGTATCTGGTCTCGGCTGTGCCGTCCTAGATACCATGTATCTATTTTGAGGTATAAGGTTGTCCCTTGTCACGAAAACCACGAGTTCATTCCTAGGACGCCCACCTGCGGCATCCCTATTTGGCATCCTTCTCAATGATGACGCTCAATATAGTAAGGGTTCTGGCGCACGGGGCATGCAGGCACGATAGCTGGTATATAGTTCGTCGCAGCTTGTGTGACGCCACTACTCTCGCCTGTTATCCTAAACGTCCTTGGTCAGTGTCTTCCCGACCGAATGCCTGCCTCAGCATACTCCATCAGCTCGTGGGATTTCTCGTCCACTCGGGCCCCTTCACCAGTATCCGCTCGTGCCTCTTCTCCAGCGTATTTCTCTTCTCAATCCTCTCGTACCGCTTCGCTTCCTCATGGATCCCCTCCGCCTCATGGATCTCTTTCGCGTCCTCTCACACCGCCCCGGTCGCACTCTCCGTCGTCGCCACTCACACACTCTCCAGAGGAATCATGTTTTCCGCAACGTCTGTTATCTCCTCATGTACCAGAAGGCCCCTCTGCGACACGCCATCGTGAGTACTATATCGAGGACGAAATGGTCATAATTCGAGTGAGTAAATCGAGTTCGCAAATTGTGCAAGGAGATACTTACGCATCATACTCAGGTACAAAATACTCTGTTCAAGATTCACAGATACTTCTTGCTTCGCGAATCTGAGCTATTTGGGACACTGTTCGATCTACCGGCTGGCGATATGGCAGCTGAGGGGCAGACTGATCTGACTGCACTTCCTCTTCACGACGTCACATGTCGCGAGTTCGAGAGTCTGCTCGATTTCCTTTACAAGAGGTCAGCCATAACCTGAGTTCCGTTTCAGCTGATCCATCTCATTTCATCTTAGTATGCATGACGATGCCAAATTGACTCTTCCGCAATGGATCGACGTGCTTTCCATTTCGACGCGTTACATCTGCGACAAGATTCGCGATCGTGCAATTCGGGAGATCCACCAGCACCATCCCCGCATCAATCCTATCGAGAAGATTGTTCTGGCCCTGCAGTTCGACGTACCAGATTGGCTGGCACCCTCATACGAGGCCATCTGTCAGCGGGCGCACCCTCTGGAGATTGAGGAGGCACAGCGGCTTGGAATCGTCATCAGTACGCAGCTCGCACGGGCGCGGGAGGCGATCCGGCAGGAAGCCTGCTTCCGGACCACCCCAGATCACACTCGCGCACCCACTCCAGATCTGCCATTCCCACCGATGGACGAGCCCTTCACTAATGAATGGCCTGGGCTAATTGTCCCGGATCTGTACGAGCCGTACGAGCCCCATCGTGTCGCGGAGATCGTTCAGGAGGTATTCTGGCCCCGTAGATGATAGCCTCACGAGGGGCCGGGCCCAGGCTTGCGTTGCAGAGTTGGGAGGCGGCATCCATCATCCGACTGGATCCGCGTTATGAGGTCCCTATCCACCCTGTCTGCCGTTCTCCCACCGCCAACTTACACCTGGAAGCTGTAGCCAGACTCTCCTCACATGATAGTTCTGATCGTCGCGGCAGGCTGTCAATGCGACAATCATCGTCCTCTCCACTTTTCTATGATTATGTGAAGCGTCTGTAACTTTACTGTGAAACGGACCATACCGCAATAATCTCGTAGCTTTCAAAGTCTACTCGTGAGAGTGTTCTCAGGCTGTGGAGTATAATTATCCCCCGGTCGCACCTAAAGGTTGCCGCCTTGTAAATCTGCATTTTCGGCTCTGACGACCACTGTGATGCACAGCCAGTATCTCCGTCATCGCGATAACTCAGACTCCATCGTTCTGGATGACGATGCAGTGCAAATCGAAGCATCCACCTCGACCAAAAGATCCATCCGCCACCCGCGATTCTTCATGAGTGACCAGAAAGTCACTCTGCGCGTCAGTGCATGTATCTACGATGGCGTATATGGCGCTTATTATCGCTTCGTCACAGGTGATCAACATTACAACAAACAAAGACTATGTCTTTCAAGTGCATCGTTATTTTCTAGAGCGGGACTCGGAGTTCTTTCGTGATATGTTCACATGTCCTCCAACATCAGGTCTCGCGGATGGACAAGACGAAGACTCGGCGATACTGCTTCCAGACGTGACAGTGCATGAACTGGAATGTCTGATCACTTTTCTATATGAAGGGTATGTTTCGTTAAACCACCGATCGCCTCGAGCTGTATATATTGATGTTCTCATGTGTCAGCGTGTATGGACTTGCTTTTACCCTGCAAGATTGGACGGCCTTGCTCTCAATCTCATCGCGCTTCCTATTCGACAAGGTGCGCGACCGAGCAGTCAGGGAGATCGCAGAACACGATCCGCCACTGGGCCCTGTCGAGAGGCTGGTGCTCGCCATAAAGCATGACATTCCGCAGTGGGTACAGCCTGCATACACGGACATCTGCGTCAGGGAGGAACCGCTGACGGAGGAAGAGGCGGACAAGCTAGGAATGTCCATGGTGGTTCGCCTCGCTAGAATGAGGGAAGAACTCCTGAGGGAGCGTTCACAGACCGCGCCGTCGGTGCCCAACCGGCCGCGTTTCGCGCGTAACACGACGACTGATTGCGGCTGTCGGTCATGTCGACAAGAACGGCTTGCATCCGACGAAGCAGACGAAGACACCAAGAGGGTTACCAAGATTGTTGAAGAGGTGATGGCCATGCAGTGATTTCGATGCATCATGTACTTCGAGTAGCCAGAATTAGGCTTGGACTAGCTGTGATAGACCACGCGTCCCCATGGATATACTACAACACATTAACGCGTACAATCAGTCCCACAAGAGTGCTCCCCCAATAATGCACGTGCAATCACTAGAAAGAAGGTCAATGACCACCAACGTCGCGATTTGCAACAACGCGAAGCACGTGATCGCGTCGAGTAGCCTATCACGTGGAGCATCGATGATGCAACCAAATCTCGCAGGATCTCGCAAGCCATCACGACCTTGGTGGACGACTTGCAGTTAGACATATGATACGTGATTAAGGAACACCACATCGCGCATACTAATTCAGGATGTCGGACAAGATTGAACTTATGGTTCAAGTGTATCTTCATCCAACGGAGACTGTTAAAGTCGCTTTGGAGACGGAGGTGCCTGTCAACATTGGCATGGACGACGTTGCTACTGGGAAAACCGAGAGTCCACACACACACAGCGAGGGAGCCCGTGTGGAAGGGCGAATTCTTGCGGTCATCTCACACCGTGACGATGCCACTAGCCGAGAAGAAGGATGGTGAGCTTTCTCTCTAGTCGACTTGGAATGTATGCGCAAGAACTTGCGATGTCTCCGGGCTCTCTTACAGCGTATTTGTGTACAAGATGAAACCTGGCCTACGGTCACCACTTCTTCGAAGCTCAGATAACTACTTTCTCGAGCATGCATACCCTATCGTTGGCGACTTCTCTATGACGATGGCTCAGGCTCGGCGTAATACTATAGACCTCCGGCAGGCCTCAGCTGGAACCGCATTGAGTCAACCTCGGACAGGTATGTTCTGAATTACATCCTGGGACTGCATTCCTGGCTCATGCAGTTGCATGATTCTAGACTTGACTGTGACACTAAACCCTGGACATGACGAAAATGCTGCACCTCTCATTTTGGTCGCTCATGATACCCAAAGCCTGAAGGAGGTCATCACGGAATGCAAGCGGCTTCGAGAGATATCAAGTATGTCACTCGTTATGTAACTTTGCCCTAGCTTGGTTGACTATTCAAAAGCCAGGGAGCATTCAGAAGCCTTTGGTGCTTATACGTGGTTAGCGCCATATATTGCTGAAGCGAGGAGGCCGCCATTGCGTATTTACATCAATTGATCGGACCGAAGTAATGCTGATCATAGTCTATAACAGTGTCGAGTATACCTCCAGATCTGCGAAATCTTAAGCAGCCTCTGAGCGTGTTTCTCTCATCAGCGACAGCGGGGCAACCTGGCGACGAGGCATCAGATATTGCCCTGATTCGTGCAGACTGGATGAGGCGGAAGGTTGAGGCTGAGTTGATTCCAACGTGCAAAGCCGGGCGCACACTCCGGTTTGACATATTATTGCTCGGGAAGATGCGCCAAACATGTGACCTGGTCCGTATAGGCTACGTATTGGTACATTCAACGTCAACGGCAAAATGCCGTCGCAGGACCTATCCGTGTGGCTCAGGCACCGTGACTCCGGCATAGCATTCATACCTCCAGCCAAAGCGATATCACCTCTATCCTTGGGAGAGATTGCACGCGACCCATTTGATGCCACTGCACAGTCATGTATGTCGCCGAAAAATCACCTTGCATGTCGCACAGGCACTGATAGCTGATCCAGTTACTGGAGGTGCGTCCGAAAACGCTTTGTGGTCGACTCACATGTAACGTTGCGCTAGAAGCTGTTTCTCGTCCCTTAGAAGGCCACGAGAGAACCGCGCCCTCGGAGAGCAGTGACATCCTCGCAAGCGATCGCGCGGATCCAGACATATTTGTCCTAGCATTTCAAGAGCTTGATCTTTCGACCGAAGCGTTGCTATATTCCACAAAAACTGTGCGAGAAGATGCGTGGGTCACGGCGACTTTTGCAGGATTGGGGGAGAAGGCTGTATTGTATGAAAAGGTGAGTAGTGTTTACCCAGAATACTTCGTCGCTATCCGAACTTTGCGTTCATCGGTAATAGATTTTGGATGTTTCTGCAATTCAGCTGACTGTAGCTCCCATTTGTAGTTAGCATCGAAACAACTTGTCGGAATGCTTCTTATTGTCGTTGTGAAGAAGATGCTCAAGCCAAGCTTTGACGACATCCAAACTGCATCTATTGGAGCTGGGATAATGGGATTAATGGTAGGTATCTTGGATTGGTCTTTCCATCGGGATGCTCAATCAACCTTTCAGGGCAACAAAGGCGCCACGGCCTTGCGACTTAATTACACCCCATCCTCCTCCGATGGTCACCGGCCGAGGCCGATCGTGTTGACGTTCGTCAATTCCCATCTGGCTGCGTTCGATGAAATGTACGAGAGACGAAACGCGGACTTCCACGACCTGTCAAAGCGATTGGTGTTTGACTCAGGAATAACGGGACCACCTGAGCTCAATCAGGGAGCGACCGGGAATGCGACCACAATCCCTATCAGTGTCTTTGAAACCGACGCTCTATTCTGGATGGCATGTATAAACTATATAAGTCATATCCGCTAGCTGACGTCCTACGAATAGGGTGGTCAGTTGAGCACCTTCTATTAGTGCAAAGTGGTTCAATAAGACGGGGAAGTTTCACAGATCTCAACTACAGGATAAATCTGTCCGATGCAGACATCCGCTCTCTGTTGTCGTCACCCCCAGAGCTCAGGCAGAGCGAGACAAGACTTTTGCTTCAGTACGATCAGGTCAGTCCATCGCATGTCCGTCATAATCACCTTGCTGAAATGTGTCACAAGCTATCAACGGCGAGACGCAAGAAACATGCATTCGAGAACTTCTTGGAACATCCCATAACGCACCCGCCGTAAGTTGTTTGTTACGGTGGATCACCATGCGTGCATCCTGTTGACCGCGGTTATATTTGGTGCGGCAGGTCTTACAGATTCAGTGCCGGTATAGCTGCAGATCAACAAGGATATGACATCAAGTAATGCATTACGCATTTGAGCTGTCTGTCACTGAAGCTGAAGTTTTGTCAGACGGAAACCTGCATGGACAGATCGGATTCTGCATATGGAGTCCGCTATGTTGACGGTGGGACAGCTTTCGTACATGAGTCATCCTGAAATCACCATGAGCGACCACAAACCGGTCTCAGCCGTGTTCGATATCAGGGTACGTCTCAGCTGCATTTCGGGTCCTAGGGCTACCATAAGTGTGATGTTGTAGGCACCATCCATTGACCGACATGCTTACGACTCGTTTGTTCACGGATTGTGGAGAAAAGTCGCCACGATCGAATATTCTGAGAGTATACCGAAAATGAGGCTGAGCACCTCGAGCATTGATTTCGGAGACATCTAGTATGCTTTCTTGCTCGATATTACGGCAGACGTCTTATAATGCACAGTCATAGGCGCCTGTCTACGCAGATGCTACAGCTCGAGAACATTGGAAAGGTACAAGTGCGACGTAGGCACGACCGTTTTTGCTCACGGCTGACGCCACTCATAGATTGCCTGCGCGTATCGCTTTGTTCGCGCCGAGAACGAACCTTTCAATTCCCCTGGTTGGTTTAGTGTAGAGCCGACGACGGTAAGACGGTGCCCTCGTAGAGTTTGGAAAAATTAAGATGCTAATGTTGTTCAGGGTCTCCTACTACCAGGAGAAACAACGATGATCCGCATTTCGTCGTATGTGGATAACCCCGTGGCATCGCATCTGAACAGAGAATCAGGCCGGCTGGACTTCACCTTAATCCTGCATGTTGCCTTGGGCAAAGATTATTTTATCTCTGTTACTGGCCAATACCGTGAGTTCAGATGCAAGCCATACGCTACCGTTTGTATATCTGACTCTTGGTCCAGAGCGGACTTGCTTTTCAAATGATCTCCGATGGCTATCACGCCTGCGAGGGCCTGTGCGAACTGTGACCCCAACAAACCTCCTCCCAGTAGATCATGCCACGACGGCTCCTAAGGAAATCATGCGTCTCATCAACTGGATCATGAGCAATGCCACCAATGTGGTATGTAACTTCATGCTACCAAAAGGAGTCAAGGGATCACAGCGACACAGGACGAACTGTTCTTGCATGCAGGTCCACCAGATCTAGTGCACGAAATCAAAGATGTATGTTAGCCAGCGTGGCACGCTCCTACGTCAATCTAACACTTGCTTGTCCTCAGTGCTTGGACACCGGAGCCGAGTTCAAATTTGACCACGTTCACAGCAAGCAGGATGTGGCCTGGGCATTCGGAGATGCACTACTACAACTTCTTGACGCACTCCCAGAGCCCCTGCTTCCAACCAGCTTGCATCCACGCTGCGCTGAAGTCACTAGCAGGGACGAGGCTTTCGAAGTGAGTGGATATTCACAATGTGTTAGACGAGAACGTATGCTGAGAGTTTATGTAGCTGTTGAACGAACTGCCCAGTGTCGCCTTGAATGTGCGTAGGCCACAGCTTGCTGTTCACGATTCGAAGAATGCGTCCTCAGATTAGCTGCTGATATTCTGTATATAGGTATGGATATCCGTCACCGCCGTTCTGCACTACATTATACAACAATCGCTATCTGCGTCGACTTCTAACGAGCTTGGTAAGCAGCCTCACAATGGTCTGGTCTTTATGCAACGAAGCTGAACACATGTCATGTACATAACGCAGTGGCAAAATTGACGTCTATTTTGCTTCGCGATGGCACGGTTTCTCAGACCTCTACGTCAATTGTTGGGAAGCGGAGGTATCTACGTTATTTTATCATGTAAGAGACCTGCGTGGGGGCTTCTACCCGGCTCGGACCATATAACGCATTGATGAATGGCGTACCAAATTATGTTTTGGATTGGTGAGCGGATCGCATAACTCAGCCGTCAACAACAGGACATTGCGCAAGAAGCGGTGCGGACTAACCGCCTTCAAGAAGGGAGGTAGACTACGACATCTAGATCTGCCTACACGACAACAGAGCCACAGGATTGTGGCAAATAGAAGAGACCATAGTGCCAGGTTTAACATGGAACCAAGTATGTTTACATGCGGTGCGAGTAAATCAGCGTCGAGAGACATAATTACTTCGATTGCGAACTGAAACAACGATGAGGCAGCGTCTGCTAATGAGGAAATTGCCAAGGAGTGAATAATCAGCACTCACGTGGGGACAGTACACTCGGGACCATTGCGACGTTGGCAGTTGCTACAAGGGAGACCGCCACAACATGTAATCTTCCGATCTATGCATCAATCTGTCAACATAGAAGAAATGTCAACAAATTACTGGCATTACCGCTGCAGAATTCACAGGCCACCTGATTCCTAGGGGGGTTTGTGGCTGTGTTGAAAATCTCTCCGCCGTCAGGGCGGCCAAAAGGCTGAATGGAGTCCGCCTGCTGAGAACCTCATGAGTAACCTCCAGATTTTTGGTGAACATGCAAACGCGGCGATACCTGAGCAGTATCCATGGTGTATGGTTTGCACAAGGAGGATGTAGAGAGAATTGCGGTTGGTATGTCTGAAGAGAGACTCAGGCCGTCTTTATATATCTTGCGCCACACTCCCTGCTCGTGCGCAGCTCCGAATCTAACACAACCGTGCATTGCTCGGCTGTGGACGCAGACCGTTGCGCCACATTGACCCAGAAAGATGATGAGCCTTTTTGTGATATAGATCCCCGCATGGTTCTCTGCGCTTTGGAAGTACCGATGTCGCAAGCGTTGAGACACGCTCGGTCAGCGCCAGTATATTGCACAAAGCGCGCTTTATCGGCTCATTGATTACTACCTCGTAGAAACGCTTCACGGAAACCGGATGCTTTGACCAATATCATGAATCTCAGATTCCCTAGATCGTATGACAGCTTCATAAGAGGCTCCCATAATGGGCGAAATGCGACAGTTGCGGTAGAATACTCTGCCAGTACACTGTAGAAGTGGCTGTGCAAATGTAAGAGCGAAGCGGTTCATTATCGGGATATATGACTCAGTAGTAAGGGACCGTACATACCCTCCGGCTCTTTAGGGGATTCGCCGTGAAGAATGTTATTGAGATATGGCAGAGGCTGGGCAGCTGGTTCTGATGATGTGCCAGTGAGTGGGAATGGAAATAGGCCCTTGGCACACTAGTCTGGAAGATGTCACGGACATGCCAATGGTGCGCTGCCCGAAAATCAGAGCCGAAAATTGTGTGTGCGGATGGCAACGCAGACTGTAGAAGAGGACGGTGTACTTCCAAAGTAGTGGGAGTGATGTTCGCATCCAAAGAGCCGGATCTCGATATGATGGCTCCGACCATCAAAAAGAACGCTCTATTGCAGACTGCTAGTCTCGTAACCAGACGTTAAGGGTGGTGTGTTACTATATCTGGACGCGGAGTTCCACTCTTGCCGAGTTCTCATACGGTCCTTCGACGCTCTCGGCATCCATCCTCAAGAAAGCCCGTGAGGAAGCAGCAAAAATGCACCAGTGCTTGTCCGCAAAGACACGAAGATGCATCGTTGACGAGTTTGTTCGTGTCTTCGATGGTCGCCAGCTTACGACTGGCACATCGATGTTTCAGAAGCAATCCTGCTCTGTGTTGACAGCTGGCGGGGAGTCCAGGTCGGAATCAGAATCGTCAACGACACTGCGTAGCGAGCTCAGCCAAGGCTCGGTGGAGTAGTTGGAATAGACGACACTATGATTATGTAGGTTGGCCACTGTAGCATACATGCGCATGCATAACGACTAAATTTTGAAGTGCGCGGCGCGTAGGACGCAGTCACGTACGCGACCAGCGTTGAAGAATATAATTACTCATATAATTACTCCTATTGCGAACTGAAACAACGATGAGGCTATATCTGCCAACGAGCAAACGATCAGCACTCACACGGGGACATAATTACATGCTATACCGCGGCGTTGGCAGTTGGCACAAATCGGACGACCATCACATTTTATCTTCCGAGCTAATCATCATTGTGTCAACAATGGGACTACAGTATATTGCGATCACTTACCTCTGCAGAACTGGCAGGCCACCTTCGTGCGAAGGGGAGTTCTGGGTGTGTTATAGTCCTCTTCGGACTCAGAACGGCCATCATGCTGACTGGAGTTCGCCTGTTGATAACCTCATGAGTGACCTCCAGACTTTTGGTGAACATGCAAACGTGGCGATACCTGAGCGGTGCTCATGATGTATGGTTCGCACAAGTAGGGTTAAAAGAGAATTGCTGTTGGTATGTCTGAAGAGAAATCCAGGCCGCTTTTATACCTCTTGCGCCACACTCCCTGCTCGTGCGCAGCTCCGAACCTAATACAACCGTGAATCACCCCGGCTATGAGCACAGGCCTTTGCGCCACATTGACCTAGCAAGATGATGAACATCTGTGTCATAGATCTCCGCATGGTCACAGCATCCCGGTTCTCTGCGCTTTGGAGGCAGTAATACTGTAAGCGCTGAGGCGCGCTCAGTCAGCGCCCATGTATTGCCCAAAGCGCCCTTCATGGATGACCAGCTCGTAGAACCGCGTCGCGGGAAGCGAATGCTTTGACCAAGATCATTCCTCCTAGATTTCCTAGATCTGAGGACAGCTTCGTAAGAAGCTGTCTGCCAGTTGATGGGCGAAATGCGACAGCTGCGGTAGAGCACACCGTAGAAGTGGCTGTGCAGACGTAGAGCGAAGGTGTTCATTAGTGGGATATATGGCTCAATTGTAAAAAAACGTACATACCTTCGGGCTCCTCAGGAGATTTGCCTTGAAGAGGTTTGTTTGGATATGGTAGGGGTGACAGGTTGAGGCAGCTGGAAGTTCTGATGATGTGCTACTAGGTGACGCACGGGAAGATGCATCTCAGGTGAGAAGTGAAAATGGAGATAGGCACTTGGCACACAGGAAGATGTCATGGACATGCCAGTGGCGTGCTGCGCGACAACTAGAGCCGAAGATTGTGTGTGCGGATAGCCGCAACGCACACTGCGGAAGAGGAGAGTACTCCCGTGAGTGATGGAAATGTTCGCATCCAGTCGGATCTCGATGTGGTGGCACAGCCACTTCTACGCTTCGAGTCTCTACTGTGCGCGCTATACTTCTTCATACCATAATCAGAAAATTTAAACCCATTTTCCCTTAACAAGCCCTTCCCTGCATGCTCAGAATGGCGGCCTTGAACTCAATGATCGACGGCCTCGTACAAATGGAGTATTCGATGATGATGGTTCTTAAATGACGTACCCCACGCAGTCCTGCAACGTCGTGGTGAATGTGTGAGCGTCGGCCGGATGCGCAACTGAAGACGAACAAGCTCTAGCATCTGGCGACATAGATGTGCGAAGGCCAGTCCACAGCAAAGCGCACATAAATGAAATCGTCCGTTATGCACAGAAGATGCTACAGAATATACGTATTTAGTATGACAGGATACAGGATCGTTGTGCTGGTAAGCAGCACGGCGTAAAACGTGAGGTGCGTAGCGGGCATAGCGATGCGATTGGATGGTGTCCGTTCTGTACAATAAAAAGGACTGTGGTCGTAGAACGAGTGAATAGTCTAGCGTGTCCGTGTCATAAGGGTCAAGGCTGTCCGTTCTGTACAAGGGTCCATGCATAAAAATAGGGGTAGAGGAGATATGGGGTGTGTGCGTTTTCACGGGTGCGCGCGGGGCCTGCGACTGTAGACGTGCGGGCGCTGCGGGGATGCGGCGGCGTCGACATCTCTGCCCGCTGGGCGGATGGGCGCCGGGCTAGCGGACACACCAATCGCGAGGACAGCGAGCAGACTAAGTATTGTTGCGAAGCGCATGTCTGCTCTTCAACGAAGAGCCGCTGTTAGTCAGCTTTCGGGCACGGAAGATCGTTTCACGCACTCGAACGCGTTATGAGGACACTGTGTGCTCGCGACGTGAGCGCTGCCACTGCACACAAAGGCCCGACAAGTACGCACAGTTTACGACAAAAATGTATGAGTAGGCTGCGCCAGAGGTCTTCGAGGTAAAACTTCGTGGTCGTTCGTTATAAAAAGCCACTCGACTTTATATATAGCTGGCGACGAGAGGACTCGTGAGACGGTTGCTCAGGATAGCACGAGTGTGAGAAAGAGCACAAGTGTGAGCACGGGAAGCCGGAGAAAGACCAACTCTATACCGGAGAAGTGGTGGTGGGAGACAAGTCCGTTCGAAGGAGCTGCGGAGGCATGACGCGCGCGAACATGAGGCTCAGCACATTGGCGCCCGACGGGCGCTCCGTGGGATGACCCATATGCTCAAGCTTGAAATCCAAAAGCCACAAATCATTATATTTATGCTTATCCACAAGGCAACCGTGCTGCGAGTGCATAACTAGTAAGCGGAACAGGTAATAGCACAGTGACGACCATCAAGACGGCGGCTAGCAGCCCCATGTCTCTCCTTTCCGACCAGTCTTGTATTTGCTTGCGCACACTTTGATGACATATCATGTCAGACGTGTCCGGGCGTATCCCTATCGTAAGCGGAAGGTGTCTGTGCACGTTCCCGGGGTGTGGCCATGGATATGTTACACGCGATGCGATACCCGTCGCGATGGAATAGTGCATGGAATAGACACAGCTATCCCTGGAAAGCTACTCCCTTCTTCGACGTCTCCGCCAGTCCTCCAGCTGCATATCCAGTGCCTTCATGCGAAAAGGGGTCAGTAAGCCAACTAGGAATCTGTTAATATACGGACCTTCCCTCGCAAGCTCGATGATATCCTTGTCGGCGAGCTGAACGTCACATTGTATACACTGTTTTGCGGGCTTGACGAGCGTGTCCGTACACGTTTTGCACACGACATGTCCACAGGGTTTCATCACTGCGCAAAGCTCAGTAGGCCAGCACAAAGCGGCGGCATGCGAGCTCACAGTTCATGAGTGCGCTATTTGACAGCACCTTCTTACACGACGGACATATCGCAGTCTTCTCCTCGTCCCTCTTCGGCTTTGCCTCTGTGCCCGACTCCGTTGACGGCGTCGACTCAACCGAACGAGGCTGTGTTGATGCCGACGTGTCAAAAATGAAGTGCACAGGTATCAAAGTCTTCCGTCTGCAGGGCACCGCACGCCATGAGCACCAGCAGAGCGCAAGAAGGGGCGTGAAACGACGCACGTAAGGTGGTGCGGTGGGTTCCCGCCGCGGCACGTCGTCTGCAGCTTCACGTCCGCAAGCGAGGCCGGCGGCCCGCTGGAAGCGTAGGTCGGCGTGAGCGACGGCAGCCAGAAATCGGGCAGTTTGTGCTTCAGCGCCTCGGCCTGCTCGCGCTCGATCTGGCGCAGCGCGGCCTCTTCGGCCTCGCGCGCGAGCGTGTCGACCGTGCTCTCGGAGAAGTCGAACTTGCGCTTTGTCCCGCGCGCTGGCGAGGTGAAGGCGGTGAGTCGGACGCGGGACCAGAATGCGCGGAGGGGGACGTACATTCGTTTGACTCAGCGCCGGACGTGGTGACGGCCGCTGTTGCTGCGAGGCCCAGCTGGCCCTTCTCGAACTCGAGCAGGACGCGCTCGCGGGCAGCCTCTCGTGCGCTTCGTTTCTCCTCTTCCGCCTCGCGCTTGAGTGTTTCCAGCCTAGCCTTCTGTCGCTTAATGTCCTGCATCTGCGTGACTGTAATGCTCCCGTTCAGAGATGTGGGTGCGCTGAAGGCATTGTATGCGAACACATACCGAGGTCAGTGTAGACGCACTCCTTGCAGAAGAGATGTCCTTTCTGGCATGCTACCGGCTCCCTTGCTCGTTGTAGGCACAGTGCGCAAGCGTCAAACCGCCGCATGGACTCGTTCCCTAGACGTTGCTGCAAGGCTCACTATGCCATGAACGATGCAGGAGAGTATTGCGGCCACTCACCCGCTTGGTGCCATAGTCCAGCTTCTTGTATTCTGCGTACGAGAAGATGGACGACGCGGTGTTGTTTTTGCTGTGCTTGGTCATGAGTCCACCGTTGAATGTTCTACTTTCGAGCACAGTTGTGTAGGCGAAGTATGCGTGTATTGATTCAAAGTTCTATACAACCAATGGTGATGGGGATGTGGGTGGCGGGACTTGATCAAGTCTGGTCGAGTACAATCCGGCAGATGCCGGTTTACGATCTTACTCTTGGCTCGACTTTCAATGTTTCATGAACGACTTGAAGTGCCATTACTTTGCTAGCGGATATACCTTTGCTCGCAGCTATGCAAACTCACGATGAAGTTGATTCATGCAACCATGTTGGAGTAACGCTCAGACGAAGATGCCACTAAAATAAAGGGTCCGGCAATATCTCGAGTACGAGCGTATCCAGCGCTGTCCAGCGACTCGCAAGAGATTCGTAAACTCAGACTTGACCTCGAAGATGTCTCTTGCGATGTTATCGCTCTCCTACTCTCTCTCGATCGCAGCATGGCACTGTCGGGATTTTGCAAGCTGTCAGCAATATTTTGGCTACAACCACAATGCAGTCACTTGCAGGCATGTAGTACTCTGATGGGCCACTGCCTCTTGGTAGGACAAAGACCCAGCCACGTTCTCGAACGTACAAAAGCTGCCCGCTTTGTTCAATCCGACCACTCACTCCCCTGTTTCCTCTCTCATGCCTTCAGACAAGAACGCTAAGCTACCGAAAGGGAAACAGACCGTCGGCCGCCGGCGGGTCGTCCCCCGCCAATGGCTCAGAGACCCGCAAGGTCCTCCCTTGCCCGTCCCGCCACCTTGTGGCGTGCGGACCCTAGACGGGCTCATCTGGGGCCACACACTGTCTGACTTCTTCTGGGTCCAGCGCATTCCCGACGTCGACGTGTTCACCATCTGGTCGCGCAGCATGCTCAAAGAGTTCGGCGAGAACTACAGTGAGAGCGAGTTCGCCAGGCCCGAGCCGCTCCCGCGCGCACGTCGGCCGTGGCCCGTGCTCACGTTGCCCAAAGCACACTACGGCGAGGTATTCCCACCGCTCGGGGCACTCGACGAAGGCTCTGACCATGAAGACGACCGCTCTCCGTTTTCGTGGAAGGACGTACGCCGCGACGAGCTCGAGGAAGAGGACCCCGTCCCGGAGGTAGATGCGAAGGCGCATCCGCCCGTCATCATCGATGCGACCAACGGGGATCTCATGCCGAACGATCCGTCGTCCCCGATGATTTCGCCCCTCGGTGTGCCATACGCTGCGCTGTGGGCTCCGCAGCTCAGAGATAGCATAGAGCTCGCTGAGGATTTGGTCGCCTGGCCTAGGTTCTCCATGATCGGGCCGTTTGATGACGCGGAGGATCGCATTGTGGCCGTCGATTCGGAGGGCCTCATGCCAATGATACTCAATGAGCCCACCCCACAGATATTTGTGCACACATTATTTGATGGTGCCCGTCCTGATCCGGGGCGAGTGATTTTTGTTACAAACAAAAATGTCCTCAATGCGCTGCGCGAGAGGCTGCCCTCCAAAGCCGCACCATCTAAAGCGAGTGCCACTGCATTTAGCGGAGCAGCCTCGGCGTCGCCCCAGAACTTGAATGCAGCAACAGGTGTCCAGGGCGTAATTAACATTGTTGAACCTCAGCAGGTGTGTGCAGATCCTTTACAAGCGGTGCATGGATGTGACGTATTGGACCACAAACAGTCATCATTCGCCGCGCAGGCGGGCGTCAATGATAGAAACGACGAAGATATCGTGATGCAAGAGTGTGACCAGTCGCCGAAAGATGCAGAAAGTCAAGGTGCGCTAAAGCCGACTCAGAACGGATTTGTCAAGCCAGCGACAGGATGCAGTAACGATGCGAACATGAGCGCTGAGATGTCAAACGCGGGTGTCCCAATGCAAGAGGCGGTCTTTGATAGTCATCCCTGTTTGGTGAACAAAGTCGGGACATCAGCGGAGATTCGTCCCTTGCCTTCGGCATCCAGTGAGACTGCCGAGATTGATAATCCAGCCAACGTCAATGTGGCTTCAGGAAGTAGACAAGGTAAAGTGAGGGACGAGAGTCCACGCAAGTCACTACAAGAACCTCCCTTCGATCCAAAGATTTTGGCAGAGCTGCCTAAGCTAGAGCAGTTCATTCCTGAACAGTACTTCCCTGATACACTCATGGTGTGCCGGGACAATGAGGTACGCATGTCTGTCATACCATAGACTTGTTTCTCTCATTGCGTGCAGGAACCCGTGGAATATGTGCGAATCTTCCCCACGTTTGACAGAGATGGCATATCTTGGGAGCCAAAACGCGTCGGCCGCCTGTGGCTCCCAGATTTGAGTATCATAGGGAGGGGGAACCATTCGCGCGTACGACGTGCCCCGCTCCAGATGCCCGAGCCTCTCAGCGCGTATGGCCGCCACAGGCTCGTCACAGTCGCAGCGAAAACGGCGCTCTGTGTCATTTCTGCGCGTAGGTTCTTGCGCAATGAGGCCCTACGATTCAACGCATTCCCGAAGCGCCTGCAACAGGAATGGTGCGGTTACAACCTCGTGACGAAGATCAGGCACCCTGTGCCCGTGGGGGCGATAGTGCCCAAGTTCTTCGGATATTACGTCCCTCTTGACGCAAATGGGAAGCCGGACGACAAGACCTGGCAAGAGTACGATGAGGAAGACGACACTGAGATTGACGGTCTGAGCCCTGTTTTGCTGATGGAGGAATGCGGGAAGCCCGTTCTGCCCGAGAGCTTTACTCTAGATGAACGGTACGCTTATGGACACCTCGTAAACCATCGAATATCTTGCGGACGCTGACTGCTTACTACGCAGCTCGGAATGCTATTCGCTCATGATACGCCTCCACTTTGCAGGGTTCCTTCAAAACTCAATGTATACCCGGAACATTATGTGGCAGCCCGGTCCTCTCACGAAGCCGCCTAAGCAACGCTCGCGCAAGACCCCAAGCTTCCGCATCATAGATTTCGGCCGAGGCGAAGACTGGGACGAGTACAAAGACCAGGATGACGGTAAAGATCTGGAGCGTAAGATGAAAGATTGGAAAGCCCGGGTCGATGACGAACGAGAAAGCGCCCGCACGGCACTTCTAATTTCTGATTACGATTATTGAAGTAACTCTGCTACATTCTCCGTTCATTTGTAAGAACACGCGCAGTTTCTGAGACTTGATTCGCATTCCGGGAACCGCAAAATGGAGCGGCCTGGACACGAGAACAGCCTATTGGTGCTCTTCAATAGACTACAGTCTCAGGATGGGTGACTCGTCTGCAGGTATTGCAGGTATGGAGCCCATCAGAAGTTGCGGATAGTCTTTCTGAGATCAATCACGCATGCTCTGAACAAGGTGTAATCTTTCTAATATGATGATATAATACCTCGGAGAAAACCTCCCTTCACTTCACAAGAGACCCTAACGGTATGCACGATTGCTTCAAATTTCAGAGACAGCATCTGTCACGGTTGTCGAATCAGTGCCTTCGTACCAAACATCACTGCGCCGACAATACAAGGATGGTGTCTCTCCTCTCTAGCCTCATGCTCGCACACCTCTCGTCGATGACGCTGGTCCATGAAATCGACATAGACCATACGATGTACATCCCCAAACATTGTCATCGGAGCAATTTGCCATCCTCACGACGCGCGGGTTCCAATTCAGAGTACGTTTCGTCGATGTCTTATGGGCGGAGGCGCTCGCCCCCGGTTTCCCGGAACTCATAATCGTGGCATATTGCAGCGAGTTTCACATATGGGGTAGACTGGAACATTTGAGAGCCGATGCACTGATTCTCATACAAGTGTCAGGACCGCAGCCAACATGATACACGCGTCCAAGGCCTCAACATGGTATTGGGACATGTTACATCGACAGTGGAAAGGGCCAATTACCGGCGTGTGTCTGAGGAAGTAGTGACGCGGTGACTTGACCAACGTCATGATGGCGGTTGCTAAAAGCCTAAATCATAGTTAGCGTAGTCCGTCGGAACAGGAGACGTGATGTGCACGTATGACGTTCTCTCAAGACATGTGTTATATGCGCCTATGCTGGTTTCAGAGTTGCGCTCATGCTATGCAAATTCGGGCAGGAGATATGACCGTGCGACACCGTCTGATGTCTACCCTGGGGCCGAGGTATCTTTAAGTGTACGTGCGACAGTTGGTGGCGCATTCAATCGCCACCGAACAAACCACTGGATTCCGGGTCGGTACGAACTCTCGAACGAGGCGGCACGGCGAGCCAGATTTACCCTGACCTTCAAGCGAGCGTGTGTATTCGGCCTATGGGCTGGTTTAAAGTGGTAGGGATTTCGCTTTCAGATACGAGCTCGTGTGGTATTTGACACCAGTTCGGACTAGCGGCGCACGCGGGCCTGACCATTCTTTGCGAGACCGCGGTGCATAGCATAAGCGGTTGGCTAGTATACAAGTTTCATATAAATGTGAAAATGCGCACTTGCAATTAAAGAAGAAATGGACAAAGCTCAGAATCCAAGGATTGATACTTACCGCAGTCTCAGATAGTTTGGGTAAGCACAGGTTCGTAGGGGTTACGACCTTATGACGGGTGCTACAGTAAGCTGCCACAATACATACCACGGGTCGTAGAACAGGTAGACATCGAGGAAATGGACGATGCGTGTCCACAGCATCCTGATAAATTGTTAGTGCCGATTGCTTCTTTAGAGAGCCCATCCTCTGACCATCAAAAAGGGCGCTCTATTGTAGGTTGCCTAGGGGAGACAACTTCTCTACCAGTATGTACCAGTATGGTAGGGCTCCTACCTGATCAGGAGGAGACGTATGACCAGGGGTCTATACCTCGTCGCCTCATACTATCTGTTGGCTCACACAGAGCCTATAGAAACAGGCCGCATCATTCGAGTCGGAGAATAAGAAGTATATACGAGATCGCTGAATGATAGTAGTTCTTCTGATACCGGTAGGTATGGACTTGTGGTGAAAGTGAATGCGACCCAGGGGCGTAGTTGCGTGAGCAGTCCCCTTGCGCACCATCATTGCTCTTCAGATTGTGGTTCGTGATAATGCCGAATGTCAGCCCCATGCATCAGACAGATGCAAGCACAAAGGGTGGCGCTGGGCGTAGGGCCTTCAAATGGCTGACACGGCTGTGAGCTCTGTTGCTTCCAACGTCCACTAGGAGCTTCGTCCAGCCTTCGCACCAGCTCGACAGACACGGCGCGTCGCTTACAGGAAGTTATGCTGAGACACAGACTAGCGACCGTGACGCTCTGTGACCATCAACGAGTCACAGCCTCCACGGGCGTTCATCTTGCAGGAGCGAGGGGTGCACGGCCGCCGCGACGTCTTCTGCTTCCACCCCCGACATTCCTCCCGCCCTCCAGCGCAGTCGAGTCTACCGACTCCCCAGCAGCTTCTGCTGAGACCCAGCGTGCTCGCGATCTCAGCACCGGTCCATTCACACAGCAGCAGCAGCGTCGCACGGCTTCAACGGTATCCACCATGTGCGAAATCATGTCGCTCTCCATCCTCCAGGTGTTGTCGGTGCTGTCGTTCCTCACCTCCATCCTCGCCGTTCTTCACGTAGGTGCAGGCCCTCTGCACCGTCTTTCGAGCAAATTCGATGCGGACGTGCATCCTGCGTCGCACCTGAACCTGAACGTTGGGAAGCAACATTTATGGAATTGGAGCGGGCTGCCGGTGTCATTCTCACTGAGCACTTTCATTGGCGACGAGTCCAGAGAACAGGGCTCTGAGAAAGGTGTATCAGGGTACATGGGTGGCTCAGACCTCGTGCGGATGAATTGGCAGGTCGGCCGACCGCGGTTAGGTGTGTTACCTCTACTTTCCCACTCACTGGTGTGATCTCACGCTTGGTATGTTCGCCAGTCCCGCAAGTGTACAACTCACAACCCCCCCTTTCAATGGCGAAGATCATCATGTCCCGCCACGTCAGTCTATTTTGGTCTCGTGACCAGCCATCGTGCTGACTTGCATTCCCTCCAGTCGCAACGACGGCCTGCCCGTCCCCCCCGACGAGCCTCGGGTATGCCACGACCAACGCCCCCATCACGCCTCGTCGAGTCCGCCGTATAACGTCATCACACGACTGCTCGTGACGTACGTCATGCCTGTGTACTTCATGGCGCGCTTACGCCGATGATACGGTTTGCCAAAACCCATTACCCAAGGACGCCTTCCATACCCGCCACCGCCGGCTTAGGCTCGGACACACCGGCTCATTCGCTTCGCCTTGCTGTGCTGCACAGCAGGATTTTTGTCTTCGGACTTCTCTGCTTTTTATTATTATTGACAACGTTCGGACATGTTTGACTAGACACTAGTAGGTGGTGTAACTGTTGGTGCTGATTCCCGTGTGGTCATGCTGATTTACCGCTACACTACATTCGTCCTTCTTATCCCTTGTCTAGTGCAACTCTTCTATACATTACACCAGACTGGAATTGAATAAGCTGTCTCAATACTTGAATCACTTCAGCCGACTCTGATGGCGTTGCAATGTTTCGACATCGACACTCGCAATGAGGAAATGCTGCTATGTAGACCATTGAGCAACCTAACATCGTGTTGAGCTTTGGTAGCGCGGGCTGCAGCCGGCTGAATCGATGCGGGCTATTCCTATCTCTGAAAGGTGAGTCAACTCGATTTCTAGACCATGTTGTCCAATGTGCTGAGGAGATGCGGCAAAATGTAGGCTGGAATATTCAACCCGGTTCGCTAAAACCCCAGTTCACCGTGTCCCTAAAACTTGGACTGTGAGGAGAGCCCGAAAACACAAAGAACTAGTAGTGATCGATGGCCGTGGCATCTATTCCTCTATCATGGGAAATCACCCAGAACGCATCCACAGTGGTTTGATGATCAGCGACGTTCCGAAGACTCACAACCGAGTCGCAATCCCTAAAGGCGTTTAGTGACACCAATATGGAGATGCCGTAACGGTTCAGCGAGGAAGTTGAACTGACAATTTCCTCTATCGTCTCCTTCCTTCTTTCACTTCATTCTGAAGTGAGGCTGCAGCTAAATGTCGACTCCGCGTTCTATCTCGCTAGGGGCAGACGACGTGACAGGCAATGCTTTGCGCGGTATATCTATAGACGAGACCATTCTCGTTCACGCTCTCCTTGCCTGCCAGAGGACGGGTAAGACACTGGCGGAAACAGTCAACGACCTGGATGGGGTATGTGTTCTGCGCCTTAATAGGCTATACTTGTTTGCGACGTACCCATTCTTATCATGACAGGCCAACAACCGCTCAGCTGCCGACTGGAAGGTGTTCTACGTCGACCACATGGAACAACTGAATGAACTGGTGTCTAACCTGAGCAATCTCGATATCGCTTCCAAAGACGAAAATACACACTGCTCGCAGCCGACAGTGACGAAGTCGCAGCCACAGCCCACTCTGCACACATTGCAAGCCGATGCGCGACCACATCGGTACTGGACGTGTTCACCAAGCTGCAGAGTTCCCGTGACGGCTGGCCGTCAGGACACCAGCCCCAAGAGTCCATCTGCTCGGCGAGGAGGGGTGCATGCGCGACAAGATAAAGAGGTGCCCTTGGCACAACTCGCTGTATGGCCATCAGGGCCCCCTGCCGAGCCATCCTTTTTGCTGGACAGACGCAAATCCAAGAGACGCCCGTTCACGGAGAAAGAGCGGCAATACGCCATTGAAGTCATTCTGTGGGAGCTCGTCTGCAATCCTGAGCTGACCATGCAGGAGATGTGCCGTATCCTTGTGAAGAAGGTGCGCATGGTTATCCCGGAAGAAAGAGGGAATGCTGAGCGGGTGAATCGGCGCTACAGATGCCGTATCGTCCCTACTCCACCTGGACGTCCTGGTGCGGCCGGACGTTCCGGGAGACTGCCCCTGAGCAACTGCTACAGCTCGCAAAACAAGCTCATGAGAACAGTCCTCAATACCAGAATGCGAATGTCGAGGGCAACAGGTCACCCGATCTTCAGACCATGACCAGCAGCTCGCAGCCATTCCTAGCAGATAGCCCCAGCAACCCCCAAGCGGCCCAAACCGTTGGAGCCAGTAAAAAGACCCCAGAGCGCCTCGAAGAACATTTGGACATACTCGCTCAGGTCCTCCCGGATGGGACGAAGCGAAAGCCGATGGTAGGTAAAGTTTGGCAGAACCTGTCACAACTGGTAATTTAGCGTCGCACTGTTCATGGGTGTACTGCTGAGCGACTGAACCCTAGGATCCTACCAAATCACGCGGATACTGGATAGACCTTTACGATACCCATACGCAAGGTCAATAATCCATAATCGAAGTGTTTCGTCAGTTCACATGGCTGATCTTTGACATCTTAGAGGTTGAGGTCTTGAAGTATGAATATCACGAAAAGCGCAAACTACTCGGCATTTCAAAGGACGGTGTCGGCCCATGAGCGGTTTACCGCTGTGATATCCAGTGTACAACAGCCGATTGGGATACTCTCATGGCTGTGACGTTGTAGTAATACATCTCGCTGCAATGTGAACAGCGAATTATCTCTCCGACCTCGGGCCTCCATCTTATCTAATCTAGCAAATGTTCGTTACATTGGGCGTTTATTAGCACTTTCTCGTAATTTCTGGAACATCTCAGAGTATATATTCATGATGTTCATTCTTCAATCCTCAGTATCTTCTCTGTTTATCTCCAGCGTCGTCAGTTTCACTCATGGCTTCAGAACGGCCCCTCGTGTTCTTCGACATTACCATCGGCGGTAAGCCCGCTGGTCGTGTCGTAATGCAGCTGTACAACGATGTCGTCCCGAAGACCGTTGAGAATTTCCGTATGTGACAGCCGGGGTTTGATGATGCTTGAATATGAACTTACACATCCATAGGCGCACTATGTACCGGCGAGAAGGGAGAAGGGCAGTCCGGAAAGCCCTTGCAGTACAAGGGTTCGGCGTTCCACCGTGTGATCAAAGGGTGCGTCCTTTTCGGAGGCCCCGTCGTGACCCGATGCGAGTTTGTCTTAGGTTCATGGTACAAGGTGGTGATTTTACGCAAGGAAACGGGACGGGTGGTGAGTCTATCTATGGGGAGAAGTTTGAAGACGAGAACTTCGAAGTCAAGCACACGAAGCGTTTCCTATTATCCATGGTGCGTTCATGGTCTCGCGGTCTTCGGATACCTACGTAATAGATTCTTCTGGGCCTATGGAGACGGCGCGTCGTAAATTGTAAATGTGCGCGACACGGCAAGCTACCCCCGTGGATGCCGCTAGTTCATGCGGGCTAGCGTTCGGACACGGTGTCCTAGATGCTCCGCAGAAGGCATCCAACTAAAGTTCCTTACGGCTCCTGCCGATCGTGTCCTAACACTTTCTGACACATGCATGTAGGCAAACGCTGGTCCGGGGACAAACGGCTCGCAGTTCTTCATCACCTGCAGTGCCACGCCGCACCTTGACGGGAAACACGTCGTCTTTGGCGAGGTCATTCGTGGCAAGTCCGTCGTTCGCGCAATTGAGAGTACACCGACTAGCTCCGGGGACGTGCCAACGGCGCCATGTGTCATCGCAGACTGCGGTCAGCTCTCACCCGACGACCCGTGCCTCTCGGAGAGCGCTGCCGCGAATGACAGTGACCCGTACGAAGACTACCCCGATGACCAGGACTCGGTAGACGGCCAGAATGTCATTGAGAAGCCGGAGGCTGCGCTGAAGGTTGCAAGGGAGGTCCGGGAGATCGGCACGAAATTGTTCAAGGAGGGTAAGGCCGAAGACGCGCTTGCCAAGTATCAGAGTAGGTGCCTGGTTTTGTCAGAGGCGATGCTGTGTCCACTGATTGACTACGTAGAGTCGATACGTTATCTCGACATGCATCAGACGCTCCCGGATGATGCCCCGCCCGAACTTAAGGACTCGTATGACGCACTGCTTGCACCGCTCTTCCTCAACTCCGCGCTGGCAGCGCTTCGTGCGGGCGGGACCGCGAATGCAGGAATCGCGCTCAGGGCTGCGGACCGCGCGCTGGAGATGCAGCTCAGCGATGCGGACAAAGGTGCAGTCTCTGTCATCCTTCCCGGTCTTATCATAAGCCATGCTGACGTGAAACGTCTCTGTGTGTCTCAGCGAAAGCGCTCTACCGTCGGGCACTTGCAAATGCTATTTTGAAGGAGGACGACAGTGCCGAAGAAGACCTCGTCGCAGCGAGTGAACTCGTAAAGGACGACAAGGCGATCCTGAGTGAGCTGGAGAAAGTGCGACAGCGGAAGAAGGAAAAGAAGGACAAGGAACGCAAGGCGTTCAAGAAATTATTTGCATGATGAATGCCATTTGACAGACCGAGTTCTTGAGGGAGAATAACAAGAGAAGTAACAACATCATATGTACTCTGACTGTGAACAGCTAATGGTGTACAGTCACACGAATCCACCGTCTCGGTTTTGCTCCTGCCTGGGACCGCTTATTCCAAACTTTGTTTATCAAAGTATCTTCCCGGGATGTCTCACTGCCATGCTTGTCCACCACTTCCTTCGCCGCTGGCCACTGTGTGTGGATCCTGCTTCCCGATCTTTGCTCTCTGCCGATTGATATTTCTGATTCGTCGCAAGGACGGCGTGGTCTCAATTACGTTCCCGCGGCGGCGGTGCTCGGACAGCGATGGTAACTGTCCCCGCATTGCGACTTCGACTGTAGGGGTTAAATGCGATCAACCCGCCTTGGCGCAGCCCAACCATGTGTGTGGTTCAACATTGTCCCATAGCATTCGCTTCGAGGCGCTCACACCCCATTTCTGGTCTAGCACCTGCAAGCGCAAATAGCTCGGCCGATGCGCCCGTATGTGATACAACTACGTTTTCTTTCCAGCATGTGCAATGGCCTATCCGATACCGTGCAGAGATCAGTTTCAGCAAACGCTCGAACAGCGGTTTCTCCTGTAACACCCCCAAGTTTCTAGCGCTGAGCTAGTGAGTGTGAACCCGGAGCATTTCAGGGTCGAAGACCACCCAAGATGATAGCAATGTTGGCGTAGTGACCTACATGGGATCCTGTATGGTCCAGAGTTACGCAAGTACTTATTGTGTAGATGTTCAAGCACGAGAACAGTGGTTACTCATAGGAATTCTTCCGCAGTTGGCTTATTTGGAGCTGTGTGCGTTACTATCCGTACTCACAACCTTCGGCTTTTTCCGCCTCCTTGAGAGCTGGTTGTCACGTACCACGCCCAAGCCATCCTGCAGTAAAACTGTTTGTTTCCAAGGAACGCGAACGTTGTGACACTTCCTTTTTCCGCCTGAAACGCATCCTCCTGTGTGTCACATCGTCAGAACTGGTTGCTCTCTCATAACCAAACTGATGACGGGAGGAACATCCTCGAGGAAGGTGTGTCCGGTTCCATATGGCCTCGTCATGTATTCCTATACTTGTCATCTTTCGTTTTACGCATGCAGAGCCACTACATTTGCTCTCGGCTCCGATGGTGCTCGGCGTGGCCAACTTTGAAATGCACGTGTGTGCTACACCGTAATTGTAGAGTTTCTCTCATCGACTAGCGGTTTCTTACAAAGCTGACTACGATCCAGGCAAACCGGAAGTCACAATCCCTGTGCTGCGGGTCAGAACATCTGACTCCCGTGAAGCGTTTGCGCGAGCTTTCTGTCGATCTACCCACCCACGAGCTGGTACACCGCGTGCATTCGACGTGTCGTGTGTTATACATCGCTGCTGACCTGAGTGTGCCTCGGCGCTCACGATATCTGTGCTTCCAGCCGCAATACTGAAACCGTGCCAAAGCGAGGATGTGCTCGTGCGCAGCTTGTAGCCTGATGCGCTCGTGTACTGGCTGTGGGTTCATACGGCTACACCGCACTGACATGGCAAGATGGCAGAGCGTTTCGTATCCTAGATCGTTGCATGGCAGCATCCCGTGCTCTACAGCTGGAAGTATAAAACCAATAAAACCGCTTCACCTCAGACATACCAACAGCAACTCTCGTGTCCTTGAAATTGCCACTCTCATACCGTCCTCTTGCGAATTATATCACCATGAGTACCACTCAGGTATCGCTGCATGTGCATGCTCACCCAAAGTCTGGATGTTACTCACAAAACTCTCAATAGGCGAGCTCTAGCCAGCATAATGACCGATCTGATTCCGAAGATGACTACAACACACCCAGAACTCCCCGTCGCACGCCGATGGCCTGTCAGTTCTGCAGAGGTAATGTTAATAATGCAACGTGACCTCTTCCATGTTGACAAATTGATGTATAGGTCGGAAGCTTAAATGTGATGGCCGTCAGACTTGTGCCAACTGCCAACGCCGCGGAATACCGTGTACCTATGTCCCCGTGTGAGTACGAATCATTTGCTCATTGGCAGATGTTGCCTCATCGCTGTTTCAGTTCGGGTCAGAAGTAGAGGTGACTTGACGCCATTATGCCTACATTACATGTAGACGTACTCGTGCTAGACTAATACCTACCTCACGGTGGCTTTTTGACCGTGTTAGTTCTGTGGCTCCGTTGCTGCGCAGGTAGAATATTGACGTCGTAGTCTACTTTCCCCACCATAATGAACAACGTGTATTTATTCACATCCCGTCCCATCCTTGAAGTCCAGCCGACCCGACTCTGTGTTCGGATGCGATGCCACGCAGTTATCCACACACGACGAAATGCGGATCATCGTTGTTTCTCCTGGTATCAGGAGACCCTGAACAACATTACAATATTGATCCGGCCAAAACCTGCGAGGGTACCGTCCTACCATCACCGGCTGCACACTCAACCAACCAGAGGAGACGATAGGCGCTCTCTCGGCGCAAACAAAGCGACACGCGCAGGCAATCTATGTGTGACGTCAGGCGTGAGTAAAAGCAATCATGCCTACGTCGCACTTGTACCTTTCCAGTGTTCTCGAGCTGTAGCATCTGCGTAGACAGGCGCCTATGACTGTGCATTATAAGACGTCTGCCGTCACATCAAGCAAGAAAGCATACTAGATGTCTCCAAAATCGATGCTCGAGGCGCTCAGCCTCATTTTCGGTATACTCTCAGAATATTCGATCGTGGCGACCTTTCTCCCCGTGAGCAAATGCGTCATAAGCTTGCCAATCGACGGACGGTGCCTAGAATGAAACATACCGATGATGCCCGAGGTGCAGCTGAGACGCACCCTGATATCGAGCACGGCTGAGACCGGTTTGTGGTCGCTCACGGTGATTTCGGGATGACTCGTGTACGAAAGCGGTCCCACCGTCGACATAGCGGACTCCATATGGAGAATCCGATCTGTCCATGCAGGTTTCCGTCTGCCAATACACTGCAATGACAAAGCAATTCAAATGCGCAATTCAATACTTGACGTCATATCCTTGTTGATCGGCAGCTATGCCGGCGCTGAATTTATAAGACCTGCCACATCAAATACAAGCTCCGCCAGCAGGATGCACACATGGTAATCCACCATAACAAACAACTCACGGCGGGTGCGTTATGGGATGTTCCAAAAAGTTATCGAACGCATGCTTCTTGCGTCTCACCGTTGTTAGCTTGTCACTCATTTCAGCGAAGGGATTACGACGGAACATGCAGTGGACTTATGAAGCAAAGACCTTGTCGCTCTGCCTGAGTCCTGTGGGTGATGACAACAGGGCGTGGATGTCTGCATCAGGCAGAGTCGTCCTGTAGCTGAGATCTGTGAAACCTTCCCGTCTTATCAATCCACATTGCACTACAACAAGGCGCTCAACCGACCGCCCTATTCGTAGGATGTCAGCTAGCAGATATGAAGCGTATGGATTATACATGCCATTCGGAATAGAGCATCGCCCTCAAAGGTGCTGATGGGAATTGTGGTCGCATTTCCGGTCGTTCCCTGACCGAGCTCACGTGGTCTCGCTATGCCCGATTGGGAGTCAAACGCCAGTCGCTTTGACAGGTCATGAAAATCCGCATTTCACATCTCGCCTTTCGTACATATCGTCAAACGCAGCCAGGCGGGTATTGACGAACGCCCTCGATCCGTGTCATCGGAGGAGAGCGACGTATGAGACGAGGGACGTGGCGCCTTTTGTTGCCGAGAAAGCAAATGGGGTTGAAACTGTGTAAATTCACTATATCGCAAAACAGGAAGCTCACCATTCTTGCTCTCAGATAGCGAGATCGTCATGGTGTGACCGTCATAATGATTCCCCCTCCTGTGCTAAATGTTATGGTTGACAAACATGCTTCCTTGATTTCGCCAATAGAAAGATTAGCCGCGTGTGTCCTGACAGAAAATCACGTCTCTAAAGTAACATTAACCGCCTCTGTAGAATGTAGGTACGCTTGTACCAATACTTCTTGTGCATGCGTGTCCCGTGGACAGTCAAACATGGAGATAGCGTAGGGGTGTTCAGTCCAGAACCGGATCAACGGGAACCGTATTCCGCGCGGCACGCACAGCTTACACAGCCAGGGACAGGCGCTCCGCTGTGTCTGTTCGAACGTGACAGGGTAGAGGCGGAAGAGGAGTGGGTCTTCCTGAATGCACCGCGCGGGGAGACTCTGATCGGCGAGGAACGCATTCTCATCTAACACGCGGACTTTGAGGGATGGAGGACGTAAGGACATCATCGAGCCGGGACTGCCGCATACGCCATTCGAGGATCACGTCACAGCCAGTACGGCCGGGCCGTGGAACAGCTGCATCTCGCTTTCGGTTGCGTTCAGCAAAGGCGGGGGCTGCACGAGCATCTCTCTCTGCATTGCTTTTTCTGGACAGCCGGGGGGACACGTTAGCGTCCGCCGACGAAGCTCAGGAGAAGCGACGCACCTTCTCGCTCCGCGCCTAGGGTATCTCTGTTGTATTCAGTGTCTAAGCAGTCGGACTCGGCCATGTTCCAAAACGGGATTGTACACCCGGGCTCGATGGGTGGCTGTGCATCGGCGTAGCAGGTTGGCGGGGACCGCTGGACATTCACCCATAAGTTAGAGAACGAGGAGGCTGAGGACGACGCGCTGCAATTTGCAGCGGGATGGTCGTGCATCGCCTCATGGTCCTTAGCTTCGCTCGATATATCTGAGCATTGAATGGTGGGAGCGTCGTCCTTGACCGTCGACCCCCGGACGACCTGCTGGATGCCGTTGACTATGATTGCAGGAGCCGCTTCCGCCTCATCGGAGAATTCGTTGCAAGTCGGCCATATCATTCTGAGGACGATACCGTCAGTGATTACAGGCGCGGCTTGAAACCTGTGGGCACAGCACCTAGTACCATTCACTGTGATCCTGAATATTCGAGGAATATGAGGAACGGAAGCCTCATGAGAAATGGAGATACTTGCCCAAGAATGCCCCGTACGTGAAGCCTTGGTAAGCATAGTCTCAGCCAATCAGCCAATGCCAATTCCTCTTCTCTGGCAGCTCGCTGAGTGGGCGCGTCAATGGATATGACGATGAGCTTCAGATTATTTAAAACGGGGCGGGATAGGATCGTATCGAGATCCAGGAGGGACCTGCGCAGCTTCGCCGCGTCTGTCCGGCATTCAGTATCAGCAAGCCGCAGATCTCAAGAAGGACAGAGGGATATCTCGATCCTGGAGATACGCGTCGATGTCAATTGGGACAGGACCCGGCAAGCAGGAGCACATGGTTCAAGTCCGTGAGTGTCCCGAGTCGTGAGAGACAGGCGTTCTAAGAGTGGGTTCGCTGATAGATCGAGAGGGTGTCCTATAATCACATAATCAAGCTATGTCTGGACGCACAGCTTAAGCACATTAAATAATACCTTCACTGAGATCGGCACAAATTACGCCGCTGCTCTGTGTTGGGTCGTAATTCGACGGAGAAGCGAGGGTAATTACTCTTAATGACAGCCCGATATGTTTGATCAGTCTACCAAGGATGTGGTCTGTCTCTCTAATGATGTGCAAGGAAGGGGACATTTGCATGCTGACGTCAGTCAGGCAGTGGCATAGGCCTGTAACGATGAAGTTATCCACCAAGTCAACCAAGGACTGAGGTTAGGGGTGCTCAATTCTTGTCGCTCGCTCGTTCGTTCGCCGATCGACCACCTTTTTTGGTAGGTATTTTCAACCCCGACTGATCGCTCAGCCACCTACCTACAAAAAAGGTGGTCAATCGGCGAACGAACGAGCGAGCGACAAGAATTGAGCGCCTCTAAAATTGTGCCTTGAGGCTGACATTAATTTCCGATCGCTCAAAGGAAGGATCACCAACTCATTGATCCGCTCTCATTCAAGTTGGAGGTGAGAGCAGACATACGAAACCATAGGTGTCCATACAACTTCGATGGCACTGGAGTGCACGGTTATCATGCGCCATCGCAAACCTGATGGTCTATTGTGTCTTGCCGGGTAGACATCAATACGTAGCCAGTTGTCTGGGAATCGACAACGCGTCACGAACAACGCATCACAAACAAGTTGATAGCGCGGATGCCGTTTCTGGCGAAAGAATGATCGATCGGAAGATGCCGCGGGAGCGCGCACACCGGGCCAGCCGGGCCTACTGGTCGCTTTGCGACTCAAACGGGAGGGAAATGTTCGCAGATAACTTGATGGCCGCTTCCTTCACCATCAAGACCATTCTCGAAATCCGGGGCACGAATACCACGCTCACGGAGAAGAAGGCCACGCTCAAAATCACTGCTTTTGACTCGGAATGGACAACGGACATGGACGATCACGCAGAGCGCCGCGCTCGTGGCTCATGCGAGCACCAAGCTCTTTAAAGGCATACTGCGCGGACAGCCAACGCGCACCAAGGTGAGCGAGGTGCCGCGGACGATTATCGTCTCTACACGTCCCCTGACCAGCAACGGTACCTGTAGTGGTCAATACCACTACACGGTCATCGTAGTACAAAACGGACTATTACTTACCAACGGCCATTCGTAGATAGCGATCTGTTTGTATCGCGAGCGTGCACGCGCGCCGCGCTGGTTCCTGTTACGGTAATATCCCTCTCCCGCTCTCCCCCTGTTTTAGATCACTATCTCCATATGCACAGGTACCCTACGGTCTCGATGTAGTTACCGGCTCGTCCATAAACCTGTTGTGCGTACGCTGTGTAGTCTCGTCGAATCAACGCCAGTATCGGCGCCCCTTTTGTTCGCGAATCCTCGCTTGTCTCTTCGCTCGCCCTCGACAGTTCGACGTCCGGATCTTTTCCGCTACGCGCTTCGCTCGACGTGCCCGTTACAGTACCGTGCTCGGCCGCTATTCCACCCGGTGGGTCATGCTCTCCGCATCCACACATATCCAGGGGTAAGCATCTTGGGTGCGAGAAAGCGTGGGCTCAATAAAACATGATAGACGTGTAGACCATATACCGGCATCTGGATTCGTGCTCTGTATTTTAATGTCACCAATGCTACGGCTACACATTCGCCAGGCCAGTAACTAGATTGTCATATCACTTGCCGACGACATCCTTGAGCTGTGTCTTCGGGATCGCTTCGGGGTACGCCTTCTGCCGCAGGCGAACGTGCGTCCCCTGCTCGTACGCATACGCATACTTGATGAGGTTGAATTCGCTGTGCGCTGTGCCGAGAAACGCGATCCCAAAGGGCATATTGGGCCCGTTCATCCGCGTCGGGTTCGCTGCTTCCAGTGCAACGTCTGCCGGCTGGAAGCCGAGTGGAACTGTGTCATGCACGTTGTTTTGAGCACACCCTCGTTCCCACAGTAAGAGCTACGTACCAGAGATGACGGGATACCCTGCGACTGCTGCGGGCCGTGAGGCCTTGCTGGTCGGCATGAGGATCGCGTCGAGGTTGTATTGCTTTAGTGCGCCGTCGATGCCCTTCTCGCGGCCCATTTCATAGTCGTGCAGTAGGGCATGCCAATATGTCGCGTCTTGCTTCGCCAGATCGGATTCCTCTAAGCTGGATGACGACTGCTAAGTCAGCGAGGGTGTTCTTGTCAAGAAAATCCGACCACAGACGTTACTTGATCGGCCCAGAATGGCTCGATGAGCTCCTTGTCCGCGTGCGTCTTGTTGAACTCAATGATGTCATTGAGCGTTTTGACGCCGGTCGGCACCTCGATAAGTTTCGATATGTACTGCTCAACATTGACCTGCACGGCACATGCGTGTTCAACACGCCGCCCGCACGGAACCGACTCCGCACGCACCTTAAAGTCGCCACACAACACCCGCGCCTCCAACTCCCACAACCTGTTCGGGTCCCACTCGCCTGCATGGCCCTCAAAGTCTGCCGGATCCACGATCGTCGCGCCCAGCCCGCGCATGATCTCCAGCGCCTTGTTGAACTCGATGACGTGGTTCACATCTGAGTTTTCAAACGCATTTCGCGGCACCCCGAGCCGCGCGCCCTTCAGCCCGTCCGCGCGCAGAGCCTGTGTGTAGTCCGGAACGACTGCGGGCTGCGCGAGGGAGTAGTTGTCGCGCGGGTCGGGCCCGACGATCGCGCCCAGGATGATGGCGACGTCCGTGACGGTGCGGCACATCGGGCCCACGCTGTCCTGGTGCTCCGAGATCGGCACGACTGTACCATGCAATTGTCAGCGTAAGACACCAGCATGTGTGCAGACAACGCACCGCCCGCGCGCGATGTGAGCCCCACGGTCGGCTTGATGCCCACGATGTTGTTGTGACTGCTGGGCGAGATGATCGACCCGTCCGTCTCGGACCCGAGCGACCCCGCAGCGAGCCCGATCGCCATTGCGACGCCGCTACCAGAGCTCGACCCGGACGGGTTCCCCAGCGGTACATACGGGTTCGTGCACTGTCCCGCAAGGCCGCAGAAGCCGGAGGGGATCTTGCCGCGCCAATGTGCCCACTCGGAGAGGCTCGCCTTGCCGAGGAGGATCGCTCCGGCAGCTCGCAGCTTGGCAGACACAGTGGCGTCGTCAGGGACGACAGAGCCGTGGAGGGCGTATGAGCCCGCGGTTGTGTTCATGCCTGGAGCCAGTTAGGAGTGCAGTGCAGACTGGCAGAGGAAGAACACGCACCTTCGCTGTGCAAAGTGGCGATGTTGTCCTTCAGTAGGATGGGGATCCCATGCAGCGGTCCGCGTGCTCCCTTGGACCTCCGCTCTTCATCTAGCTCTGCTGCCTGCTTGAGCGCATTGGGATTTGTCTCAATGATAGCGCGCAGCCCTGGGCCCTTGATGTTGACTTCGTCGATTCTGGCGAGGTACGCCTTCCTTGGGTTAACACTTCGATGTTTCGACAGAGAACGCTCGCCGAACTCACCTTGACGAGATCAACGCTAGTGAAGCGTCGCTTCTTGAGCCCCTCCTGCAGCTCCTCGATTGTCGCCTCGTACAAGTCTGGGTAGGCATACATACCGAGAAAAGGGATGTGCCCGCCGCTAGACACCGCTAAGTACACACCAAGGACTGCAGCTAGAGCAGACAAAAGGGTCAAGCGGGAAGAGATCATAGCATCCCTCCGGAACTGGCGGAGTCAGCTGTCCACTTCACCTTAAGCCTCGAGGACAATGCAAGGCTGCCATATATCGACTGTGAATCCCTTATCTCGTATTTTTGCCCCGAAGCGGCACGGGACGGCTGCTTTGTTCTCGCGGACGGCGGCCCTGTCTGCATGGCGTGCTGGGTGGGTTGCCGGCGGTTACGCTGTATAGAATGCCGTCGCGGGTAAAAAAAACCATAATGCTAGACCTTATGTCGAGCCGAAAGGCCTTGTACGTGTACAATGCAGGACAGTGGAATGTTCAACATTCAACGTTGAATGTTTGCGGAGGGTACATATATCCAACGATCGGATCTGGATGATCGGAGACTCGGGATCGAGACCTCGGTCCGCCACTCTATCACTGACAGGCACCCGATCAGGTTCCTAACCCTGGTGCCTACGTGTGCCTACGTACTTAACCTGTTCATCTTGCCACTTGTCAAGAGCTTCTCCACCCAATTGAGCATGACGAGTCTGTCACTAGTACTCTGACCACAACACACCCGTCCACTGCGTTCACGGATGTACGAGAATCTTGACTAGGAAGGCAGCGACAGGGCAGTCAGCCACGAGACACCTTGCTATCGCCCGCACTCACTTTGCGAATCTTTGTCTTCAGCTAGCACTTTAATGCCGCCTGTCATCAGTTCTTCCAGCGGGATCTTCTTGGTAATGAGATCGCCGAGTAAGAGAAACTTCCCGTCCGCCACGGCCTGCAATATCTCTGGATGCTCCCGGTCGTAGCCCTGGCTCGCTATCATTCTGGTCAGACTCGCTGCAAGCGTTCAAGCGAGGGTGGGCTTTACATGTGAGAAATAGCTCCTTCCGCTGGAGCGTCATGATGTCCAGCGTCGGCGACTTGTCCCACACCGCGACCTGCACGACCGTGCCCCTCGGCCGTGCCGCCTTGAGCGCTGCATCAAAGGTCGCCTGCGTGCCTGCGCAGTCGTATACGACATCTGCGCCGAGGCCGCCTGTCGCCTTGAACGTTTCGGCAGCCACGTCGCTTGACAGGGGGTCGAACAAGGCCGAGGCAGAAAGCTTTAGCGCTGTCTCGCGACGGCGCGCCGCGGGCTCCGAGATCCCGACCCAAGATGCCCCGAATGCGCTAAAGGTTCAGAAGACATCTCAGATTAAGCCGTGATGCGTTCCGTGCGGAGTAAACTTACCGCAGAACGAGGAGGACAAGAAGGCCGACCTGTGAGACATTCGATGCATCCCAGAGTGATCAGGTGCGAGGGTCTAACCGATATGTAAATGTAGTACGTACCGGCCCTGCCCCAATGATGAGGGCGCTGTTTCCTTTATGCAATTTCGATATCTTGACAGCGTGCCATGCCACGGACAACGGCTCTATCAGGGCACCGATCTCCACTATGCGAGATTAGGGCCACTGATGTGATGGAACATAACGTCACTCACGAGAGATGCCATCCGGAAGAACATGAACGAACTCCTGCTTGATCGCAATGTACTCTGCAAGGCCACCACCCCATCCACCGATTCCCTGACGGTGCCGATGCCGAAGTCTGTGAGATCCCGGGTAAAAGGTATCCCACGAGAATACGTACGATGAACGTAGCGAGCGGACAAATGTTTCTGGTCCCCGCAGAGCACGGCTTGCACGTCGGTTCCATGCAAGAGATGAGTGGTTCGCTGCTTGATCGTAAGGCACTTGCACCCCAGTGCAGAATTAGACTGCTTCTCACATAACGACATTCTTCCCGACGGACAGCCTCTCGGTGTCAACTCCCGGCCCAAGCGCTACAATGGTTCCGGAGAACCTGCAGGAGCGTTATGCGCACTGTGAGTTGGAGGGAACAGTATGAGGAATACGCACTCATGTCCCATCACAACCGGCAATCTCTCCTTCGTGACCGGGTGAACGTCTGTAAGCGTGGGCGAGGGCGGCAAGAACGCAAAGTATGAATGCACGTCCGAGCCGCATACTACGTTCCATCATTTAGAGGCGTTTGCGGTCGACATAGTAATCACCCACTTCCGTTCCTGTGGCAGCGTGGAACATAAGCGATTGGACGGCGAGCAGCGGGCAATGCTCACCAAGCGACCTAAATATGAATGAGGGCACTGTCCCTGTCCATAACTACTACACAGCGCACCTTCAACTTGACTTGCCCCGCTTCGGGCATCGGTTCAGGGACGTCGTCAAGGCGAATATCTCCAGGTCCATAATACTGTATAGCCTTCATCGTTGTCTGACAGTACCTTCAGGTTGCTTGCGACGAGATGCGTTCAGCGATACGCCAAACCGTGTACAAATCGCGTAACAGTCACATGCCTCTGGGGGCCTTCTCGTCATGTGGGAACATGCAAGGACTTTGAACCATGGAACAATCTCATGACCACACGACCTCGTGCCAGCCAGCGACTCGGAATCTGATAGAGGGGCCGGAATAAACCGCGTTTCATGACTTAAGCTAACTGTGAACTGACTGCAAAATCATTGAGTTCATGAGGAAGAGTCAGTGGTGATCGTGGTGAAGAGACCGGTCGAATTTGACGAGGAATTTGAAGCGGGCCTCGGCAGATGCCGGACGATATTGCCTCCAGATGCCTTCCTCCTCTTCACCACATGCATATTATTTCTCGCTATATTTGACCAACCAACCATTCCACTCAGTATGCTCGGGACAGACTATAAAGGATGTGCGAGGTGGACGATGTCTCTGCCAGTACTAGTGTCAAGCACTTGGTGCGTATCGAGTCGGCGGCTGCCACTTCAGCGGTTCCACCTCCCTTTCTGGCCCGGATGATAACTCTGGCGCTGCTTTGCATCATGTCTCAAGAATATACGTAACTAGCTAGCACTCTATCATAAATAGACTTCGGGAAACTCTCGGGCACCCGGAGTCGTCGGGCTGACAGAGGATCCCGACCCATATTGCAACGCTATGGCATGGAATGCGAAGACGTGTATTCTAGTGGGTCGACGTCTGTCACCATTGCCTAAACAGAGGTGGCCTGGCGCGTGGGCAACTAGTTACTGATGAGATGTTATCGGCGCTCGGGCATCATGATGCCTATAAGACAGCCAGAGGACGATCTGCAAGACGCCATCCAACTTCTTTCGCCGATCGGAACTCATCGAATAGCACTCGCACATTATGTCTCTCCGCGTCGACGAATTCACAGCCAAGCGGCTTGTGTACGAAACCTCACTACCGTTTGATACAGTAGCAGCGCGCTTGGACGAGCAGCTGAGCTTGGACAAGTCGGGTCCAAACATGATCGCACTGCTCAGAGGCGCCAAGACTCGAGAAGATCTCGAGCAGGGTATGACGAATATGACCAATGGGAAGGATTTCGCGTACGCGTCGCCTCTCAAATTCACCTCACATTCACATAGAGCTTACTTATGGCTGACAGGACCTTCATCCGCGCATCCTTCCACGGCTGGCGCAATGCGTATTACGGCACAACGGATGCGCCAAAGACGTTCCAGTACATCTTCGGGAACCCGCTTGTCGCGGAAACGATGGCGAAGCACGACATCTTCACCGCGCTGAACGTCCCCCTCCGGCTACTGGTGACCGAGAAGGCGGATCGGAGCGGGACACAGCTTGTGTATTTGCAACCTTCGACGATTGTCGCGGTTCCAGTCGACGGCGAGGTCAACGAAGACCTGAAGGCCGCTGCGGAAGCTCTCGATGCGAAGGTGGAGAAGCTGATCCGGACAGTAACGAGCCCTTGAGAGGCCGGGCTGGGCAAGTCGCGCCATTGGGAAGGGGCGTGTGGACCGTCATCAGAAGTTATGCTCTTGCGGATGGGAAGATAGCGAAGCACTTACGCATTCCCATTTTTGATGTCCTTCGATATATAATGAGACTTGGATCGTGCACTGTCCGCTGCCGAGTTTACCAGTACATTGCAAGTTTCGTCCAGAACATGTTCAACTTCAGCTCATGCTGAGGATTACAGGAGACACCGTCCGACCTGATGGGCCCACGATAGTATGTGAACAAGAATGTAGCCGACTCGTACGTTATGCGAGAGCTCAATGGTTCTCAGCTTCGAGGGCCTGAAACGATCGATCCGGACAGCCACGTGGTTATCTCCTATCTCGTGCAGCTCCATCCCTTCAGCACGCCCTTGTACTTGAACGTCCACGTTCACGCTTCAATTAGGGTGCAGTTAAGGACTTCATTCTCTTCCCCCACGTTCTCTGCTGGTCTACATCTACAGAAATGGAGCAGGATACAAGCACGAGCGTGTCTACCATTCGTGGTCTCCCTCGTCTGGATACTTTCGTGCTCGCTACCTCAGGCGCAATCGCAGGAGAGGAGGACTGGGCCCGCCCGCCTTCGCCGCACAGCGGGTTGCCATCACCAAGTGATTCCGTGTCTTCTTTTCCCTCAGTGTCCTCGTCGTTTCTGTTTTCCTCTGGCCCCGGTAGTCCCCCGCATTCACATCCGGAGTCGCGCTCTGACGCTGGGTACGATCACGACTTGCACGATTCAACTAGCGGACTCGTAATACCCTCTTTGACGCTACCTGCGCCCGCACCCCGACCGACGCCATACGGCCAGACACTTGGGGACTTACGCCTGCTTATTCTTGCGCCCCGGCGTGCGGCTTCGTCCACCGCGGCGCTCGTAGCATCTCTGATCGAAGACAACGATGATATTGTTGAGCAAGGCTCCTGGGAGGAGCTGCTCGCAGACACAGGCAGCGCGGAGCGGGCGTCCGTGCTACGCGCCTCGACGGCCTGGGTCGAGCAACGGGACGCGCACGGGCTTGAATGCACCGAGCCTGCGCGCAACGTGGAAATCGTGGAGCTTTCTGGATATGACTCATCAGACGATGTGCGTCGCGCTTTCCGTATCTCGGTGTGCGCGATTGGTATGCTCATAGACTCTGTGTGCAGGTGCAGATGATTGTAGACCGCACGCTACCGATCGTGCATGCGCCGTTTTATCAAGTGCTGGAGGCTCTCAACCCAGAGTATGCACCGAGCGCAGTGCTCGCGAACCTTCTTTCATCCTCGTCGTCGCCATTGTATACGGCAATGATTCTTCTATTGACGTCATGTAAGTCTTTCTGTACCAGATCTCGATTGGATATTTGTTGCTGGCATCTGTCTCCATTCGAACGTGTGTCGTAATGACAAGCCGATTTGGCGGGCGTATTATTCTAGACCATACACAAATACGCCGGCCTAGCCGGGAGCCGCGCAGATCACTACGATTGGCAACCCAATGTATTTGTAGAGCCTCCGTTTCTCGCACTCACTTGGTCCGTGGCTCGAGCTCACCTGCACATTCCAGCCCCCAACGCGACCGAGAAGGCGCTCCTGGACGCTCTGAGCCCTCATATCCCGCTGATTGTCATTCCGCCTCTTCCCGGGCAGCCAGCTTACCCGTCATATACCTACAAATACACATCATACCCCTTCTCCGGCCGATCGTCCGCCAATGACTCGCCTGTATACCCTGCCGGCCCAAGCTCACCAATCCTTGCTGCCCCCCTTTCCGCGTTCCGCCCCTCGTCTCCTGAAGTCCTGCGTGGGGGCCTGTTCCGCACGCCCGAGACGATCGCGCATCTGCGTGCCGAGGGATCCGCGCGATTCCTACGCTGGCGCGAGGTCGAGCGCGCCGTGGCGCGGATCAGCGCGAGCAGTGGTGGTACTATCAGGGCATCTGGTCCGAAAGCGAGCGCGAACAAGGGTAAGAATACCTGGGACAAGGCGCAATGGGAAGCACAATGGGAGGGCACATTATCGCAGGACATCGCTGCGGGCCTGCAAAGGCGGAAGCGCGCGGACATCGCGGTACCCCCCACGCAACCGAGATTCAACCGCGAATTTTACGAGAGCCGGCCAGCTGCCTTCACGGATTCGCAAGTTGACCGGAAATATCGCCCCTGCGTGCCTCCTGCGTTCGATCCACTACACGTCGGATCTCTCGTGGCGTTCTCGCTATCCCTGCTCGGCCCGCTCCGCGCGCGAATTGCACACTCGCTCGGCGTGGGTATGGCTCCGTATATGGGGTGCGCGAATGTGGAGAAGGAGGAGGCACAAGTGAAGACAGGCGCAGGGCTCGGTTTTGGGCTCGGTCTGGCGCTTGTAGGCGTATTTTGTGCGGGGTTAGGGCTGGGGCTTTTGGTTGCGAGGAGGTGAACGGCCGGACCTTTGACGTCGGGGCAATCATGGGGTTGGTTTGATCCTGATGTGCTGATGATATTGTGCTGCTGGTGAGGCAAGTACTGCTGTGTATTTGTGTGCGGGGTGTTGTATCGGTATCATCGTCGCGATACGTTTAGGTTTATTTCCTACGGAACTCTATATACATTTGTACTTGTACTGGTAGCATGTGTCTGCAGAATCGTATTTATCCCTTTTGTCCACGTAGTCAAATTCACTCTTGAGCCGAAGGAATATTGATCGGTGATATGAGACGCAGACGGCCTACTCCGCAGAAGCTTTCAGCGCCACTTTGCATCTAACTTAGCGGAAGCGATTTTATACACATGCTCCACGAAATCTGTTCTGCAATCTGTTTCATAATTAGCTTTCAGGGCGTGTTTAGGAACTTGAACAAGTTAAGCAACTCTCTATTATGGACCACGACATCGCAGTGCATCTGTCAGCGCAGAAGCGAGCAATTCAATGTGAGCCGTGATTGGCTGCTGTGGGGTCTCGTGCGCAAGTTCACGTGTCACGTGTAGCGCGTCGCCTATCGACGCGTAAACGCTGCGCTTATTTGCCTTCGGCTTTGCGCGCTAACTGAACCTTCATGATTAGCCGAGGCGAAGTCAATCACGAGAGGGTGTCTGCTGACCATGTTGGGGCATTTGGCACGGCTGTTCCCAGGCTGACCCAGGCCGACATGGAATTTATGTCAGTCGCCGTTCAGCTGAGTCCATCCTGCAAGCAGTGCACCCCGTAGCATCCGCGCGACATGCAGAGAAAGGCCAGCACGGAGCGGCGTCAAAGGGGCACACAGACCCGCCCCACCGCACGACGCAGCTCATCGACGGCGTGTAGACATCCTCACACGCGCAGTCGTCTGCGAGCTCCACTGGGCGACGCCGGGCGGATCATCCTGCGCCCTCCATGGCCCTCATTCTCTTTCATACTCGTCCGCGCGGCTCTGCTATCAAGGGAGCACCCCCTCCATTTACCAGGTCTTTGTACTCAGCTGCGACAGCATCTCAAACAGCACTCATATCCTGGCCTCCGCTCGAGCGTCCCGAATTGGCAACGGGCCCGAGTGTATTCGCAGGCGAACGCGACATTCTTGCGCAGGCTTTCTATGCCTGAGGAGTCTGTCTCGGAGGCACAGTATCATGGCGTGCTGGAGAATCTGGCGGTGGATGAGCTACCGCCACCAATAGACCGAGACACCAAAATTGTGAGTTGTGTCGCTTCGTCTGTGTTATTGTCCAGAGTGGTGCGCGTTGTTGATGATTCCTCACTCCCCGGTTCCGTTAGGAAAAATCGCTTCTCCTGATACATGATGCACCCATGGTACACCGAATGAATGCCCGCGGCAGACAGCCACCGTCTTGCGAATTACCTAGCAGCGGTAACGAGAGGTGGCCAAAACGGACTACACGCCCTCGCATACTAATCGTACGGATCCTCCGTGGATTGGGTTTCCATCGTTTGCGCTCCTTCATTTCCTGCACCTAGACCAACGGCCCTTTGAAGCACCTCTCTCATGAATCCGGTTATGATCGGCTAGACCGTCAGACACACTCGTTCTATCACGTAGACGCATACATCACGGACACCTCACGTACGTCACACTGCGACCCCTCACAGAATATCGTTTTATCCGATCAATCTTTCTCCTCTCGTTACACGGCTGTTATATTGCGAACCATCTTTTCCACCTTCGCATCCAGAATTTTCGCAGCGGCCATGACTTCTGTGTTGACATTGCCGTCGACCGGGATGGCGATGATCGTAGAAGGCTGTAGGTACACCACCTGCGTGCCCGTCCGATCTGCTCTCTCGGTCACAAGTAGCCGAAGGGGAATGTTCAGTGCGGCAAGTGAGTCGTGCTTCATTATATTCTCCGCGAAGATGGGGTTCCCGAAGATATACTGGATGGCCTTTGGTGCGTCTGTCGCGCCATTGTAGGCGTTCCTCCAATTGTGATAGGGCGCGGAGATGAACTCGCTGAGAATCACATTGATGTGTGAGACAGATGCTGTGACAAGGGGTACGTACACGAAGTCCTTCCCTCCAGACATCTCCTGCACGCCCTGCTCGAGCTCCTCCCTGTTCTTTGCAGTCCTGAGCAGCTGGATCATCTTCAGGCCTCCCTTTTCCTTGTTTAATTCCTCGTTGAGGCGAGCGATGACTACATCGACGGCCAATGGAGTGTCCCATACAAGGCGCCTGGCCGTGAACTCGTCAATGCGCAAGGACATGCGTAATGGTGTGTGGTGACGGTGAAAAAGAGTGATTGACCTGAAGGAAGGAAAGAGAAGGGGGCGGAGATAATACGCGTTGGGACTTTTGAGTGCCACTTGTCTAATGATTCGCGCTCACATCACTTAACTGTCGCCCAAGCACATGACAGTTTTATGACACCCGAACCCAGGTAGAATCCATATAGCACATGACTAGTACAATGCCAGCAAATACCTCATGATTAGAGATGCGCTGAGGGTACGACACGACTGCCTCTTATAAGCTAACGGTGACCGCCCGTGTCTGTGTATTCGCAGACTCATTGACCTTGGCCAGTATGCGATCCTGAGATGTAAATCGTGGCGCCTTGTTCGTTTATCGGTAATAGGTGGGGTGGTTCCCATGCCATTTTTGGACGCGAAATTGTGTCAGATGTCTGAGCAGACATCAAAGGTTGTCGGCGCTCGTGTCTGCCCTGCTGAGCACGCGTCGCGACGCGTCGATGGCAATACATGATCGCGACGCGATCGAAGGCCACGTGATGTGATCCTGGGATGGAATCTGACTGTATCCGACCGATTCATCCTTTCGTTCTTCCGCATGTCCTCCCACACCTTTACACTCATAACATACATATGGTTGCCTTTCTTGACCTCCCGCTCGAGCTTCTCCCGCTAATAATACAGCATCTCGTGCGGCCCAGTCACATAGCCGCGGTGTGTCTGGTAAACAGGACGTTCTATGACTTCGCGATCTCGCATTTGTACAAGCGCGTCTTTGTCTATGCGTGGCACAAAGAGGCGAAACTAAGGGTACGTCATCATTTATATATACGATGTGCACCGTATTCGCGTCCTTGCGAATGTATTGCCGGGGTCTTCACGTCCACTAACTTTCGGATCGAGGTGATCAAACTATTCACCACGTTAGCCGAACATCCGCATCTCGCTCAACACGTCTATCAGCTTGGTGAGTTCACTATCCACGTATCTCTCGTGCTCGATAGTGCGCCGAGCTGACCCTTTTAGTAGAAATCCGGGATTTCCCCAAAGCATTGAACGCGGCTGATTATGAGACAGTTGAGAACATATGCCTTGTCGGCATACGTAATTGTAGGAACCTACGTGTTTGCACATGGACTCGAGACGGCTCCTTGACGACCAACATACTGGAGGCCTTGCAGCAGTGCCCGGCGTTACAAGAGCTAGAAATCAATGGTCACAACGAGGGGAACTATAAACCCTGGCTGCTGACCAAATTCCACAGCCTGCGCCGCATCTCCCTCATTATGCCTAGTGCATCGGTAATTGAGACACTTCCTACGTGGTTGCAAAATACAGGAATTACTGTGCGCCATCTAAGTCTCATCTGCAAGGTCAGTCGTTGGCTTCGATGAGTTCGATGTTGAATTGTATAGCATTCTGCAGACAGGTACGGTTGTAAACGACGGTCTTCTTGAGTCGCTTGTGCCCTTCTTGCCGAATCTCGAGCACCTGTACTTCGTCAACTGTATCAAAGTCACCGATCGCGGACTTGTTGCCCTCTTGTCCCAGAATGTCATCGGCCTGCGAGGATTGGGTTTAGAGGGTGTTTCCCCTCAATTCGTATGTTCACACTTGTATTCTGCGGGCGTTGTTCATGACCTTGCGTCAGGACATGAGAGAATTTAGCCAGACGTGTACCCGATCAGGCACGATGAACCGGCTGCAATCAATTACTCTCACCATCAGCGCTCACTTGTCACCAACCTGGGAAGTGGACGTCGTTGAGCTTTTAAAGCCTGCTCCACTAGAGCGATTTCATGTTTCGACTACGGGGGGAACAGTGGGCAACACATTGAATGATGCATTTTGTGCGCAGATCGTTGATATACATGGCTCTCGTCTGCGCCGTTTCTCCGTCCATCGCATGCGCATGAGTGTGGCTGCGATCGAGGATATATGCCGGCGATGTGTACAGTTGGAGCAGCTATTTATCGTGGTCGATCAGCACAAACTCGTACGTTGACATACGTTTCCTCCCCGTGCGGAACGTATTCACACATGTGTTTCTCGGCGCGCCTAGGAAGCGATCGGGCCCGCTCTGGCTCTGGCCCGCAACCTGCGCTCGGTGCACATAAACCGCCCTCTGGATTTGGGCTCCGAAGACATCCCGGTGCTCGCGCGTGAACGTATCCTGGAGATCGTGAAGCAATGCGGCCCTAACCTCAGGCAGTTCGGGTACAACACGCGCGTACTACAAGTATGTTGCGTCCGCCGAGCTATATAAGAGGATGATTCTCACCATGCCTCAATTTCTAGGTCGAGCGTGTGGTACACTCCGTTGGCGTCGATGTGCGGCTCGGATCGTACGAAAACCCGGAGGTTCCAGAGCAGTTCCTTGTAGTTCGGACGTAAAAGATGAGCACGGGTAGAGTGGCTGCCTTCTATCGATACTTTCGCGCGCGTGGCGAAGTCTCCGAAAGGCTTCTGGTAGTATAGGCTCGCAGATAGGCTGTGGGGGTGATTTCAGTCACGATTATGCTTGTTGTGCGGTTGCCGATCCTCGTGTAAATCATGAACGTGCAGCATTCATCGATACGCCAAGTTTCCCAACACAGTGGCCCTTGAGTTTCGTTTGTCGCGAGTCATTTCGCCGTTGATGCCTGTCGCTTGACGAGTAGAGAAATTTTGACCCGACAGGCTGGGTAATAACCGTCGTCATATCTATGCGGTCACGTGATCGAAAGTGGTCCAGGAGTCGATATAAGGCCAGGCTGAAGTGCTCTGCCAAGTTCCAGCACCCCCATCGATGTCGTACCAGATCAAGGAGATCCAGACAAAGCCCTACGATGGCCAAAAGCCGGGCACATCAGGTCTCAGAAAGAGGTGAGTCTGCACTGAAATCTTGTCGAGATTGAGGAGGGGGGAAAGACGCGTTTTGTCGGGTCGGCAATATGATTGCGGGGACGCAAGGAGGGGGTATGCACGAAACGTGTTTGAGAGCCATTTCAAGCTTAGAGGATGGAGCGAGGAACGAAGTGAGGGGACTGAACAATCGAGTCCACAGAGTGGTATGCATGAATGCCGTGATCTCGATAGTCTCGCGCCCATTCTGTCCAATGCTATGCTCTCATGGCGAGCTTCAGGATTAGAATGGGCACAAGGCTTGTGAGCACATGAAGTGCAGCTGGTGGGCGTCCCCTCCTCGCTGCATGTCTTCTGGATGCTCTTGTTTCCAATACAACGATACTGATGGACTTGGTAGGGTAAAGGTGTTCCAGCAGGAGGTATGCGATTCCCCCCTCTTATCTACCGCGATCGCTCATCAGAGAATCCATATAGCATTACACGGAGAACTTTGTTCAAGCCATCTTCGACTCAATCGAACCGAAAGGCGCGACGCTTGTTATCGGCGGTGATGGTCGCTACTACTCGCCTGAGACAGCGCAGGCCATCTTGAAGATCGGTGCAGCCAACGGCGTCGCGAAGTTCATTGTTGGCCAGGACGTTATCCTGTCTACTCCTGCCGCGTCGAACGTCATCCGAAAGTATAAGGCAAACGGTGGTATTCTCCTCACCGCGAGCCACAATCCCGGTGGACCCAACAACGACTTTGGTATCAAGTACAACGTGTCAAATGGCGGCCCCGCGCCAGAGAACGTGACGAACAAGATCTACGAGAAGAGTAAGACAATTTCGAGCTACAAGCTGATCGATCTGCCGGACCTTGACCTATCCAAGACGGGCACATTCTCTTTCGGACCTGCGAAGGTCGAGGTCATCGACTCAGTGAAGGACTACCTCGAACTCCTCGAGTCGATCTTTGACTTCCCACTCATCAAGCAATTCTTGCTCGAGCGCGCCGACTCGTTCCGCGTGCTCTTCGATGGTCTTCACGGCGTAACGGGACCATACGGACGTGCGATCTTCGTCGACACCCTGGGACTACCGGCATCGTCCGTACAGAACGATAAGCCCCTGCCTGACTTTGGCGGAGGACACCCGGATCCCAACCTGACATACGCGCATGACCTCGTTGAGCGTGTTGAGCGCGAGAACATCCCTTTCGGTGCTGCGAGCGACGGCGATGGCGACCGCAACATGATCTATGGCAAAGGCGCATTCGTGACACCGAGTGACAGTGTCGCAATCATCGCCGACTGGGCAGCGGAGGCGATCCCGTACTTCAAAAAGGGCGGCGTCAAGGGCCTCGCACGCAGTATGCCTACGAGTGCCCAGATCGACTACGTCGCGAAGAAGAAGGGCCTGGAATGCCACGTCGTGCCTACAGGTACGACAGATCCTCAGGGCATCGCGGGGATATGGTGCTGATGTGTCACCGCCAGGGTGGAAGTTCTTCGGAAACCTAATGGATGCAGGCCGACTATCGATCTGCGGTGAGGAGTCGTTCGGTACAGGTTCGGACCACATCCGGGAGAAGGACGGCGTCTGGGCTGTCGTCGGTAAGTTCGTTCCGCTCTGCCCGGAGAACGTGCGCTAACGTGCAGATAGCCTGGCTCAACATCTTGGCGTACGCCAACAAGCAGTCGCCGAACAAGCTCATCGGCATCAACGAGTTGCTCCAGCAACATTACGAGGTGTACGGCCGCTCGTTCTTCTCGCGTTACGACTACGAAGAGGTTTCCTCGGACGGCGCGCAGAAGCTCGTTGACCTGCTCGACGAGCACATCAAGACGGGCGACCTCGCAGGAACGAAGCACACGTCCAAGTCTACTGGGCAGACGTTCATCGTCAAGGACGCGTACAACTTCGACTACACGGACCCGATCGACGCCAGCGTGTCGAAGAACCAGGGACAGGTCGTGCGCTTCGATGACGGTAGCCGTGTCGTCTTCCGACTGAGCGGCACTGGTAGCCAAGGCGCGACGGTGCGTATGTACGTAGAGCGGTATGTTGCGGCGGACAAGGGTGCGGCGGAGCTCGCCAAGCCAACGACGGAAGGCCTGAGCGGTCTCATCGAGGTTGCGCTCGAGCTCACGAAGTTGAAGGAGTTCCTGGGCCGTGACAAGCCTACTGTCATCACATAAGCAGAGGGACGGAAATGAATGGAATGGAGTAGAAACTGGACGGTATAACAATTTTGTAAATGTAGCATCCGTATTCGACAGAGTAAAGAAAGCATAGTTTGATTCTGGTCATCTGTTTATATACGTCATCGCCGTTAGCGGATGATCGTCCCACATTCCGCTCAACATACTGCAGATTACAAGGTGCGCTTACAACGTTTTATGGACTAGAAGAGATATGAGACGCCGCTGTGTTCAGTTGTAGAATTTTACTGTGATGCCATTGATGATATCCTTTTCGATCCCATTTTCGTCTTTTTGCAACTTCGATCTGAGGAATCTGCTCGCGCGTCCCTTCCTCCATTCCCGCATCGTAGGCGCTTCAGCATCTTCGAAGCGTCGCTTGATGCCCTCTCTTTGCAGCACGGGGCTTTTGGAGAAAGGGACTAGCTTGACATCGTCATCTGGAAGGGTGAAGTAAATCAGGCCGAGACGAGAGTAGCCCCGTTGATCCTCGGGAGGCTGGACGACGCGATGAATAGTCCCCTTGTAGTATCCTCCGGAGAGGAACTCCATGGCCTCGCCAGCATTGACAACCTGTGAAGACGCAAAGAGCTAAGGAAGGGATATGTTTGTTACTGTGGTTCACATACTATAGCGTTCTCCACGTGCTTGACCCATCGCCACTGCCCATCGTGGCAAAGGATTTGCAACGCAGAAATGGGTTGGCTCCATAGAAGGGTCAAGCCCACGTAGTCTACCGTGGCAGTCAGTGACAGATGTACACCAGCGATATGCGAGGTCTCGTCACCTGTATGACCCTTCAGCCAGACATTCTTCGCCTTCGCCTCGTCCGCCTCGGAGCGAGGGAAACTACATAGTCAGGTTAGAAGCGCAGGCGATGGCATTCACAGGACTTCGTACTATTTCATAGATCGCACTATTGCCAAGTAGTCAGCATCTGTGGGGTATGACAAAATAGACTCGCGATAAACTTGACTCACGCCACGTTTCACCTTCCGCTAAATAGCCAAATATATTCGTGAATGTATCTTCTGGCAGCTCCATGCCAGCTGCCATCAGGCTATACAAGTTATGGTGAGCCGCATGAAACGACTCATAGCTTCTCGTACATACCGAAGGAGGGGGTGCAGAACATTGAAGTGATTGAAACGAGCGAATTTACTAAGTTCGGGGAGGAAAGGCCGTACAGCCTTCGGATGCTGTTTCTTATTGACATCACGATGGACTGGAACAAGGATTTAAGTAACAAGTCGCTCGCGCGAAGGGGTATTAGGCCTACTGTTGTAATGTTCAATCTGGTCTGCGACATCCGCGTCAACCTGTGGATGGCAGTCAGACGAGACAGAACACAATCTGAGAGTGATCAGACACACCCAATACTGCCGCAGTTTGTATCCGAGGTACGAGCCCGTTTCTTTGACGTTTCCTTGGTAAGCCAGTTTCTCCTCCTCTGACACTTGAGAGAAGGGCACATCGCCGATGTCGAACATCCGCTCGTTCTATGGTGACCGACGTGAAATAATCTACATCCTACATATGACAATCATGACACTCGCCTCAGCTTGTGTCAAACCGTGATTGATAACGTAGAAGAAGCCTTGCACATTGAGGGCATTGCGCACTTCGGCTGTGAGTTCAGCGCGACCCTCAGGTGTGTCCATTTTAGATAGGTCGATGAAGGCAAGGTCGGCATATTCCACTGCGGAAGAGATTTCATATGTCATTTGGTAAAGCGGAGACGGGCAATCACATACGTGACTCCTTAGTAACTGCAGGAGGAACATAACGGGGAACTGGAGGCAGGGTCAAGGACGGCATTGTGTTGAGAGATGACGAGGACAGTAATCGCTATCTCTGAGGGTCACTGGGAGGCATCGGGGCTCCCTGTGCTTCCGCACTTATATACGCGGAGCGGGATATCGGTTCTTTAGTTCACCGAAAACCACCGCGAGCTTGAATGCAAGAACCCATGGAGTGATCCAGAGGTGCGGAGGACCTGTGGCCGTCACGATAAGCCCAGGAATATACACGAGGGTGAGATCAACAGAGAAGTATTCAGAAGATGAGACTACGCCTATCATGTGGGATAGCAGGGCTGCTATGCATACAACATAGTGCGTAGTTACCAAGTTCAGTAAATGATTCACCAGCCAGAGGTTATGAGATGCACAAAATCAGGATAGAAGTAGTTCGTGATGTCACCTGGCACCAATGGGAGGAAATTTGGCGAGGATATGTAGCTACACGATTCATATCGAGGTTGGTATCTAAGCAGATTGACACTTACGTATCCTCCATATTTGTTTGACACGTACATCCAGTGACTTGTTACGGATCCCTGTCGGAGATGAAGACGTAACTAGGTTTGACGATAGTATAGTGGAGAACCTACATTATTCCTTCGACTCTAACCATGCCGAGATCACGATGGAAGGGCTAGCCGAGAGAAGACCTAGTCAGCCGGATAAGCTGGGACAGATGAGCTGCGAAACAAAATAGACAGCAATAAGATACAATATCAGTGTCGAATTCTGATTCCCCGATCGGGGCGCTTGACGTCCGCGATCATTGTCCGCGCTCCATACGTCAATCCAATAGTCTCGGGGCGTCGTATGGCGGATATGACAGCAAAGCCGTTAAGCAAGCCTCAAAATGAGAGGGGTTTAAAAATACATCGCGATTGAGACAGCGCCGAGAGCAAATGCAGACATTAATACAACAATCGATAGACTAGCAGAAATTATCATATATCTTTGCGTACCACCACCAACCTATCCGCGTGAATCTCCTCTACCAAATACGACTGTGTCGTGACAATCATCATGCCAGTCGGCTCAATCAAGCCAACTGTTGCAAGCTGGCCCTTATGAGCGCCGTACAGAATCATGACTTCATCCTTCGACTTTAAGGGGTGAACAGGCATTAGGACATCGACAGGCACTTGCAGCGTGGATTGCGATGGATCAAGCGGCTCATCAAATTTGACCGTTGCGGTTGTGCCAAATTGCTCGTTGTGGGTATTAAGGATGGATAGGACGACACCAGTTTTTGCCTCATACTGGCCGTTGTACCATTTGCTTGAAGAGCCCTGAATCTTCACTGCGATGCCGCGAACCTGATCCACAATTTCAGAGTCGAGCAACCATCTCTCAGACAATTCTATAGGTAGATTATTAAGATGGATATTCCTGAATACGTGTAGGATAACTGACCATAAGCGCCCGCATTGGAGTGAGAAATACCCGTAGTCTGGGGAGCTGGTGTAGGGGCAGAAGCCATAGGGTTAAACATCGCGCCTGGCGTCCTGAAAGTCTCATAGGGGCCTTCGAAGGCGCCTGGCGTCTGGGCTGCAAACCCATCTGCTCCCGGCGTGAAAGCGACGCCCGGTGTTTGTGCATTAGCTGGTTCACCCTGTTATGTCGATTCAGCGACGTTTCGCTTCGAGGACGCTGTCAGACTCACCCAGCTGAGGGCATCGCCCCATCCTCCTGAGCTATTCCATCCACCGCTAGTGGTCTCCCGTCTCGGTGATGACGCACCCCACGCGGGCGTAGCACCACCCCAAGTAGAGTTCGGTCGAGGTGTGGTACCGCCTTGTGCGTTATAGGGATTCCGTGGCGACCGCGCACTTGCATTCCATGCGGGTGTTTGGCTGCCCGCGGCATATGGGTTGGGGGTGCGCGCAGACGCGTTCCATGCAGGAGTCTTCCCTCCGTTATCGTACGGGTTTGGTGTACGCGCAGACGCGTTCCACGCCGGCGTACGACTGCTGTCGTATGGATTCGGCGTACGCGTTGCTGCACCTCCCCAAGGTGTTCGGTTGCCTGCGTACGGGTTGGGCGTCTTCGGACCGTTGCTATTGTAAGAATTACGCGGAGGTCCCATTGCACTTTCCAGAGCCTCGAGTGTGCCATTTGGACTACGTCCAAGTTAGCATACTCATTAGAAGGAAAGGCAGACGCACATACTTGCGTCTCTTCAGTTTGCTCTTGTCAATAGAGATGATCTTGTTGTTCGTGACGAGCTCTACACGCGCAATCGGTCCGTTCGTATCCTTGATAGTACCGACATAACCCTTCTGCGGGCCCTTGACGATGGTAACGGTCACGCCTATCAGGCGGTCCCGAGGTCCACGCCCGATGTTCCCCGAGCCTACCATTCCACCCATGGCACCTCCGCTCAGCGCGGGATTCATCTTAGATAAGTCAGCCGCGCCGAGCTTCATGACATTGCCCTTGGGGGCGAGCGATACTAACGACCGAGCGCGGGTGACGAACACACCGCCATTCTCGTTGTAGTCGCGATTGTGCAAGAACGCAAAGAACGATTGATGCGTGTGCAATACACGACCCTTACGACCCTGCATAGACGTCAATTACTGCGTGGAGGCATAGGTATCAGCACTCACTTCACCATCGATCTCCTTGACATTGTCATTTACGCGAAGCTCATGACCTTCAGAGTCGGTAGCAATAGCTCTGTTAGAATCTCTTCGCATCGAAATTTGATGTGGTTGGACGAGGCGGACTTGACCATTCTGATCGAGGACACGGAACGAGTCTCGCTCTGTTTTGAAAATGACTCCTACCGTTTGCAAGCTGTGATAAATCAGTATACGCACTTGTAACACTCAATAACTCAGACTTACTCTAATTGAACGAGGTCATGCAACTCGTAGTTTCCAACGACGTTAGTGCCCGTGCCAACCTCAGCGGCTTCACGCAAATCTTTGGAAAATACGGACACCTGCATATTTGTCATGAGAGGGACGCGACTGGTGACAAAGGGGACGCACCTCTTGCATGGACATATCCGACAGGAACGTGACAACGTTGTCTACAACGGACACAACGAGACCCGTCTCGTCCGCGTTCTGTCCCGTCATCACCTTGACATGGTCTCCCGGTTTGAAGCGCTTGCGGACACTCCTCGCGGGTATCTGTATCCGCTGACCATCGAAGTCGACACCGACAGGTTCAATGGTCACGATATCTTGCTCGACTGAGTGGACTGTTCCGTGCACACCGGCTTGTTCGCCCTCGAAAACCTCCACATGGTCACCGGGTTGTAGCACGGAAATGGCGGCTTTTCGCGACGCCTCGGCAATGATCGACAGATCGACGTTCGACTCGTTCTCCGCACCATCTTGCCCGCGCGTGAAACGCGTGATCTCATCGAGCGTCGGGTTGACATTGTCCAGTTGGAGAGCAGTGAGACGGAAGTCCTTCTCAATAAAGCCGTCCTTGTACGTGTCATTCTGGAACACGTACACCTGGTTCCGCTTCGACACTGCTTTGCGCCCGTACACCTTGATGGCTTCCTCGTAGTTGAAGAACCGCTGCGGAGGACGCATGCTGAATGATGACACGCCGTTGGCACCCTTCTTCCGCTTCTTTCCCATCGCGTCGATCGCGCCGTCGTCCTTCGGGTTGAGGTCGATGCGAGGAATAAACTTGAGACCGACCTCCTCCCCGTTCTCTGTGATGTCCATGACCTGCGCGAGATCACCTTGATACTTCCCGCGACGGATGCGAACCCAGCTGCCGGGGGTTACAGTAAGATCTTGCTTCTTGATCTGGAGCAAGCTTGCCATCTCCTCAATGGGCACAAGCACAATACCGCGGCTAGGGTATATACCAACCAGGCCATTGCACGCTTCGCTGACTTGCTTTGCGCTGCGAGCTTCGACATAGATCATCCCAGGGAGAGAGTCGCGCTGGAATGCCGACAGAATCTGGAGTGGACGGTTGGAGTATTCAAGATCAAGAGCCTTGCGCATGAGACTGAAGACGAGGTCACGCTCTTTGCCAGGCTGTACAAGAGTCAGTAGCACACAGGCTGGATAAATGACAGTACATACCCTCACGCGGACTTGCCATAGGTTAGCATCGTGAACGGACGGCATCAGCAGCCGCTGGGGAATATCGCTCATGTCGCCCGAATAACGCACCGCAGTACGCCTATACCGCTGGCTGACATCCTCTGCGATTTTGGCAAGGTCTTGGTCGTCTAATTCGCGTTCACGGCGGTCAAACCGTGCGTGGTCGGCGGCACGACGAGCCAGGTCGTCTTCTTCGACCTCGCCTCCAACAACGAATTCATCTGTAAACACAGTAAGGTCGAACTCATACCATGTCACGAGAGTGAGACGTACCCCGCGCGTACTCGTCCTCATCTTCCTCGTCCTCCTCGTCCTCGTCCACCTCGGCCTCGACATCAAGGAAACGATTCACTGCAGGACGTTTTGTTCGCTGCCCACGGGGTTAAAATAGCAAGTTTCTCGGACATGGTAGCCACACACCTTTTGCCTCTTCTTCCCTCGCTCAGCTCCCATCTCCTCTTCTTCGTCTTCTTCATCCTCGTCCTCGTCCTCGTCCTCGTCCTCGTCTTCCTCTTCATCATCGTAGTCGTGCTGTGCCGAACCACGGGGTCTCTCCTGTTCCTCCTCATGCTCCTCCTGTTCTTCAACGTCTTCGAAAACAAGGTTGTTGAGAACGGCATCTTCCTCAGCGTCGGACATCACGGCGGGAAATGAGGAGTCAATGTAATGCACAAGTCAAGTAAGTACGAGCTACTTGATTGTAGTGGCGGACCTGAGGGGGTCCACACGTGACCGTGAGAATGATCCATCCCAATGTAAATCGCTCGTCACAGCGGCACATATGCCCTTTACACTGATCTCTTGGAGAGATATAGTCTAGAAAGAGCACCTTACAGCCTGAGCTATTCACACAAGAGCCATGGACAGGCGCGAGGACATCACAGTCTCCTGTGAGCAGAACCTAATATACTCAACCCACGCGTACTCCGAATGTCCGTGTATAACCATTGACCAGCCCGTGGTTGTCCGTGGTTGTTCTTGATTTCTCCCCACAGCTGTTTTCAAACAGATACTTAGTCTTCTGTGTGCACCCTGCAATCATCTGCCGTGGCATATCGAACTCACATTTCATTAAATTGCTCTCTGCTGCCGCCTCTACTCTATATTCTGGATAATCCCCGTATCTAAGGTTCAAGGGTACGTTCTCTGTCATATCATCTTCTCAGAAGTCAGCAAATATGGTAGTGTGGTTGTATTTGCCGTCGCCACCAGGTCATGTGGGTGTCTCTCTGATATGAGGACTCAAAGCAGAATGCTACGATTGTGTTGTAAGCTAGGTACGAAGCTTCTCAAGTGTCCGCGCCAATATATGTGAGCCTCCATGAGAACTCCCTGTATCAATCTGCGCCTATTTCGCTCCATTTGATCAATCATTGCATATTGCAGCAATCGGCACTGTCAACTATGTCTGCGCTCGATGTCTTGTGGCGCTCGGCTTCAGAAGTACTAAAAGCCACGTCTCCAAGGGGAGACAGACCACAGGCATGTTCGTATCGTCACATACACAGGGCACATCATGCATCTATTCTCCACTCTATTGTTATCTCCTGCAAGCTTCTATCTATTCCTTCGTGGCTACTCCACAAAGCAGTCTACTTCATATACATTTCTCGGCTTCTCATAATGGCCTCGAGGTACCTGTGGCCCATGTTTTTTCGAACATCAAGATCTTGTGCTTGAACTCGTGGGACATGTTCCTGGACGAAGTGGCGGCTCTCCGTGATCCTCGCATATGAGTACTAAACTCAGAGGACTATGAAGCGGCTACTGTCCCTTAAAGATAGCAGTCGTTGTCTTTCTCGTTTTGCAGTGACAATGCCTTCCTTGACCCTTCCCTCCGTCCCTCGCTATGTTCCTCCCCCACTCACTAAAGAGTCATGTATGTATCTATTCTCCTTCAGCATCACTGGGTACACAACGGTTGTCATCACAGTGGAGTATGCAGACTTAGCCTTCATTGATTTCTCAAAATTGGGCACCCCTGAGGGTCGTGCCGAACTTGCAACACAAGTGCGCGATGCCCTCAGTGTGCAAGGCTTCTTCTATGTTATCAATCACGGCTTGACTCAAGCTCAGGTATGTTCCATGCTCGTCACCAAGAAAACGTTGAGCGTCTTATGTCTTGCTGTAGAACGAGCGGATTTTCGACATTGGCGATGTGCCGTTTACTCAAGTGTCGGACGAGGAGAAGCGAGCGTATCAATCAAAAATCAGAGAGACGGGATCATACCAAGGGTACAAATTCCGACAGTATTGGGTTTGTGGTCAATCCAGCGTCTCGTCATTCGGCTGTTCATGGAGATCATCGCAGGTTGACGGAGACGTCCCGGATCAAATTGAACATTATAATAGTGACGTAGAATTCTGATGTGACCAGCGGTGTGATGCTGATAGACATTTTCAGTTCACCGTGATGTCAATGTGAGACAGCACCCGAGGGCCTTGCAACCTTTTTTGCCGGAAATTCAGAGCTTTACTCACTTCAATCACTTCAACGTTCTCTATCCCATTCTTCGGTACGGCTCATGAATTGCAGCATGTCTCATACGGCTGATTACAGTGCATATAGGCTTATGGCCATGGGCATGGAGCTGCCAGAGGATGCATTTGTGAACGTTTTTGGCTGGTCAGCTGAAGGAGAAACGTGGTGTGAGTACAGGTTTAGCTCGAGTAAGCTAGAGATCATTAATTCACCAACTTCTATAGTACGTACCGTAAAATAGTACGAGGCACAATCTCTCCGGCTGTAGTACGATTAACACGCGACGCAGTTTCCCGCGCTCCGAGGAGGACGAGGTGAGGTCAAAGAACGTCTGGCTCAAGGGCCATACCGGTAAAATCACGCGGTATATTCGTCTTTTTATATAAATAACGGTGTCCATAGACTACGTGGGGATGACACTTCTGTGGAGTCAGCCTGTTGCCGCATTACAGATACTCTCGCCCGATGGCAAGTGGCGCTGGGTCAAGCATGTCGAAAACGCAATAGTAAGCGAACTGAGTATCATGAGTATCCCTAGTTACGAACTCCTGTCATCACAGGTTGTTAATGCTGGCGATGCTATGGAATTCCTCTCGGGCGGGTTCTACAAAGCGACCATCCATCGTGTCGTCCAGCCGCCTGAAGATCAACGAGGCCACACGCGCCTTGGCCTGATTTACTTCACCGTGCCTGATGAAGATGTTAAACTAGTCCCGTTCACTGAAAGCCCCGTACTTCGGAGGGCGGGCATAAAGCGGCGCTTTGAAGACGGTGATGCCCCTATGATGCGAGACTACAGGATAGGTCGCGCAAGCAACTTTTTGAAGGCGAAGTTGCAGAAAACGGGGAACGGAACTGAAGAAGGCACCATCTTGAACGGAATCACGGTAACATTCTACGATTAGGGAATTTGAAATGTCAGTTGTATCTATGCGGCCGACCCCCTTTGTATTTGTAGTTCGTGATCGTCGTGGATATTGATTCATCCGTTGATTTTCGAGTTGAATGTCTGACCACGCGTGACGCCTACTGAGGAAACTCAATGAATATTAGTGTCGAGTATGCGTATTTCTATATTCAAGAACAGTAGTGCGGTACAGACTCGCAGACGCAACCACCCTGGAGCACATATAAAGCCGAGGAGTACAGAGTAATCAATGTGCTTACACAACAAATTGGAGAGCATCGGAGGATAGCTTCATAAAATCAAGAAACGCGAGCATTCAAAGCAATAACAAAGCAAGGACGCGGGAAAGAGACAACGTGTATGGCAGGAAAGCATCGAGAAGCCCAAGAAATACAAGCATACAAAGCGATATTCGACAGCGACAACATGTGCAGGAGACAGCGTGTATGGCAGAACAGCAGCAAGAAATGACAAAGCGAGAAAAGAGAACATGAGATAATGTGTCCAGATAGAACCGACGACGGTGAGATCAAAATTGCACTTTCCTATCGGTCCCGCCTTGTACTGTCCATCCAAACTCCAAATACTAATCAGTGATCTCTCGATACTTGCACCACCGGTGCTGCAGCTAGCGAACAGCGATGGCAGAGGCAGGGTCGGTCCAAAGTGAACACAGCGCAGCTGAGCGTGCTAAGGGACGCGACGCGTGCGATTCAAGAGTGATTTGTACGCAATGCAAGCAGTGTGAGGTGCATTACGTCAAGAAGGTCGATGTAACGTGGGGAGATGCTGCCAGTATGATCCGCCTGAGCAGAGCCGAGAGCTATGGACGTTGGATATTACGGGCTGGATCCTGTCTGACGTCGAGGATCTGCGGAACGTGACATGCATGGTGGTCAGCGATTGGTGGATAGCGTGGGACGCGACACGGCGACGAGTAGGTAAAGGTGAACATCCAGAGACGATAATGCCTCGTCCGGCGAGCGTTTGACTGGATTGTTATGAAGGGGACCCGATACCGGCTCGTTGGATTTGCGTGGTGAGGGGGTAGATGGTGTATGAAGATGATGATGAACGAGGAAGATGTGGGTCTTCGTTAACAGTCAACGACAACGGCAGATTATCCCCGCTCGTCTGGCATGGCTTGGTGTGGGCAGTGGCATGCTAGAGCCGTACAAGGCAAACGCGGGTCTATCCCCCACTCAAAAAGAAGGGTGAGGGGCTAGGTGTGGCATGGCAGCTGAGGAGAGCGGAATGTAGTAACGTTGGACAAAGACGCGCTCTGGACAGCAGGAAAAGATGGGCAGACGGTTTGGAGGAAAGGCCGATTCTCGATGATGGGACCCAGAAGAGACAAGATTCAATCGCAGGAAAGAGGGTATGACACGCAGACCTTGGAAAGGGCATCTGTTCAGACATATGTTGAGATGAAAGAGTGATTCAACAAACCTTGGTGTCAATTCCTCACGATCTCAGGTGCACACACGCGCCGACCATACGGCGAGTCGATCCATCGATGCGCTTCGACGCTAAGATGAGTAGGTCAGCGTCTGTCACGTTCTTCGCCCAGGTCCAAGTACATACGTGAGAACTCCGCGTCGATGCAATTTGGGGAACCGTGATACAATCATGTCCCCGAGCTCGGCCAGGAGTGGTTCTGTGTCGTTATCGTGTACTCCCAAGTTGAATACGATTGCACTAAATATTGGGTACTTCTTCTTGCTAGACAGACTCTCGTCGACCTCCGCGCATACATGCGGTTCAAGTAAGGTCTGCAAGCGCTCCACGATGTCCATGCTTCCGGAAGCGAGTATCTTTATCGAGATCTCGAACAGTTTCTGGCACGGGACGGGTGCACAGATACGCAGTGCTGAAGCCCACGATGGCTCATCTAAAGAGAGGGATAGTTCCAGAAAATCAAGACATGTTGTGGGATAGGGCCTTCTTCAGGTCGGGGAGACCGTCGGTATTGGAGTCGCGTGCCTGCTCCGGATGTGTTGGGACCGTGAAGGGATCAGGTTCACTCTGACTGTCGACGTGAAGGCGAAGCATCTTGAGGGAGGAGCTAGCCTCGCGAAGTAGACGTGGTATACCGAGCTGGTTTATAGTAGATTATAGTAGATGGCAAGATGCCTGGGTCGTCACCTAGCACGATGTCTTCAAGCCGAGCAGCGAGGCCAGTCGCGAGAATGAAATCAATGATTTCTCCTATTCCCTGCTCATATAGACGTAGGTGTGTAAGCAGAATCTTCGGAATGCAGAATGCGTCTGCATTAAATCCACGAGCAGAGAACTTTATGTTCATGCACAACAGGACTTTGAGGCTTGGCAGGGAGCATATGAGCCGTCCGAATGATTGTACTGAGGGAAAGGTGACAATGGTCAAGCCGAGCTCCCTGACCGAGGCAAAGGCAGTGGAGAAGTGGAGGAACACCTGCGGGTGTAGAAATCTCGGATCCCATGTGAGCTTATCCAATGCCAGTTCTTCCACATTGGGTAGCTTGCCTGCGAGCATCGCTGCAGCCACCCCGACGAATCGTACGAGACCAGAGTCTGAACCGTAGAGGCATAGCACCCTCACTGCCTTCGCATGGGATGTGCTAGAGCGCACAACTCTTGCGAAATGGACGACCTGATCTCTGGAGCGCAACTTTGACTCCACCAGAAGGTGGTATCTACTCCTGAAAGACCAGGCTCTGCATATCAGAGTAAACTTCTTGAGCTCCTCCTCGTCTTCATAGAACTCGTCGATGACGTTTTCCCAGACCTCGATGGGCAGCTGTGGTAGTGGGCCATATGGCGGGCCGTACGTTCTCCCTGCAGATTCATTCTCTGAGGGGGCAGCTGGCAAGACATTAGAATCTAAGCCCTGACTGTTGTGCGTCGTTGTGAGACTACAGGAGATCGGTCTGAATATCGCGGAGATGAAATACCTGATCGGGCATTCAGTGTCCGCCATCACTCGCGCCTGCTCCGAGTATGAAGGGACCGGGTCGCAAAGAGAGGACAACTGCAGCGGAAAGCGAAAGCAATATTGCAGTGGAGAGTGTACACAGGGGGCGACGAGGAAGGTGAATCTCTGCGGCGTCGTCCTAATAAATGCGATTGAATGCGGTACCCACAAAGGCACCTCCGTCCATAAGGCCTTGAGGCACAGCACAGCACGGCTACGTGATTCTCATGTCCTGCAAGTCAGAATGAATACAGCTGTCAATGCGTTGCTTCCGACAGGCTCTGCCTTCAGCCAAATCGGGTGAGCCTAGTATGCTTCTCTACACCCACATACTACCCGAACAACTACTATCAATGCACATTGATGAGCTCCGATGCATCACATTAGACAGAATGAGTATTTTCCCAATCAACAACTACACTAAGAAGGGCGACGTCGAGCAAGGCACCCATCGATATAGGTGTCACCGGGCGTCTGGCTTGAGAGTTTTACGTCCTTCACTTTGGGAGAAATCAAACTCTATTCTAAACTTGAAGTTATCTCAGGGCCGCCCTTGTTCTGCCTTTGTACGAACAACATGTCCTGCAATGCTCATCTCAACATGTCAGGCCGTGGTCAGAAGGTGCTTCTGAATATACTAAGACACAAGTGGCATGGGCTGTCGCTAATAGCGACGCCTGTCTATATTCAATGCAAGTGAAGGCAACAACGGTTCGATGTCAAGGTTTGTAACGAGACGGAAGACGGCATTGAATGCGAGTTTTGGCTACGGGTGACACACAAGTCTTTTGTCAATGGGTCATTTGCCGGTAGCAGCATTGCATAAGGATCTACTTCCCGGGATGTAACCACCTACATCATCTGTGATATATCCTCACTTCCATCGAACAATTGTCGAAGGTCCCCAAACGGGCACGACAAAGCCTGCCACCTGTACATGCGGCGCTTGCATGTGGACAGGGGCCGTGGGACAGTCTTTTGAATAATAACACGTGTAAACAAAAAGCACCCATTTTGGCGGTTATGGATGCCAGGGAAAATGCAAGAAGTTGATGCTAATCGGCTAGTACCGTGCAGAAGGGATCGCAGAATCAGCGGCTTTGCATGGCGCAGACAGGCGTCAAGCCTAGTGGAGAACCTTTAGCATATTGGAGGCAAGTCAATAGCCTGCGAGTCTGCGAGCGCGATGTGATTGAGCAGGGGTCTGCGGAAAGCAAGGTCTAGAAGACTAAACGACTGCAAAGGCTAGAAGAGGCCGTTTTCCTGTTGTCAGGAAGGCGCCTCGAGAACCTGTCAGTCAGTCTAACAGGCGCCCTTCCTTCCTGCCGGAGGCTTGAAGGGAGTATCTATTCTTCTCTCAACAGACCGTCCCCGGCGCACTTGATGTTAACATAGGTACGTGAAGCTATTCAGTGACATCTCGGGGTAGCGGACGGCGAAATGTCGCTGGTTGTATAAAGGGGTCTCGAAGTTGCTGGCAAATATACACGATGTAGATGCAGTGTAACGCGACGTGAAATGGAGGTTGCGGCGGGTGATCACTCTTCGACAACTGCCGGTATGTCCCGAGAACGAATGCATTCGATCAGAACTCTGCAGCTCATCCGTCTAAAATGACACTGAAGCTCACCGTACGTCCAGCCTCTCGAGACTCTACAAGCACCAAGTAATCTGGATCAGCCGGGTTTAGTACTTGAGTAGTGACTCTTTGTTCTCAAGTCAGACTCGGCAACTGCAGTGTGAAATAACCGGTCAACGCATCTCAATATACTGCTTGAATGTGCCTCAAAGAATCGTTTGGAAAGCATGATTCTGATTTTATCCTCAGATAGCACGAAGCACATCCGCAGCGACAACAGCAGCTGGTGGATTGCGAGACAACAGCATTGAGGTTGACATTGCACGTGTCCTCGAGGCCTATGTATAGTCGTTCCAGTGAGTTTCCAACCGACCAAGGAAGTGCGGTATTCCCATCTCGATCACAGAGGGCATAGGAATACGGTCTGGAACTCCTAAGAAGATGTTTTGCGAGATTGGCGGTGAGCCTGGAGGAAACGAAGAAGTCGATGATGTCGCCAAGCCTGTCTCCGTTTAGCCCAGGAACGTGATGCTCATCCGAGGGTTTCGAAATGCAGCGGCACGGAAGCCATGCGCGGAGAATCGCGTGTGTAGACAAGTCAGGTAGAAGAACAGCAATGTACAGGGCGCCTATCTTGACTTCCGGCGCCGTGCACTATACATGTGTGCCTGAAGCTGAAGCGCTGATCCCCAGTCAAAAGTGCATCTGAGCGGAACGAGGCAGAACGGGGCTTGTCTCGTCCAACTGAGTAGAGCGGTGCAGATCTGAGCGATACATCCCTTATCTAGGCCCGTCACATCAAACGTCAAGCGCTGATCATCGGAACAGCGTTAGTCTAGCTTGAAGGTCGCGATGCGGCGATATCATTCACCGCCCTCTTCCTGAGCTCGGGCAGCCACTCACATCGATCGGCTCAGCTGCGCATCTCACCATCATGGCTGTCAGTCTCTTATGAGGGTGTATTTCAGTCTTCCAGGACCCTCATGTAAGTACTGTGGGATTCTGCTTGGCCCGGCATTGGCATCAGCGTCATAGGGCAGCTACAATCAACGAGCTGTCTCACTCACTTAAATATATGTTCAGATAAGCGGTGGTGGGGTACAGTATAAAAACGGGTGGGTAGTACGACCCGAACGAGGGGTGCTATGACAATGCTTTACCACGTCCAACATGCTGAGTTATGACAATACTTTACCACATGCTGACATTCACGTTCCTCTGCAATGACCTCTCGATACTAGTAGAACGTATCAGAGCTCGTGATGTACAGCATAATCAAAGTCTACCTGAAGCAAATCAGATGTACGTGTATTTCGCTTCATCATTGCTAGGCAGGCCATCTCGTCTACGCGCACGAGAGCTCATATGGCGTTCGCACTCATAGGCCCCGAACAATCTGCAGGGATGTCATTGAACCTTCAAATGGGCTGTGATTTCGAAGTGCGGTCAATTTGTTGGTGGTAGAGCTCATGACAGACAATATAGTATTTCCAGGAAAGAAAATAACACTCGTTGCGGATAGCGGTACAATTTGTGTCATCCTCGACTGCGTAAACAAGTACATTCCCACCCTTCATTGCCGGGTGGGAGACAAACACACCAGCCTGCCCGTCTGACGATGTCAGGACAATGCGAGCGAAAATGGCCATTAGAGAAGTACTTACTATGCCCCGATTTCGGGATTTCAATACCTGATAAAATCTTGATTTCAGCTACACGAGTATTGAGCTTGTGACGAAACGCACCAATTGGACGTGTCAAACTCCATGATCTGTGACGAGCGCGCCGGCGGTCACATCCTTATCCTTAGCATAACTGCCAAACAAATTGTCGGTCACCTCCTTGTCCTTGGAATAGCGTTTCGGTAGTCACTTACCTGCCGTAGTGGTCGTCCAACGTACCAGCAGTCACGTCTTCCTCGGCAGACCTGCTGTAGTGGTCGTCCAGCGTGCCAGCAGTCACTCCTTTCTCGGCAGACCTGCTGTAGTGGTCGTCCAATGTGCCGGAGGTCACATCGCTCTCAGCAGACCTGCTGTAGTGGTCGTCCAATGTGCCGGAGGTCACATCGCTCTCAGCAGACCTGCTGTAGTGGTCGTCCAATGTGCCGGAGGTCACATCGCTCTCAGCAGACCTGCTATAGTGGTCGTCGAGCGTGCCAGCGGTCACGTCGTTCTCAGCAGACCTGCTGTAGTGGTCATCCAACGTGCCAGACGTCACGTCTTTGTCTGTGCATGTAGTTATTTCAGAAATACTATGCGAATGCGTGGCATACTACCAACCAGCAGTACCAATGTCTAGGTCAAGGTCAAGGTCAGAGACATTATATACATGTAGCGAGGAAACATTACTCACTAGCATTCGGGTGAGGTACTGCTAGTGCTCCCACCGCCAGAAGAGCAATGAAGGAGGCAAGTTGCATGAACTTCATGTCGATGTCAAAACAGAGAGGGGTGGACGTTGGAACTGAAGTGCAGTAGTAAAGCGAGGAAAGTGCCCTATATATACGCAAAATATCATTTCTCACGTGCTGTGAAGCAAAAGAAGATATGTCATGACATTCTGCTCGTTCAAGATATCAGGAAAACATGCGCCTCACGAATTTGTATATCCTATCCTATGTCGCAAGATGACCGCCAGGGCGTCTTCAACTTGCGCCTGTCACGCGACGCTCAGCTGAACAGAAGTGAGCATGATTACTTTTCCTCTTACCATGCTGGAATGTGTAGTAAAGCCCGATGCATTCGGAGCACAAGGCAAGATTATTGACGGTGCGCATTCCTTCCGAAGACATTGATGGTACGTGTTCCTCGGACCTCCCGTATTGTGCTCTTGGTCATCCAACCATGATGTGCTGCAATGAGCCACTTATTGCAATAGCTCGATTCTAGAGAGTCAATGTGAATCATATCTACCATGAGCGCATATGAGTCAAACGATGTAGTACGGAACACAAGAGTTTCGTGATGATGTCGTCAGATGACAGCGGCGGTCCTTCTCTGAAGGATGATCAGATTTTCTCTTGATAGCGAAGTCAGGAAGGAACTCTCAAATCAATCACGCCTATGTCCCTGTACTGATGCAAGTATCCGACGTCTGTATATTTTACGTATTTCGGGCAAGAATAAGCAGAGGAGCAGTCAGGTGGACGTGAACGACTACTCTTTACCTGGAAACAATGTCCACCACTTTGACACATACTTGAGCCTAGCCACCCCTCCAGAAGCTCCTGCCTAAGACATCCGACTGCTGTCGGTCTCACGCACTGAGAGCAAACTCGCACGCGTCTACTCTCCGCCGCATTCCAAGATCACAGCCTAGTACTATGTACTAGCAGTCACCACGTCAGAATTACCTATTGTGTACTGCAGCACACCTCTGACTGCACTTCCCCGAGCATCGATACAGATCCTGTATGCGCAAAGATACTTTTGCTACATACTGCTGCGGGCCGCGGAGGCTGCGGTGCGGGTATCGCTCGGGGAGGCCATCAATACGGGCAGGACAGCTTTCCTGTCACCGCATCACGCCTCATGCCACTTATTTATTTTTAGATAGAGCGCGTGATGGCACCATTATAATTCTAAATGAGGTCAAGAAGGAACCCCAAAACCTATGACATCTCCGAGTCTTATGTTCTGATGCAAGTATCTCTTCGTCTATGCCATCCGAGTCTGACTTCGCTGTCAGGACATTATCAAGACCCTGACATTCAAGTCCGGAATATGTGGCCCTCATGCCTAAGCCGCATGTTCTCCAGATTGAAATTCAACGGTATTGCGCGGAATATAAATCGCGAGTGCACTGTCCATCTCCTGTTTTCACACCATTTTCTAATTCAGACCCAGGATGCGTACCACTCTCGCGTACGCTCCCGTCATGAAGGACGACGGCTCAAGGGACAGCCTACTAGAATCTTCTGAGGCTGTCCCAGTCAGCAGTACACATCTCCGCTTCCGCAAACAGACGTGGTGTTCGTTTCTACCAACAGCAATCAACCTAATCATCTTATGTCTGTCCTTCGCGTTTTTCGTCTTATCGCTGCAAGCTCCAAGTGCAGCGTCATGTACGAAGAGCTTCTCCACATTCTGTGTGTGTGATTATCTACTTCCGTTGCACTGACTCATGATCATTGCGACAATAGCGCCTGCTCTTGAAGCGGTAGAATTGTACAATGTCAAATTCAATGGCACCCTAGATCATCCCTCTGCGTTCAGAGGAGAGCCAAATCCAGAGCTCGATGCGGCTTGGGACAGAATCGCAGTGGACCGTTAGTCTCCCGAGATTTATGATTTCATCGTTTGAATGCTCATATCCACGCGCAGCGCGGCCTTTTCGGGTAACGAGTGAGATACTGGAGAAAATCGGACAGCCTGAGAGACCTTCCTCTGTGAGGTTTTCTGATGAAGACGGAGGAGGCTTCATGGCGACGATCGAGGTATCTCATCAAATCCATTGTCTGGTATGCTACAGCAACCATTCCATGACTCGTCCTCTAATGTTTGACTACTGGGTATCATAGAACATGTTGCGCAAACATACCCACCTTGATTATTATGAATCGACCGATATATCAGTTGCGGACGGCCCCGAACTATATCGGATGCACCTAGGTAGCTATGCTATCAACCAATGTCTGAGCGTAATTGATCATCAATCATCCCCTTAGATCATTGCATAGAGATGCTACGACAACTTATCTTATGCACTGCCGACACGGGTGTGATCACCTACGACTGGGTGCAAGGCTACAGCCGCCCGTATCCGAACTTCAACACATTACACACGTGCAGGAACGTGGATCGTGTACTAGAGTGGAATGATCAGCATGGGTTGCACGAACCGCTAAGCCGACTGGTTAGGCTCGACCACGAAGTGGATCTCGACATTGCACCATAGTCATTTGCAAGTAGCGTACGATGTAGTATTGTTGCGCCAGCTATGTGTATGCACTCTACGATGTTATGTAGAAATTTATTGAAAGGAAAGCACAAAGGGGGCGGCGGAGTTCATCTCATCACTCTATCACTCCTTGATCACATGTACTAAGACGTGCCGATTGACAACACACAACGAATACTTATGTCCCTACAAGAATAGTAATAAAACGTCTGCGACGCCCATTATCCCCTTCGGTTAAGTGAGACATTGAGTCGGTTTTGAAAGCGTTCGTAGAATGAACCTAGTGGACTTTAAGTCCTTGTGAGAACAATGAGATCAAACAGCATATATGTATAGTACGAGGAGGAGAATCCATTGAATGACGCACCACAAGCACGTGTCTGACGTTATGCGTACCATTGGAATGACGGATTAATCGTAGTGAGAACTCATACAACCACATTTCGAGAGTAATTGAGTCAGCGTTCAGGCTCAATATACATATGCCAGAACACATACCTAAAAAACCCTCGTGCACATGCCTTGACGAAGTTGGGACTCCTAACTGTGTACAGCGCGGAAGAGTGTTTTGTGGATCGCGACTACAATATGCCGATCTCAGGAAACGTGATGGCTGATTGAACGTTTATCACATCGCCATGCAGAGATCAAAGCCGAGACTTCACAGAGTCTGTTGTCCGAGGAATATAAGGCATCAATGCGTTACTTACCAATACTATCAAAGTGAGACGTACTCAAATTTTGAGCCTGTAGCTCTTCTGTCCATTGGGTCCACGCGTCAGCACTAATGATCGGGGCGATCACGACCTCCCGCACGTTTACATGGTCTGCATACTTGTGTATGTGGGGAAGTGCAGAGAGAACAGCCTTATCTTCCTCCAGAATGCGCACACTCTCCGACATCGCTGTATTCTCCGAGTACCAGCCAGGATCCAGCTTCGTGCACACGGACTGGAACAGATCGACGAGAGGCTTCGCAACGCCGGAGACGGCAGCGGCATGTGCATACGCACAACCGAAGGCCAGGATTGTCGGTGCACTCTGGGGGAAAAGAAGGTCGTTGTATCTAGGAACGCGATAAGGGTAGAGATTATTTTCTAGGCATCACATCAGGACGTCTTCTGCGTGACACCACACAGCCGAATAGTTTGATGCGGGAGGAGAAAGGGTTACATGCCCTTGAGCAGATCTGGGAACAGGCGGACACATAGTGCCCTGATGTCGCCTTCCGCTACTATGAAGCCATATATGTCCATCTGCCAGTGTGTGGTCCGTCAGCGAGTTGATCAATTGTCTCAGTCATACTGAATCCGCACCTCAATCTGATTGATCATGTTGTGACCAAACGTACCCTGAGCTCCAAGGCGCTCGCTTACTTCGCGGTAGTAGTGCGTCGTGAGGCGACAAACCGTCGTCTTGAAGACAGCTGCGATTGTTTTCTTCATGTCTGGGACAACATGCGACGATGTGAACTGCTCGATGACTTTGGAAGCCCAGGCGTCAAGCACGTAGGTGACAGCCATGCAGTATAGGATTGGCAGCTGTTGAGTCCTAAACGCCATGATTGGTCTCTTTTCCGCCGACTTTCCTTGTACAACACACCTGAATGAATAATCGACGCTGAGACATGCAGCGAGTTTGGCGCCAGTGATTGCGATGAGGGACAAGAAAATCTGACCGACAATGGTTCTCCAGATATACTCCATGAGGAGACCGTGGGCATCCGGCCGTGCATCGAGTGTACATCCGAGAAAGGCGCCAGGAGGGAGGTGAAGGTGATCGAAGGAGGTCATGCAAACGTCTAGAGGGGAGCTTCCACCACGCCGGGGAAAGGATCGCCAGGGAAACCCCCTTACACAGCCTGTGCTCGTCTGAGATGTGATCAAGGAAATGATGAATCCCACGATCTTCGGCTCCTACAACCAGTCGCGCAAGGATCACAGTAAATTAAGGGCGTGTGGTGATGGACACGGTCCTCGTATGGCAGGAAATCTGCACGAGTGCGGAAATCGGGATGCTTGTGGAGGGCGATGTGCATCGTGATTAGGGGGTGTGGGGGGGGGGGGGTGAGGGGTGAGTGACAACGCCAGTGAGATGGGGGCAGCTCTGTGTAGGATCTCAGAGCTCTTAAGATTCATCAAGTGCACAGAGGGCTAAGCTAGAAGCCTGCGTGTCGCAGTTCTTCGGAGTGATACAGTGATATAGCTGAATTCCAGACCAAACTTTACTTGAGCACTTGCTGACTGACAATTTGAACATGGCCACAATCGGAATTCCACAAGATTTCAGACTGATGGAGCCCCGGGCTCTCTCCGCAATCAGGTCGCACATTAATTATCCCAAGGAGGAAATATCTGTGGATAATCGTGTTAGCGCGGGCAATTGTCGTATATTAATGCAAGTGGCACACAGAGCTGAGACTCAGCAGAATAGATATTAACTTTTTGTAGGACCAGAAGACGTGGTCATGACTCGAAGATGGATATTGGAACTCACCAGCGGACTAGGATTCAGTTTTTCGCTCACGTTCGTTTGTGGTTCGCCGATGCGGTATACAACTGGCGAATGAGACGCTGAATGAACTCCAACAGAAGAATGTGCGCGTTGTGAATTGAACCATTTCGCAGTTGTGGAGTATCAAGGGGTCGACCATTGGGCCTGCTGGCTGCAGCAGTGCATTCGAAAGGACTCATGCCACACCGTTTCGTACGCGCAGCCTTTCGAGACAAGATAGGCAAAGCTTGCATTTCCAAATGGTCTGCATATAGTTTCCAAATCCAGGCTGCATACTTCGACACTAACCCCGAAAGAGGATTCTGGTGTCGGCACACTAGAGTAACCCAACCGGTCTCATGCTGGAGCGCCGGAACCTTCGAGGGGGGTGTTGTCCTTCTAGTTCGCTCTTCTACTGCATTAGATCGGAAAATCAGTAAATGGAGGGTGGGTCGCTGATTCATACTCCTCGACGAGTCAAGTAACTGTCATCTCCACGCCTATAAGCTTCCAGAGACGGTTGATCATCTCACGAGTAGCGTCTCTTATAACTCACTGTGCGTTAGTGTATTCCTTTTCATTATTATTAAGTTGAATCCAGCTTTATATCCGCTTTAGTGTATTCCTTGGAAACAGGCCATAGCCGGGATAAACCTTGAAGCTTGAAGTGTGTTCGTGAACACATAGCTATCGCTGTGGTAAACGCTCAGAGGCTAAAATGTCAACATTCGTCGCTGTGTGAGACCGGCACCGCGAACCTCTGCGCTGATGGGCCTTGACGGCAGCGCCGACCGGATAAGATATGTAAGAGCACTAGCATACAGGCACAAATGTACGACTGACCCAGACATCAAGACTTTACTGTTCCCGACACCGCTCTGGCCCTTCCGCTTGCACAAGTGCCAACCTCGTCCGTAATTGTTTCCGTTTCCTCTGCCATCACAGCCTCAGGATGCTCGTCCGCTTCTACATCCTCCGCGCGCGCTCCGTCAACAGGCTGCACGTCCTCTTCCTGATTGATCAGCTCGCGTGCCTTCGTCATCAGCTTAGATACTGTTCGCCGCTTCTTCGGCGAGGACGCGGGATCAGGCTTCGAGCGCGACTTGCGCTTCAATGGCATGGGATCGGCGGCAACCTCGATTTCGGCCTGCGATGCGATGACGTTCGTCGCTGTGCGTCTCGGCTTCGGCGCACGCTTTATCGGTGACGACGTAGGTGTCACCATGGTGGGCGCCGCTTCCCCGGATTCACCGGTAGCGCTAGGCGTGAGCTCATCCGCACCCTCTTCTGCCACGTCCGCTTTCGTCCTCTTTACGCGCGTCTTCGCCCTCGTCGCGCGCGCACCATCTTCGTCTACCTCCTCAGCGGCATCCTCTCCATCGCCCTCGTCGTCATCGGCAGCTGCGCGCCCTTTTACGCGGATGAACGGTTTCGGCGGTTTCTCCGGGCGCAGATTCGCATTAATAACGGGCTCGAGACCGTAAATGCGATATAGGTGGAACACGGCCTGTTCCTTGTCCTTTGCCTATATTCATTGGTCAGAGTTGCTTGGACGTTGGACTAAGAGACGCGGGGCAGACCTCAATCATTAGATCGACGTCGTCGCCGACGAGAACTTCGGGCAGCTCTTGGCACCGGTCAGCGTGCTTCTCCATGACGCTCTCTGCGCCCGGACGCGGCTCGCTGAGGTGCTGCTTTTGCCGGATGCCCTTCCGCGTCCATGTTGCCGCAATGCGAGGCAAGAGCTCCGGAAATGGGAGCACACTCGGCTGGCACACGCATCAGTCAGCATGCAGCCACCAGGCGTGGAGGGAACATACATTGATCCAATTGTGATGGTAATCCAGCTGTGAGAAGCGCAGAGTAAGTAACATATTGTTATGAACCCTAGCGCAACGTACCACCATGGGGATACTCAGCTCCTCGCATATAGGGAGCAGCTCGTCTGGGTTGTAACACATTTCGTCATTCTCGAGCACGAGTCGCGCCTTCATCTCATCCGTGAGCTTCGTCGTGTAATTCTCGCGGAAACGTGCGAGCGCACCGTCCTTGTCGCCGTACACGCCCTGCAGGCACAAATGCATTAGCACGGTGACATGGGACACGTCGTGACAGGGAATGAAAACGCACCCCCATGTGGATGATGATCACACTGTCCTGGTCAAGATTCATGTAGCGCATCATCTGGCAATGATCTATTGAGACAATGAACAATCAACATACTTTGCGACTGCCGCAGTACAGACACAGGCGCATATATCCGCCGGTGCCTGAGCCGAATTCTGAGACGAGACTCACAATCAAGTTCTCGCACACTTGCTTCGACGACATCCTCACGAGGCGACGCGAGTTGTGTGAACTGGCCGGGATGGGTAGTGAGTCGATGGCCGTAGTGCTTTGCTAGTGCCCCGGCAGCCTATATGCGCAAAGTTCCGAACACATCAAGCAATGGTTAGGCCTCCAGATATCATTGTGAGAGTCAAACATGTACCTTGAGCTCCTCGTGCGCGTACGTCAAGTCATACCCATGCACCTTGTGCGACGCGAACGGGAACATCTCCGAAGATACGCGGAAAAAGCGGATTTTGTTCTCCTCGTTCCACTGCATGGGATGTGTTAACATTCATGCGGCTCATAAAAGATAGACACGAGATTAAACGCACCTCAATCATTTCGAGGAGATCCGTAGCGTTCCTGCGCCCGAGGTCCTTCGCGAACTCAATGCCATTCTTACGAATCGTATCAAGTCGGCACGTGCGCGAGCAGAAAACAGGCTCTGGCTTGCGCAGACGCAAGATGGTGTTGAGACACGCGTAGCCGAGGCGACCTGAGCGACAACGAACATCAGGACAAGCAATCGGTGGTCAAATGAGCAACGGCACCTGTGAAACTGGTTTGCTTCCGTTCCACAGCGGGTATGTCATACACCACGGGCTCCGCGTCCTTCTTGCGCCGTGTACGCTTCTCCCTCGGTTTCGCCTCCGCTGATTCGTCGTCCAGCGCCGTGAGCTGTCCCTCGTTCCCATCTCCTGCGGCCAAGTTTGTGGGTTCGTCTTCGCCGTCAGTGGTGGCTTCCGTGTAGTTCACCTTCTTCTTAGTGGTTGAGCGGGCGGATGCGCGTCTGCGAGGCGATACGGTAGAACCCGCGAGACCTGGGAGCGGCTCGCTGAGGACTAGAACCGCAGCGGTTGCTGCTGCTATAGGGTATTCCATTAGAGGTACTGGGTCGGCTGATGCTATGGTTGGCTCTGCGGCTGTCAAGTTCGAAGCCTCAGGGACCTTCACGGAGCGTTTTCGCTTTGGAGGCACGACAACCACAGGAGAATTTGCAGGGCTGGCTGACGAACAATGAGAGGTGGTGGGATAAAGCGATGCACTTAGAGCGATAAATGCAGCACTGTTTCGAAGGACTAGAGAGGCTCCGACGGAAGACCTAGTCACAGCACGCGGACATAGGGAAAGAGCTGGACGGGTATGGGCCGCAAGGAACATCTGGCGAGCTGACTGTACCGCGCCGCATTATAAAAGTTCTCTCCGCGGCCGCCCCTATGGTTACCCCCCACCCGTCCGATCTGTAAGCCTCCTCCGGGCACGATCGAGCCTCCACAAAGGGTCCAACATTTTGGTAGTCTCTTGGGTGCCCTGGGAGTGTGATGAATGCACCATTGAATATGCAAGGTGTTGGAGTAGAAACTACCGTGATAAAGGAGTCTTGCAAGAGAGGACACCGAGTTTCGTACTTGCTGCAAAGCCACGAACGAGCAGTATAGGCGCCGAGTGCGATCAGATCATGTGCGCTGATGCGCCCTGAGGAGCGTGGGAAGGTCCGGTCCTGGATACGGCATGTATTTCGGCCGTGACGCAAGTGATACTTACCGTCCAGCACGGATTCAGAAGCCACATGAATCTCTTGCGCGCCCTGGAGAAGATTACATTAGAATATGCGGTCAATGTCAGGGACATTTGTTGCTACTTGTGATCTGTGCGGGATGAGGTTTGAAATTTGACCATTCGCCACACCTCTGGCTTGAAACGGCACAAAGAACGATGGGCAATCGGCGACGCAATCATGATAAGGATAATTCTATTGACCGCCTGGGTCGGGTACAGTAGGCGAGGCTACACGAACAGCGTGAGTATAGTGGATGAAGATCGCGAGAACAAAGATCACAAGGAGTGGATTAGTAGCACGTAGTGGACGTTGGCACGAGAAACCATCGGTCTGAAAAAGAGAATTACCAATGGCCACTTGTCACAAATCCTCGGTCTCCGAAGAATCCAAGAGGTCGACATTGTCCCGCACTTTTTTTATCATTTTCTGCAGAACAGTGGTCGTGAAGGGCCCGCCCCGCGGCGTGAAATATTCTTGATCCCGTAGGACGGAGAGGGCGCACTCAACCCTGTCCTTGCGAGCCCAACGATAGTAATTTTCACGGTATGGATTATCGCTCTCGAGAAGTGCCGCGGCCTCCTGGAGATGGGTTGTTTCCAGATACCCGATAAGTGCGGCGCCTCGGTATAGTAACGAGGCATTGTAACCGTCGTATTTCTTGTGCTCGAGGCGGAAGCCATCCCGAACACGGAAAACATCACTGGTAGCGTGAGAGTTCCCTTCAAAGTCCCGCGAGGTCTTCTTGACTATGAGCGCCCAGTACTTGGGATCGTCATTGGGTCGTGCCGGGTCACAGTATTGACCGATATAGACTTTGTATTGAGTAGGAGTATCCATTCTGCCGAAAACGTCTCGCGTTGAGGAGCCTGTCACTGTGGCCACGCTAGGTTAGAACTGTGGCCTGGGCGCCGTATACTGGCTATTCACCTTGGAGGACTGACTAGCAGGAACTCTCGAGTTCGCGCAGAGGCAGCTGCAGGAGAGAGAGGTGAAAGTGGTGGATGCCCTCTCTCCGTTCACCAGCCTCGCATTTATACCTACGGGTCAGCACCTTTAGTGGCTTGTAGATGTACCTTCTGAAGACAATGGTATAAGAGCGTAGGCAGCGACGTGACGTCTGTAGCTTCCACAGACGATCCTCAGTACGGCGCGCTCGGAACACGAGTGCAAGACTGAGGGTGTCGCTACACAACACAGAAACTACATATACGAAGTATGTGGTAGCTCTTCGGCCGACGCACAGCATAAGGTACGGCTGGGCAGGAACATAAACTAAGCTAAATACAGTAACTGGCATACGAGACAGTAAGCGGGAGCATACGGAATGGGAACGAGCACGCGCTCCATGCGATAGGAATAATCATACGGTCAGGGCGCGGACGGGCGCGGCGATGTACGGATTGGCATTCCAACAAATGGAACCAATGAGCATGGGTGGAAAGAGTAGCAGACATGCAAACGGTTCGGCGCAGGTGGCACAAATTCATCTCTGTTAGTGTGGCAGCGCCAGTGGGCCATGCTACGGTGAGGCCGAGAGACAGAGTCAGCGAAGAAGATCACTGTTGTTCTACGCGTGCTACACCATTTGAAGGATAACGGGCGAACATGCGTTGTAGGCGGGCTGCGAAAGTCGTTGTCAGTGTGTGTGGCTCGCCTGCTCCGAATACCCGCAGAAGACGCCGAGAGGCATGAGCACCACTGCAACGCGGTCGGATGTGGCTCGCCACAGCACTGTCCAATACTTGGGCAGGCAAACAATCGTGTATGTACAAGGAAGCGTTAGCTTCGCGAGGATTGAACAAGAGAAGAGCCTCACAACTTCGTATGCACTAATCATCGCGAGGTTTTTTCCATTCAGGTAACATTCGGGAAGGAAGTGCAATCCGTCCATGACTGGCCAACAAGATGGACCTGCACATAACCAGGATTGTAGGAATTGGATCAAAAACGCGTCGCCAGTCCTTGAATGATATGGCTTGTGTGCTGCTGTGCGTTATGAACCTTCAAGTGCATTGAGCAACTGGCAACGACCATCTCTCAAGCAGTGAGACTTGTGCTTTTTCGCACGATATCTGAGGCTCCTAGCATGACATCTCCTGTCGAAGCTTCTGGGCAAAAACGAAAGCAGCACGGAGGAGACCAAGGAGCCACAGAGATTCGCGCGCTAAACACGTAGCAAGACACCGCGCGCCCGTCCAATAGGACTGGTACAGCGTCATCGCGTGCATACTTCTTAACTTATCGCTGACTCAGAGTCACAGACACACTATATACACCTACCCGTGACGTCTTGTAGAGTATCATCAGCCACATATGATCCTGCTCACGAGCTACTACTTACCGCTATAAGGGCAAAGCCACGTACAAGTCTTCGACTCTTCGCAGGCTGGAATCCTCCATAGTGAGTTTTATGAGCTGTGGCTGATCAACACAATAATGCGTTTAATATGGAACCTGCTTATAAATGTTTGACTTGCCTGTGCCTAGCTACATATCTATCCTTGGTTTGTTAAGCCAACGAGAACTTGAAGTTTCGCGGCGCAAATTCGCGCGCAGAGATGACGAAATATATACGAATATGCTGACCTCAGGGTAACCTTAGGGTTGACATGTGGGCCCTTATACAGAGACAAGAATAGGATATTGAAAGTCCAGGGCTCTGTCTTCGTTTTGTACAGGAATGATTTGAGCGTCGAACGTAAAGCTGCTATCACACGGTTGATGAATGATTAATTGATCGACCAATAGGACACATTGAACTGGCAGCGGCCCGGGTACTAAGCGCTGATGGGCGCATCCGGCTTTGTTTTGTTCTCTCGACTGAGTCCCTACTCTGCGCTTCACAAGCTGTTGTTTAATTCGATTTCATAGCACATGGCGATAAATGTCTTCCTCTTCATACACTTACTCTAGATTTCTAGATGGTCTATCGCGGCGCTGCTGGATGCGCTCGCCCGTCAACAAAACCTAGTATCATGTCGTCATGCCTATATATGCTGTTCTCTTCTGAAACATTGATACTACCCTGTCTTCTGTTGGCTTGCATGTATCTCTGTTGTAGCTACGTCAAGGAGGGGAGGCAGCGACTGCACTGAACGGCATTGATCTTCAGTTCAGATGTTGGTGAGGATAATGTTGATGGCGGAATGGAGCCCCTTATGCTTAGGAACAAATCCGTTTAGGAAGTCATAGAAATTAATCAGCAGAGGCGTCTCCGGCAACGAGTGCCCGGGGACATGATGACAAGCTGGCGAATAGATGATGACAGGGTCTCGGGGCGGGAGACGTCGCCTAACACCTGGGACACACAGTATGGAACGGACCACACGGCATACCTCTTAGAAGGTGTGGTTCATGAAGCATGTTGCGGAGTGGATCGCAATTAACCCGAAACGGTCTGCATAGTCAGCACGCGGGACCGCAAACCACCGTCCATGCCTCCATCTACAGCACCGGACACTGCATACCACCGAATCTAAATTTGTTCAAGCAATGTAGCCTCTGTAGTCAGTGCTAGGCTTTTGGTTTTCCTGACATATCTTCGATTCCATTCAGTCCCTCTATTGCGCACGCCTTCACCTCGATGACATGTGCACAGTCATAGATGCGCAGGCCAGCGCCTTCGCCCAACAGGAGGGTGGGTATAAATACATGTCCTGTATTGCAGGTAGCAGCAGTGTTCGTCGCCCTTCACACACACGTGCACACACGGCAGTTCACTTCTCGATCGCCCACAATGTCTGACAACGACAACTCTGGCTCCGACAGCGGTGGGAGTATTTCGTTCGGTACCTCCGGAAGTATCGGTGGCAGCGCTAGCGCGGGTGCAGGGTCGACGGACAACACCAGCGGCAGCAACAGCAACGACAGCAGCAATTCTGGCGGCGACAATAACAATTCTGGCGGCAACAGTGACGACAATTCCGGCAGCGACGATAATAACAATTCCGGTGGCAACAGTAGCAATTATGGCGGCACCAATGATGGAAGTGACAACAACTGTCAGTTTTCATAGCATATATCGAATTTTAAACCTGCTGGAATGCTGATGGATCGTCCATACACAGAAATCATGAATGTTCATGAAGGAGATCTCAACTGAGACCGCGCATGCCATATATGAAGTACGTGTCTACGTATTCGAAATTATCCAGCTTTCTAATGCTCACATGCATGCTTTATTCGTGTTGTGTTATCAAGGCTAGTCATGTACTTCCAGAAGCTGAATTTGAAGAAAGATGCTGTACGGTTGCGCTCTCGTGCATTGGTGTATTCTCAATAAATTGTGTTGTCGAGCTTGAGAGCATCGATGGTCTGTGATCGTTGCGCCGTGGAATCACGAGCTCGGTTTGATTCTAACCACAACAATATGCTTGCGGTTTGTCGCAGCACGCAGTCCTTCGCGATCGGCCGCTGCACGGATGACAGTTTACAGTAACTACTCATAGCTGGGAGAGACCTCGGCCCGAGATGTCGTGTTTTGAGCAGCAGCGCTCGACATTGCGAAGCAGGAGAAGGTGGCAACCTTATTGCGTCTTTTGAGATATGGCTGTACATATTTTACCTTCAGACAACAGTGCCATATACAAAGGACTGAGAGATTTCAAACCTGTTCCAAAGACGAAGGCACTCGTCCGCACCCGTCGTAGCGTCGATCTTTGTCGACCAATAGCATTGACAGCTTTCAAACCTCTCGACATCCCACGCAACCACATAGAACAGCAGAACAGCCAGCGCTTGGAAACGCAAAGACACCCACTTAGACATCTTGCTGCGTTACATGATGGACTGGTCTAGTCTTGCGAATTTTTACTGGCTTCAAGTATCCACCCGCTCTCGACTAAGCTTACTGGTGTTCTGAGAAACCCAAGGCCGCCGCCTGAGTCACACGGATCATCTGATGGCTTGACGTCCTGGGGAAACGATTCTGTGCCGGCTGCAATATTCTAAGGACCATGTTGCCACACAAGCAGTATCCCCATAGATATGGCTCGAGTCACAACACGATGTCTCAGGAGGAATCAGGTACAGTACAGGTACAGTTGACGTGCTATAGACAGAGTTAATGGAGGAACGAACAAGCAGGATACCACTCACAGCAAATCCTATTGGGAACAGCTGAATCCAGCGCATGCTGCTAGTAGCACTGTCAGTAATGTCTGTGTGCATTGACATAATTATTACGCACCCTGTGCGACCATTTGGCACTACACCTTTGCTATCAAAGATGAACAGCGCGCCATTTTCTTATTTTGTCGTTCCCTACATGTGTAACCTCACAGGCAGCAAATATGATGTGGCATCACCACCTCTCATACTCAAATCGCCCATGAAGGCGCGTCACGATCTCCTGGTATTCCGCTTCGTCCTCCGGCGTGACGTACCCGCGGCGGATCATGAAATCGAGGATCACTGTCCGACATGGCGTGAGCACACATCACACGCAAGAGCAGCATTCTCACCCAGCGCCGTGTTGGGCTTGAACAGTCCCCGTTGCATGCGCGACACAACTTCGGCCAGGGACAGGAGCTGTGGTCGTCGTCAGAGGGAATGTCTACCGACTACGAGAACGCGCTGCTCACGTCGAACGATTCAACCTCGCCGTCGAGTGGCGTCGGCTTATATGCTTCCGGATCTGCCCCGGTGGGGATGCGGAGGTCATAGACATATCTGTGGTCATTGTGGATGATTTTTTGGGTCTGGCGAGCTCAAATGCGCGGCCTACTGGATCTCAGGTTGGAGCCATCCGGCAGTCGTTCTTCAGTGCGTTGTGTTCACAGCGGTGAGGAGGGCGCAATGAGTGTACGCGAGCAGACGCACCGGAAGAAATAGCTTATAGTGCCTGCTGCTCGCGCGTGCGTCCGGACCACGTCTTCCGCAAGGCTAGCCTCCTCCATCGACTCCTTGACGAGGCTCTCGAACGCGCCGAGCCCACACGGGATGCCTCCGGCGACGGTATTATCGAGGTAGCCCGGCCACGTCTGCTTGCTTCTGGAACGCGTCGGCACTCACATGCGGCAAGAGTCCAACGCGCCATGCCGGTCCTCGTCCTCCTCGAAGATCGACATGTGCACACCGTACGTCACTACGCCGAAGAGCGCGCACGCGGAGCGCTCCATCATAAATGCATAGTTCGCCTCGTCGTCATCGGTGTCGTCTATCTGCAGCGCATCGTGCACGCCGAACGGGTTGCGGTATACCGCGTACATCTCGTTCCGCCATTTCCGTGGGCCGATCACGTCGGGCCAGCGCCCTTCGTCCCGCCAGCGCTCACACAGCTCTTTCATGACGCGCGTGCGTGCAGACGGCCCGTGGATGTGAGACGAGAAGCCGACGACCTGCCTGCCTTCGTGTGTGGCGAACTCCCATGCTGGGACCGAGCCTTTGGCATCTTCCGCACGAAGCTGGGTTACGATTTCTGGGCGCAGGACGCCGATGGCAGGGGATGTGGGACGGGCGGTTAGACGCCAGGTGGTGAGGGACGTGCGGTCTGCATCTATGCGGTAGTTGTCGCAGGCTGCAACAATGTCCAGGAATGACTGAAAGGGAGCCATCCTTGGAGTAACTCGCTGCGGAATTGCCGAAATGGGCTTACGCTTGCTGCTTTAACCAGCGCCAATCAGGATGACGATCGACGAGGCGAGAAGCGCTCGGTTTCGACAGCTGTGGCTGGAGCATTGAGGATTCGGAGCTGCCGAAGTTTGTCCTCTACTCGATACGTGTAGCCATCTCTGTCCGGGTCCCACGCTCGAGTAAGCCTAACCGCACTGTACACCAAATCGACTACGCCGTCCAGTCAGGATGGGATTGGTGTCGGGGATCTCCGAGAAAAGCGCTGACTAAGCAGCCGCCAAAAGCATTGTGGCGCACGCTGTGGGCGGTACGCCATCGTCACTACTTCGCTGAACGTACGATATACTCGACGTAAAAATGGACAACCACATCATCCATACTCATGACGTGGCCCACACGCTCGCTGCTGAGCATCGCTCACGCGAAATGAGTATTCCTACGCTTTCGGACGACACTGCCAGTGGCAGCGAATCTTCAGGCGAAAGCTCTCCTCCCGCTACACCCATCCGTAGACTCAGCCGTGCATCATCCATCTATTTTGTTGACGATCCCGAGCATATTACCACTTGCGATGACACGAATATTACGATCATTGAAGCGGGCGCGGTCTCCTCGCCACTCGAAGACAGCATCCGCCCGCTAAAGCGGAGACGGGCGGTGGACACAAAGGCTGATGAAGTCCACGAAAAGAGACCTCTGCAACCTGACACTTGGAGCCACGCAACTAAGGCCGACTACGGAGTGTCCTTTGGTCTTGAATATACACCCGTCGGCGACTGCGGGGACGGCGAGCCAGATCCAGTGGACCTGGCATTAGAATACGTTTCCCGTTCTTTGAAACGGAAGCGATGCGCAGACACCAGGACTGTTGAAGTCAGCATGAAGAGAGCGCGGATGTCTGGCACGGCGAGAGACACGACCATGGCCGAGGACCGCACTACTTTCGGTATTGGGTACATACCCACCCACGACTGCACAAAGATCACGGTCGTCGACTCGGAATCTGTTCACGCGGTATTCCCCCGTATTGACCCATACGTTCCACTTGAAGCCACCGCTCGCCCGCCGAAGCGAATTTTGTGTGCGGACCCGACGACCGATGAGGTCCGTATCAAGAGAAGGCCGTTGTCTGACAGTCCAAGCGACGCGTCAAAGCTCAAGGATGACCATCTTTTTGGACCTCACCCTCGATGCATGATTACGGGCTGCGTGTCTGCTGAGGTGGAGGCGTGCTACATCCTGCCTCCCGACACGCCCCAACCGTTAGTGAGTATGGCGGTTACTACTTCGGCCTCGCAGCTGACAAGGCAGCTTTGTAGAACGACTGCACGACGCTTCTCGTGCCTACTGACTCTAATGCCGTCCATTGTAGCACGCCTGCAAACATCATATTCCGTGCGTGCTTGCTGATAGCCAGTCCTTTAAACCTTCTCTTACAGCCCACATGCAGTCCGACGCGACCTGCGTTTACTATGGGAAACGAACCGCCTCTTCATGATACCCCATCCCGATCATATAAATCACCCCGATACCCGCCCTGTATGTATGGTATGCCCTTCCAGGTGGTCGCCGTACTCACAGTCGAGTAGGTCTACACATACCACGTCATCGCAGAGGATGAGCACCCTCCAGACTCGGGCAAACCCAGGGATGATACCACTACATCCCCAGTTGCGACAGCTACTAGCTCGTATCGCTCGCTGGGGTGGCATGACCTGAGTGCAAATCTGCATCTGATGACAGTTCGAGTGGGTCGTGAATTCATCAAGCGACCGCTCCACTACCAGCATTTATTACCTACAGACGCTCTTGTACAGATACCCATCATCAGGCTGGTCCACTCAGATGCAGTCGAGCCGGCCTCCCTCCACATTGAACAAGAGTCGCCAGTCGAAGACATGCCCCGCCCGCCGAAGCGGAAACAGTGTCCGGACACAGAGACTAATGAAGTTCCTGCCAAGAGAGTGCGCACTGCAAGCGAGGCGTCCAAGGACCGCATTCCTTTCGGACCTCACCCGAGGTGCATGATCACTGGGTGCGTGTCTGCTGATGTAGATGCGTGTTATATACTGCCTCCCGACATGCCTCAGCTATTGGTGAGTAGGCATGACTGCTACTTTGAATTTGTGGCTGACAAGTGAATCAAAAGATTGACTACATGACATTCAACATGCGTACCGACTATGACACCTTCCTTTGTCACAAGCCTGAGAATATTATATTTCGTGCGTGGTTGATATGGTTCCCTCCGTCCTTTGAAGCCTCACCTACCGCATGCAGTTCGACGCGACCTCCGGGAACTGTGGGAAACGAACCGCTTGTTGATAATACCACATCCTCAGCATTTGAAGGATCTTGAGTATTGCACTGTATGTATCGTACGCCCTCTTGACCAATTGCGTGCTTATGGTGACACAGGTATACAAGTATTACGTCATCGCAGAGGACGAGCACCCTCCAGACTCATGCGCGACCATGGGACACCCTATCACACCTTCCGTCATGACGGCACCATGTTCATATCGCTCGCTTGGATGGCACGAGCTGGACGCCGATCTCTATTCTATGATTTTTCGAGCGGGTCGGAAATTGAGCAAGCGACCACTGCACTACCAGCAAATCTTGCAGGAGTTGCTGCCCCACAAGGAGATCAATCATGCGTACAGCATAATCTCACAGTATGTGTTGTGGACAGAACCCCTGTCTTCAGAGATGCTACCCAACAGACGGTTGTGGGCAACAGGCAAACTCTCAGCGTGTCCTGATGATTACTACCTCCGCCCCTTCACCGAATATTGCTTTCTCCCGTCGGATGACGACATATTCTACTTTCCTCGCCGACCTCGGCCGATCGTCTCAGGGATGCAGAGGAGACGTTCTGGCGATACCAGAGTGGATAGTGAGGCCTGCACCATGGAAGAAGATGCCCAGCAAGTAGCCAGAGTCCGTGAGTGGTGTCGGGATTGCGACCAAGCTCGAGATGAGTGGACGATAGGACCGCTTGCGGAACCTGAGGACCCAGAGTTGCTCGTTTATCGACAAAAGGAAGTAAGAGATGTGGTGCCTTTTGTAGAGGCACTCTGGTGGAAATCATCAAGGTATGTTCTCTGGTACATCTGCAAGTGCACGTGTAACTGACGTCGTCTTATCCGAACTAAATTACCCACAGAGACGGTGCCGGGTTTTGACATCTGGCCTTATACCTCATTCTGTTACGCTTTGCACCCGCCGCACAGGTCTTGAATATACCCAGAAAGGTCTGTTAAGGTCGACACACCATCGCGATTGGAGCCTCCGTATGTGCCACAGGCGACAATGGACTGATCCTAGCCTCTCCGCTCTTCACTGATGAGCCAGACGTGCTCCCTGGCCGTGCCTGGCGATTGCTGGCAAGGGACGGGAAGTACAGTTGTTTTGAGGAGCATTGCATTGCCTTAGTCCACTCATATTCACTATATTATCTTATGATGTCTGTAGCTCTCGGGCCATCAGCTGCATCTCGGAGTTTATTTCCGGCGGTGGCAGTGGCATGCAGCCACGTGCGTGGCGTCTATCAGGCGTCGATACATACCACCTTCCTTCCGATGAGAACATCCGGTATGTTGGATCTGTGTCCATTTATTCCGTTTACTGATGTTCGCAACACAGGGTCTTGTTATTCAATGAACGATCTCCACCAATATGGCCGAACGGAGTGCAATTGTCAGACATCAAGATCTGACCTCGTTTTTGAGCCCGAGCATCCCTAGCATGCATGACAATCGCTAGCAGCAGCATGACGTACAATGCCAACTCATTTGACAATATACCCGTATGTGCATACGGCAGCGATCTGGTGTTGGTGACTGACCGAAAAGCACTTCAGGCCCTAGTGGACTAGCCTGTGGGCATCAGCTTTCCGTATATCAATCTGCCTGTCTTCTGCGAGATGCGGCAGTCGATCTGTGGAATATGGAAACTGCAAGCATGTGTCGTCGATGCTGATCAATACTGCAAATCATCTTCCCCGACTTCCAATTCCGCTCCTACAAGCGGCAGGCTTTAAGCTTCGAAAAGAATTGTAACTCCTTTCACTGCCGTAATGACCAAGCATGGCAGCTGATACCGCCTTGCAGAAATGGTGGCCACTGATCGCGCCTTCCGTGCATTGCTGCAACATCAGAACCACATGTTGTACAATCAGGACAATCTGCTGGTGTCTCTGAGCCATGCACATGGTTCGATTCATTCTGTTGACCGCCTCAGACCCCTTCTCGTGTTATCGTCAGCAGTCGCATATACAGTTCCGTTGTAGGCGGCGGCAGAGACTAGGTAAGAGACGCATCTGTTGGGCAACACTGGCGTTTCCTGACTCAGTTCTACGGCTAGATCGTGATGTGCTGCAAGCATGGGAACATAACAACCATACGCGGCAGCTCAGCTCAACTGTGGCGCTGCATTTATATACCCGCTCTAAGACGAGCGCGACTGAGTCCGCAGCCTCTAGTCGGACCTATAGTTTGTCCTCATTGCATTGTATATGAGGGCAATGCTGTAAGTTGATTCCTTGATCACGTCATACAAGCCGCTGATCCCATCACCAAGACTGTCACCTCCATCATTTTAGCGTCCTCTCAGTCGCAAGTCCAGATCCTCGCTATGACCTAGAGGTTTGATTGATCTGGTAGTCGGACAAACAGACCATCTTTGCACGTATTCCACCAACGAGTGATGCTAGACACCATTCGGCGATTGGTCTATTGACGAAGGGCCTGGTGGTACTGCTGCATACAGACATCGGACCACTGCACGATCGTCGAGGAAAATCCACGCGTCCCTGCACGACCAGGTGATCGCTTTATACCCACCGCTTCCTCGCTACAGAGGCTGAATGACAGCATCGCCGCGCTCTCTTGCTCGACCTCGCACTTCAAATAGCTCTCGTACTGGGCGCCCGAATGGCTCAAGAGCAATCCAAGTGAGTCGGCCGCGCGGTCCACGTGCTGACATTGCCGCCTCGACGCTACCATGGAGGATCGGCGCGACTCGCACTGAGCACCGATGATACAACTGCCCCGTATGTGAGCCGACTTTCTCGAGCTGCCGTTATTTAGCCTTCTGTAGAATCCCCCCACCTGTCTATGCTGGACTAGACACGAGACATGTACCCACCCGGTTTTCCCTCAGGAATAGTGCGATACGCTTGAAAGACGCGCTCGCTTCACGATACCTCATGCATCATGCCGTGCTCAATCTTCCTAATCGCTATCCTTGGTCCACGCACTGCACATAGAGCCCCCATTCAGCGACGCTGGTGCTCTCGTTCTCGTCGATTCCTCGAACCCGGGGATGTTTTCCTTCGTTCACGCGTTAGCAGCTATGCATGCACTACTCAATTTCCTCCTTGCGAAATTGAAGGGACGATGTTCTGACACACCAGCATGGGTCCTTGAGGAGCGTGGCTCTACATGTGACTAGAGCAATCAGCCTATCTGTTCTTCGCAAACAGAGGAGGGTCACGGAATGTTATGCTTGTGAATGTTTCATCACTGTTACGACAGTGTCATCTTATCGGCACCTGAGGGCTCGTTGTGATTGTGCTTTGGACCCAAGACTCGGCGCATGCGGTGGCAGCACAAGAGTGGAGGTCCAACTATAAGAAGGCTTACAATGAGGCTGAGCATGAGTGTCATGGCTAGTACGCGACTGTGAAGTCAGTGAACGAATGGCTCCTTAGATGTTCACGCGTCAATGAAAAAGCACAGCTAATTAGTGGTCTATTCATGCAACAAAATGCTGCTCAAGATAGCAGTGCCGCGCAACATCGTAAGGGAACGGCAGGATTACGTTAGCTCACATATGGAATCACACTGTGCAGTCAACGGCTATCTGCAGGACGAACTCACTTGCTAATGCCAGCAACGTCGACTAATTGCCAGCCTTTCTGCCCATATCCAGTGGGATCCAGCACACGGTGGGCTCGTATGCTCCGGGTCTCCCGGAGTATTGACAGTCTCTAGAACAGTCTCCAAAGAGCACGAGTTGCGTGTCGAAGAGTTAGCATCTCGTCTTGCGCGGTTGGGATCGTCATCACAAGCTAAGGGGCCAAAGACCTGGCAAGGATAAGCTCACTCAAGCCTACGAATATTGAGATCGGGCGAGGTCGCTCATACACAATTCTGGCCTGACGCTACGAGGAAGAGGCAGCAAAAGCGAGCATAAATACTAGTTCATTGTGGCCTCAATCTTCCTGGCAAAAGGGTAGTAGATTGCACAAGACATGTTGGTAGCGGAACGGCCGCTTGATGAATCTCCTCGGAACATCATAAGACGGGGATTGGTGCTCATACGGGCGATCAGGAGAGTTGAAGGACAGGCACTATCTCAGGCAGCCAGCGGCAATAATCAAGATCACGATCGACGATGCAAGAAGCGGCAGTGGTTCACAGCGATAAAGGCCTAGCTCCCCCCTTACGCCGATGTGCAGCCCTCTGTGTCCGGGGTTTACATTAAAACAACTGTTCTCTATAAATATAAACGCCCTCCTGCGGCTATCCACTGAAGCTTACTATGCGCCAGCGCGCGGGCGTAGTAACAGACCGCGTTATGTGCTATGTCCACGCCTGGTGATAGCACCTGCTGCAGCGCACCCCACCCGCACGGCCGACCCACAGGACCATATATATATCACAATGACCAGCACTCTGCAGCCCTCAAAACCGCCACCGCTCTCGCCGAGTGCTCGTTCATCCTACACCCTCACACGAAGCCAAAACGAAGCTAACATGTCCCGCCCCTCGCGCTTCTGGGCCCCCGCACCCCCACCCGCGACCAAGCTCGGCCGCCACCGCCGACTCGCGCCCCTCGCCGGCATCCACGTCTCGCCCATCTGCCTCGGCGCTATGAGCATCGGCGACCAGTGGGGCCAGTACGGCATGGGCAAGATGGACAAGGACCGCAGCTTCCGCCTGCTGGACGCGTTCTACGCCGCGGGTGGCAACTTTGTCGACACTGCGAACGCGTACCAGGATGAGACGTCCGAGCGATTCCTCGGCGAGTGGATGGCCGCGCGCGGCGTGCGCGATCAGATGGTCGTTGCGACGAAGGTGCGTGGGTGTGCTGCATACTGGGCCGGGAGCGCGTTGTGCTGATGTGCGCGCGCGGAGAGCCAGTATTCGACGAACTACAAGCGCGCGGCGGACCTCCCGCAAAAGTCGACGTACGTCGGCAACAACATGAAGTCGCTCTACCTCTCCGTCGAGGCCTCGCTCGCGAAGCTGCAGACGGACTATATCGACATTCTCTACTTGCACTGGGTACGCTCGTCCGTTGCGTTGCGCGCCGTCGCTCACGGCCTGACCACGCGCCTGCAGTGGGACTGGGAATGCAGCATCGAGGAGGTCATGAATGGCCTGCACCATCTCATCGCACAGAGGAAGGTGCTGTACCTCGTACGCATTCTTTTGGCGGGAGGCGATGGCACGGCAGCGGCAGCTCACACCGTGCAAGGGAGTCTCCGACACGCCCGCGTAGGTGGTCGCAAAAGCCAACACGTACGCGCGCCCCACGGGCAAGATGCCCTTCGTGGTTTAACAGGGCGCGTGGCGCATCCTGCAGCGCAAATTTGAGCGCGAGATCATTCTCATGGCGCGTGAGGAAGGTCCGTCGTGCGCATGCGCGTCAGAGAGTGCAGGCCGCTGACCGTGTGTGCGCTAGGGATGGCGCTCGCGCCGTGCAACGTCCTTGCGGCAGGCAGGATCCGTACGGATGAAGAGGAGGAGCGGCGGCGTGAGACGGGCGAGCTGGGTGTGTGATTGATTGCTAGTCTCTAGCGGTGCACGTGCTGAGTGCCAGTCTGCAAACAGGCCGCAGGACCGCCTCAAACGAGTGGGAGCGCACTCCTGATCAGAGAAGGGTGTGCCAGGCGCTGGAGAAGGTCGCCCAGGAGGTGGGCGCGCTGAGCATCACGTCCGGCGTGTATTTTTCACAGGCTCCCTGCAGCAGCGACTGACGAGGCTGTCTTTTTGCACTCGCATGCAGTGGCGATCGCGTACGTGATGCAGAAGACGCCGTACGTGTTCCCAATCGTCGGCGGGCGCAAGGTCGAGCACCTGATGGACAACATTGCCGCGCTGGACATCGCGCTGAGCCCCGCGCAGATCGCGCACCTCGAGGATGTGCTCCCGTTTGACGTCGGCTTCCCCACCTCGATGATTGTCAGTGCCTTCGACGCGCGTTCTGGGTGTCCACCGGGTTCCGGGGTGACAAGTAGGTGCAGGGGGACGGCCCGGAGTTCATCGCCATGTACAAGGCGTCGGGCCACTTTGACAAGTGGCCGACCCAGCAGGCGATCCGCCCGGAGGAGTAGTAAGGAGGGAAGATGTACTTTGTGTCATGCCGCTACAGGATGAAAGACGCATCTGTGGATATTATTAGACACGCTAGTCGGCATCTGCGCCGCGGTGCTGCAGTGTGTTCGTTGACGGTTGTTGGATGCCCGTGAAAACGGTAGGCTACGCAGAATGAAACGAAAGAAAGAGTGCATGACGGTAACGATCTGACAGCATCCATATATGCGCATCATGCGATCGCGACGATGTACAAGACCAAAAATGGGACGCAAGGTTCGATATAACAGTGAAGACGTGTGCGACGTTCGCTCGTGCGTGCTAGGATAGTTCACAGTACGGAATCTGAGCAGATTTCAGCTCAGATTCAGCGCCGGAATACATTCGTGGGCCATCCTAATGATCAACAAAAGCAACTCACCTGGCACGCGCGACGTTGCCTGCACTCCACCCACGCCGTCTTCGCAAGCGGTATATAGAGCAAAATGGTATGTGTTATGTGATCAAACAACGTCTACATCCGGAGAGACAGAGGAAAGGAGAATGAGTCGCGCCTCAAATGCATATGGCACACTGCGCATTTTTGCCGCGGTTTGAAGTTGTCTTCACCCGGTGCGATTTCCTCTACCCAATGAACGCATAGCCGTGCGGTTCTCTATATCCGCCTTTTGATTCTCTAGCCTCTGGGGCTTGAGAGATCTATACAGAATCCTTATATCTCTCTTGATTCTGGGGATTGTGACGATGGTGAGGAGAGTGAGACGGAACCGTCGGTGAGATGTCGTTGCCTAGACGTCTTGTTCATGTGAGAACGACGCCGGAAAGACCGCCGGCAGCCAACGTCCTCGATGGACAGGGATCAATGGTGGATAAGGTTACAAAGCGATGGGGCTACCTACGGCGCGCAACGCCTACATAAGTCCTATTCCCACACCGGTGCACGACCACGTGACCCGGGCCGGCAGCGACGCTTGCCCGACATACCCAAAGTCAACAGTTCAGACTGCGGGAAGGAGGCTGAGCGCTGGAGCAATGGACGTGCGTACAGGACACGGTGCACGTGACCGTGTCTAGCGGCATGGAGTGACGTCGCTGAGGCGGCTGCACGTTGCTCGAGTTCCGAGGCCGGTGGATCGGTCAATCCATGTGAGCGGACGACTCCCACCGAGGCCACAGAACACGGCCCCCCAGACTACAGACTAGCGGCTTACAAACGCGTCAAATATGCATTCGTGACGAGGCGCAGCTGTATATGCCGCGCGTCCTTGCCGGCCTGGACGCGACAGTGGCGGCACAGCTCTCACCTCCCAGCGCGTCCGCCGTCTTCGAGGAACATTAAAACCCCCGTGAGCAACCCAACCTGCACCTCAATTCCTCTCATCAACACTATGTCTACACAGAGCTTCTTCGTCCCGACTCCCCCGCCAAAGACAAAGCTTGGCAATCACCGCCAGCTCGCGCCCCTCGCCGGCATCCATGTCTCGCCCATCTGCCTCGGTGCCATGAGCATCGGCGACCAGTGGGCCAACATCGGCATGGGCCAGATGGACAAGGACGACAGCTTCAAGCTCCTCGACGCTTTCTATGACGCCGGCGGCAACTTTATCGACACGGCCAACAACTACCAAGACGAGACGTCCGAGCAGTTCATCGGCGAGTGGATGGAGCGACGCCAGAACCGTGACCAGATGGTCATCGCGACAAAGGTGTGCGCCCGACGCTCAATACAGTGATTCGTTTGATCGCTCACCTTCCGTTAGTACACATCGAACTTCAAGCGTGCGGCCGATCTCTCGCAGAAGACAAGCTATGTCGGAAACAACATCAAGTCGCTCCACGTCTCGGTCGAGCAGTCCCTCAAGAAACTGCGCACGGACTACATCGACATTCTTTACCTCCACTGGGTCTGTCCACTCCCTTCTGTCGTTTCCGCACTACCGCTCTGACATGTTTCCCCTTATCACAGTGGGACTGGACCTGCGGTGTCGAAGAGGTCATGAATGGCCTGCACCATCTCGTAGCACAAGGAAAAGTGCTCTACCTGGTGCGCATATCTCGTCCCTTTCCGCGCAGGTAACTTACGCATACGCACAGGGCGTCTCGGATACACCCGCATGGATCGTCTCGCGCGCAAACATGTATGCACGCCTGACGGGCAAGACGCCCTTCGTGATCTACCAGGGCGCATGGAACATCATGCAGCGCGACTTCGAGCGCGATATCATCCCCATGGCGCGCGTCGAGGGTGCGTCGCGACTTCACCGCGCCCACATATGTCTGTAGCGCTCATAACCGTGTGTATCAGGTATGGCCCTCGCGCCGTGGAACGTCCTCGCAGGCGGCAAGATCCGCACAGATGCAGAAGAGGAGCGTCGTCGCCAGACGGGCGAGAAGGGTACGTTCCCCTGTTCACAACATATCCAATCTAAACAAGGCTCACGCACGTTCTTGTCAAGGCCGCACAATCATGAGCGCCGACTGGGAGCGCACACCGGAGGAGCGCCAGGTCTGCCAAGTGCTTGAAAAGGTCGCAGCCGAAACGGGTGCAACGAGCATCACGGCGCGTACGTCCCCCCCTCCCCGCACCCGTCTAGATGCGACAGCCCATTAACTTGACCCTTTCTACGCAGTGGCGCTCGCGTACGTGATGCAGAAGACGCCGTACGTGTTCCCAATCGTCGGTGGGCGCAAGGTCGAGCACCTGATGGACAACATCGGCGCGCTGGACATCGCGCTCACGCCGGAGCAGATTGCGGAGCTCGAGGCCGTTAAGCAGTTCGCGAAAGGCTTTCCGCACGATATGGTGGTGCGTGTTCTTTTTTGTTCTGATTGTGTAAGGCACAAGCTAAGGTTGGTTGCGCGACGGCAGGGCGACGGGTTGACATACTCGCCGTTCCATTTGCTGGGGCTGAACCTCGACAAGTGGCCCTATCAGCAGGCGATCCGGCCTATGAAGCAGTGAGCGGATCCGTGGTGGAGCGTACTGTCGTTGTTGAGCGGAGAGAGTGGGGACATCTCATAGCGCACTTGTATATAAACTAAGGGTCGCACGGAACATGTCGATTCTGTCGAATATCAGAGATCGTTTGGCTCTGGGCAAAGTGCAAAGACAGCACGAAAGGCGTCAGCAAAATCCCCTCTTTACTTGTGGGACTTATGGTCTTATTTACCTGTAGAGAATAATGTAAATAAGGTCTTCTATTCATAATTATCTCTTCCTAGAAAAGTGGAGAGAATGTTCACGAGAAGTAAATAAGATATAATAAGGTAGCATAAGTATTACAAGTAAAACGGTGGATTTACTGATGCTGAAATCGATTGCAACGGACGAATGCACACTGCACAGTGCACACACCTGTGATAGTATGGTAGGTAATAGTCACCTCATTCGACCGGATAGAGTGTGTGTGTCGTTGCGCTCCGCCTTGAGCACAAATGTCCTCGGTGACCAGAACATGAAGATCACAATGCCCTGTGTAGCGCCCTCGCTTGGTTGCAGGAAAATAGAAAACCTCCAGCTGTCGCGTCTGAAGTCGCGAGCAACAATGGCGAAAGAGTCTCGGAGTAGCTCAGAATAGGGCAACTAGTCCGGTATTCGAGTCATCCCTCGGTAATACAGCTCCCAGTTGTACTTTGACCGTCGTCATTGACACTGTACGTCATTTTACAGCCCGCAAGCTTATGCACCGTGCTCTCACCTTCGGGAATTTGCAATGACTGACAGTGCTCCTGTAGTCCATGCCTTTTTTATCACACAATAGAATCGTCCGAGGCAGCTTTGCTCTAGACGACATCGGCGAGGCGTGTACCTGATCTGCCTGAACAATGGAGCACGTTGTATGGCCAGTATATAATGCGCCCTTTGATATGTGTCTTATTCCGCTTCTCTCTTTGCTTTCGTGCCTTTATACTCATTCGATGCTATCGTTCTTGTCTATGGCTTGACTGGACGACACACTCCATCTGCATCTGGCTTTTGGAAATCATGGTCTCTCTCAACTTTACTGAATTGCCGCCAGAGCTCCTCGTATCCATTTTACGCTTTATGGATGCTCAAGATCTGGCCGTCATCAAGCAAGTGAGTGCCCTGATTATGATCGTTCTCGATATCTGATTATTCCCTCGACGCTAGGTCTGCAGGATCTTCTTGCATTTAGTACAAGATACTGTTGAGCTACAATACAAGTGTAGCCTCGATCTCGCGGGCATGATCGACGAACCTGATTGCCGTCTGTCACACCCAGAGAAACTCGAGAAGTTGCGGTCTCTACAGCGAATGTGCAGCAAGCCCGCGTTGATCCAAGGAAAGTCGATTTCGCGGAAGCTCTACAATCCATATGCCGTTTCTCCGGGTCTAGTATTTGCGCAAGAGAATGAGAATGGCGGAATCGACTTCCTGCAATTTCCGTGCCCTTTGTTCGGAACGGAGGAACGAGCGTGGACGATTCATGAGGATAAATTCGATGTTCACATTTGGAGTATATGCATGGATCCTTCACAGGATCTTCTTATAGTCACAGGAAGTATCAAACCCTTTGATCACTCAAAGTACGCTATATGATCGCGTACATGTTGTGTGTTGCTTACACCACATAGCCCCTCCAATGGACAACTTCGCTTTCTCTGTCTTTCCGGAGACGGCGCGCCACACCCATTTGCCGCTCACAGTCACGTCTCAACGCAGAGCAGACCTGGAAAGAGGCTTCTCATGCAAGGCGACCTGGTGGGGCTCGAAGTTCCGGTTCATTACGGCTTCGGCAGTGAAGTCCAGATTTGGAATTGGAGAACTGGACATTGGCTTTATGTGTGTGTTCGACTCTTTCTTGTTTAGAATCCATTTCTGAGAGGTCCACTGCGAACACAGCATTTACTGTCAGAGCACGATCGGGGTTATGAATCATTCGCTTTTCTCGACACCCACTACGTCACGATGATAGATGGATGGCAAGTAGTCATTCATGAGCTTGACCCTTCAAGGGCATCTATGACCTCGTTGATGAAGAAGGACTCTCTGGTGATATACCAACTGTTAGAGAGTTCTGACACACTTGTGAGGCCGACTTGGTATCAAGTCGGTTGTGGACGCTCTTGCGGCAGTCCGCGCAGGAACACACATCAGCCATTCTACCCGTCGTCTCGGCGACAGCTCCTAATAAATTATGACACATCAATCGAGCTCGATAGACTCAGCTACACTTACTTGACCGGCGCGACAGTTCTTCCTTTGTCGATGATCCGGGGCTGGTATCGTACCGCGCAAGAGGACGGCGCACGGGGACACTTCCAAGGTAAATGGCAACCGGGATGTCTGCGGGTACCGCACCAAGGCCTTCCCAGTGCTGCAGAGGTTCAGGGTATGCACGCGATGTTCGTCAGCGTGCATAGACACGAGGATCGCTTTGATCTGCAGGCAGGTTTCATAGACTATCAAACTTCCAGAGGCAGTTCAGACCAATGGGGAATCGTCGCTCCGAACAATGAGAATACCCTTCGTCTTCCCGCGAGGCCAATATTGGTTGACGATACCGAAGGGAGGGACGGGATACGCCTTGGAGGGGACATTGTTGTCATTCCGGATCATGCAATACTGCAAGAGGTAAGATAGCATACATTCAATTGAACGTCGTGTCGTAATAATTCCTCTCCTACAGTATCAAGAGGAAGGTGGCATAGAGCGATTCTGGCAAGCCTATTATATTACTGCATCTGATGAGTGATGGCAGCTTAGGTGATGTTCATAGCAATGTTTGAATAGTGCTATTAAACGTTGTGTGTCCCACGGATGCGCACATTGGTGAAATTGCTATAGCTTCTCAAAGTCTTGAGGGAGAAGTATCAGCGATGACGGCATTTGCCGTGCAAGGGATCCGCGCCGCTTTCGTTCTATGTAGACTCTCGCTCTCTAGCAAAACGTGACGTACACTCGCGCATCCTGGCTCATGAGCCGTGCATTGAGACCGACAACTTAATCGATCAGTATAATGCTGATTGATTTGTGTGTCCCTCATTAGAGATCTCATGCAGATTTGGCAGTGATCATAGAATTCCGTGATGGAAGTACGTTTGTTTGCATCGTTAAATGAACTGATGAGGTGAATCTACTGTGCGTTTCCCCACATTTAGTGTTTAGATATGTTTGTGCTACGAGGTGAGCCATGTATAGACGTCCGTCTCCAATTCATCCCCTCTCGTACAGTCCGGCGAAGGCCCAAGGGTCCAAGCGCTGGAAACTCCAGATCGTGCTAGGATCGCACGCAATCCTCTCTAAATTTGAACACCATCTCCATGACTCAGCGATCATCCTCCGTTGTCTGGTATCAACCTACTCCTCGCTAATTGTGAGTGGCCCCTCGAATTGCTACCTTACTGTTGGTAGATAGATTGCCAATTGCTTCTCGGGTGCAATTGCAGCTTACTCCGCTCTATGCCCGCACTCAGTGCACAAATCACCGCATTCCTCTTCGGCCGATCGGTGTTAGAAGCGCGCTCCTCGGTGGTTCATGATGAACCGATACTTCTACCATCTATTCTTAGTAAGTGCTATGTAGTATTGACCTTCCCGTCACCCAGGCAAGGAATGCTAGGATCTGACCGCTTAGCGCAAGTGTGAGATGCGTACGACCTGTGGGTAAGAAGTACGCATCCTTTTCCTCTTGCAGACAGCCCCTTTGCTGACGGACAATGCTCGACAGAAGCCTATTGAGATAGAGAGTGCGTTTGAACGTCGGCCCGTTTCGAGTCATTGCATTCTCTGCGATAGCTGGGAACGATAACGATCAGGTGAAATATTGTTGAAACTGGTATGCATTTTTCGATATTCATAAGCGCTAGGACTCCATCCTGATCAGTTGTACCGAAATGAGAGGGCCACAGCTCCAGGAATCGTGAAGGCACTGTTTCAAGTCTCCGGAAAGTTGCATACTCCTCGGATGAAGATCACAGTGCACAATTCACCTTTGACAGACTTGCGGCTCGCTGTCGGATGCGCCAGCCTGCAACAGTTGAAACAGCTTCACTGTAGAGACGCGAATAGGATATCAGGGGGTTAGTGCGGATATCAGACGCAGGTTGTCTGGCTGCATAGTCCCATTGAAGTTGGCTCACAATAGGTCCAGCCGTGCAAGGTAGCTATCTGGTTTATCCGACGACTGTCAGGATACAGGGCTTGCTGGCACGCGTCGCCACACTCACACAGGTGAATGTACATGCAACCATCCGAAAGAAGATGGGTTTCAAACGCCGCATCATCTCCGGATCCATGGAGCGCTGGATATCTGCGAACAAGTATTCTCCGAGCAATGTATCCACCAGCTTGCCGCAGATGTGAGACCTCATATATAGCAGCAGAGTCTGATTGCACTTTCTCTCTGACCACCCCATTACCTTTCAGTCTCGAAGCATCATGCTCCCTACGTCGCCTGTGCGCCGAGCGTTGACCCCTGCTTCCTGCGATATTCTCCCTGCTCGCCGGCGGGCACCATCGATCCCTTCTGCCCAACGTCCGATGGCCACAGCGTCGGCCGAACTACCAATAGAAGAGCATCACGCCCCCGACTTCCACCAAATTCTAGATATCTTTGACGCTCCTGCTAGACTGGGAGAGTCAAGCAGGCTGCTCGCACGCTCTGCATCTGTTCGTCGTCCCGCACCACCTATCGATTCTTCTTCTCGTAAGGGTATCAGCAGCTCGGTACAAGCTCTGCCCGCTCCTATCACGTTCGATGGCCCAAGTCGTTATCGCGGCCCCAGAGTGACAACGACAGCACGAGGGGCGCACAGCTCGTCTGCGGTCGATAGCACATCCCCGTATTCTCTCCCAAGGCCAGAGACGTTCGATGGTCCGTCACGCCTCCGGCCATATGCTCATGCTAGTACCAGAGGTTCGTCTCAGGTACGCAACGATGCGTCTTCTACGCGTAAATATCTCGCTTATTCAAAGCTTATAGACGTTGCGATCGACGCCATCTTCGCTGCTGCTCCTGGGATTAGCTGGTGGTGTAGGTCTTGCAGGATGGAATCGTCATAACTCGGCTGATCGCGAGAGTGGATGTGTCAATTCGTAAGTGTGCATATCTTCTCGAAGACTCAAGCTTACATTCGCTGCAGATCTGCTTAAAATGATTCGGCCTGCTTTTCTACATCGCTCACGGGCACACCTTCACTCAACACCTCCGGGTTTGAGCATCAATCGGTGTAGGGTTTTGGGTTTTCAGGTTGTGATACTCGCTAGACTTGTTAGATATCATAGAGCGAGCCGCGGCGGCGGCGATAGCGGTTGGAATCCTTCCATACATTTTTATACCAAAACGGTGGCATGTACTGTATGTTTGTGGCTTTACGATGTGTAAACATTGGATGTGTGACGGGTTGAACCTGGACAAATGTCTGAGACCGAGTGTCCTGAACACAACAACTTCCTAATCCGGAATGATCATCTGGCGTTGGCAGCGCATCCAAGCTCGACGGTGAAATCTGGAGTCTCATGCTGAAACACGTGAAATGCTTGTGGTGGTGCGCACTCAAGGATCGCAGTCTAAGACAGCACGAGAAATAGGATTTGCACCAACAAATGACCAAAAAATCGCAGCAGTCTGATATATGCCACAGGACATATCGCATAATGCGTAGACCCTACGTCTGCTCTGCAACGACGACCTTCTTCCGCTCTGCTTTTGGCTTCGTCTCTCCTGCCCTGGTATGCTTTCGCCTGCGCTCCTCTTTGACCTGCCGAGCCTCCAACATGGTGCGCTTAAGCTGCGCGGCCTTGTAAACTGGTTTCGGGATGTGTCGGCTCCTACAAGGAGATGCATCAGCAAACAACAACAGAGCGAGAAACAGGGGCCTCCGTGAACTTACCGTGACACCTTCCCTACTTGCGCGTCCATCTTCCATCGCTCCTTGAGTGTGTCCCGGTACTCGATCGCGGCACGCTCACGCGCAGTGACAATGCCCAGCTTCTCTGACGCGTGTGCTTTCCATATCCGCACATTGCCATCGTCCGACCCGGACAGTACGTAGCGAGCATCAGCTGTGTAGATGGTTGACGTGACCCTGTAATCCATTGGCTCGATCTCCGTTGATTAGATGTCTCACAACGTTGGTAACGCACCTCTGCATGCGCTTGGTGTGGTACACCTCAGGCGCTGTACCGACACCTTCTTTCCATATTCGAATAGTTCGATCCCAACCACCGCTCACTAGCTCGGTGCCGGTGGGACTCCAGTCACAGCTCATTACGGCCGCGACATGTGCCTTGTATATTTGTGAAGGCGTTTTGAGGGCGCGAATATCGAACGTATATAGGTTATGGTCTTCAGAGGCAAGCAAAAGCAACGTTGGAAACGTCGGCGACCATGCAAGCGAGTTGCTACGCATCTGCGACCAACCGTAAGACCACTAGCTACAGATAGGAAAGTAATGGCCAACCTGCATGACCACCCGGCGCTCCGCCTTGCCTGTTCGTATGTCATACAACGTGAATGTCCTGTCTGAGCCTATGCTCGCGAGGACAGAGGACTCGGACAGGTTGAAGCGCACGGCTGAGATGGTTTCCGTGGAAGTCGGGAAGGTGAGGTTTGAGATGGGGGCGCTCCTACAATGCTGTTAGGATGGCAGACCGATGACGACTGCATCATAAGACTACGAACTTTGTTTCGTCCCATACCTGGACGATGTTGGAGGCAGTAGCAAAGAGCGGGTCAGACCGATGGTGATCTATCGAGCTGAAGGGTAGTACATGTTACGGTCATGAATTTTGAGCGAAGGGACAAGAAGACTTACTTAAAAGCAGTCTTTCCTGGAAAGACGCTAAGGGGTTTCTGACCCTATATGATGTTTAGTTGCATGCGCATAACAAGAATTGATGTGGTTACCGATGAGGGTCCAGCCTCGTTTTGGTCGTCATCTGATGATGACCGGATGTTCCATAGTTTGACATTGCGGTCAACGCCGCAACTCAGTAGCCTGTCACTATCTGCGAAGCAGACCCCCGACACTTTGCCTTGATGTGCACCATCCACATGCAAGACTCGGGTGCGGCGTGAGATATCGTGTAGAATCAGCCCTGAATATGAATACCGGTTATCACTTCGTCTAATACTTATACTTTCTAGGACATGAACACGTACACACCTCCGTCCCAGCTCCCACTTGCGACCATGTCAAGGCTCTCCGGTTTACGAGCCATTGTCTCCACAGCATCAACATGTCCCTCCAGTCCCGCTACGAATGGCTTCGCAAACATACGCTCCATTTTGGCTGCATTGAGAGCTCGCATACGTTCCCGCGCACGCGCAAACGGATGCATGAGGGGGTCCAAATTGCGAGAAGTTGGTGTGGGGTCTCCTGGTCGCTGAGGTAGATGCGCGGCCGGCGCGTGCTGTAGCACTGATATTTTCTGTCAAACAGTGGAGATCACACGTTTTGCTTCCAGTAAAACAATGCCAAAACTTACGACCATGGCGGGTTAGATGCAGCCGTTTTCAATTGTACTAGGAGGGGGTCGTAACTGAGCGCTGATTTGCAGTAAAATGATCGGCACGTGACTGTGAGAAGCTCCGATCTTGAACAACCTCCTGGGAAGCGCTGAGTGAGTCTAAATATCTCACTTCGACCTTTATTTTGGCGAATGTGACATATAACGGCAGGTTTATATCACGGTAGCTCTGATGTACCATGCGTGGCAGGGTCTGCCTCCTTCTGATTCCGACGAAGAGACACTGTAGAATTCTGCAAGTCAGTGTACCCTTTCGGCGCTCGTGACTGAGAGGGGCATTCAAACCCAGCATTTCGAAGGCAGTACTTCGCGATTATGACATGTACTTATGGTCAAAGCAATACAGTATGTCAACAGACGCAAATGCCTGATTAATTGTAGAGAAGTGAACACCATTGGATTCCAACAATTCGATACCAAAAGAATACAAAGTCACATATTAGAGGATACATTAGGTACGCACTTGGAACGTTACAATGAATCCACAGGACACGGAGAAAGAAAGAGAAAGACGTAGATCCGTCAAGTCAAGATCCGTCTACAGGAACAATTTTTGGTCCTGCAGGACCGTTCGGTATGGAAACATCGGACATTCCTGCATTCGATAGTCGTGGAGGATGCGACTGGCCGCCATGAGAAGGGGGAAACAATGGAGAAGAGGTCCGTATATTTACAACATTGCTTGGCTGTGTCGAGAGAGATATCCCCGCAGCACCGTTCGCGTGCTGTTCTAAGGCATGCAGGCTGGCAGACGGAGGATGGGTGGTTGACGGCTTCATCTGTCCCGGCGATGGAGGTGTGCGACCGAATGGCTTCATACTCGCTCCGTTCCTTGTTGGAGTCGTCGGGCGAACAGGCGATGATAAATGGCCCATGGAGGTGAGAGGCGGTGGCGGCGGTAGTTGAGGCACGTTCAAGGGCTGTTGGCTTGGACGAGTCGGCGAGCGCATAGGTCCGAGGAACGACTGCGGTAAACCGGAAGACACACTAGATGGGCTTTTGGTGCGAGCGGGCATGCCGTTGCTTCGCGGAGAGCCTGTTGGCAAGCCAAATTCTACGGCATGAGGAGGCGAGCCCCACGAGTTTGCATGCGGTTGAGCGTTCGGGGTCCGAGGTCGTCGAGGAATAGACACACGATGTGCACTACCCGAGGGATGGCTCGGCGGCGGGTGTCCTTGTGACGATGACGAAACAGGTCGAGGGAGTCCGTTCTCCTCGACTATACTGAAAGAACCTCGTCGGGAGGAGACGGTAGATGCCGGCGCGACTGGCGGACCATGCATGTTCCTTGGGGATCCCGGGAAAGTTGATGGCCCCGCTTGCGCAGGCGTCCCAAATGGAGTCATCAGTCTTTCGTGCGGACCAACAGGGGGCGGACCCAGAGGTTGCTTGCCGCGGTCGCGTATATCCAGCAGTGGCAGTCCGTCATTGCTTTTCCACATATGTTGGGACGGACCTGCCTGCCTCGAAGTATCCGAGGCCATCTCGATGACCTCGGCAGAAGGATGCGACCGACGAGGCTCGAGATCTCGGGGCGTGGGTGGGCTGCCCATCGAGTTTGGTCCCGCGGTGGAGGAAGTCGACAATGAGGACATGGTCGGGCCTTGTCCCCCGTTACTGAGATTACCGGGACCGTTTGGATGCTGTGGATGATGATGGTGGTGAACATGGTGATGGTGATGATGATGGTGATGCGGGCCCACATGGTGATGTGCCACTTGCCCCGGCGTACTATGGGCGTGCGGATGCGAATGCTGCTGACCTTGGTGCCGTTGTTGCGTCATCTGCGCGTTCTGTATATGATATGCACGCTCTTGGTCCCGCTCCCGCTCGAGGTCGCGCTCTCTTTCAGCTCGGTCTCGTGCACGTACCCCCTCCATGTAGCGCTCTCTCTCTCTATCACGTTCCCTCCCTTCAGCGACGCTGCTCGGTCGTCGAGGCTCCTTCATCCCTGCCGGAATGGAACCTGGTCCAGGCTGGCCGACACCAACCCATCCATTAGCTTTAGATCCTGCAAAGCCCGGGGGCATGGGTGCAGGGCCCATCCCCATCGGCATGCTAGGCCCGGAACCGTTGCTCAGCGTTTGCACTGGCACAGGTGAAATGGAACGTCTCATGAGCGGACCAGGCCCAGAAGTCGACGGCCCAGACCCGTACGCCTGTTGCATGTGTGGTCCTGGGTGCGCCGAACGCGAGTCAGGTCGATGAGCATGTACCGTGTCTGGTTCCATCGGCATCTGCGAGGGATGCAAATTCGGAAGGCTTCCTGCAGGCGCTGAATGATGATGAGAGGGCCGCGGTCCTTGGCCTGGGAAGCCTTGTATCATAGACTGAGGACCCTGGATTTGAGAGTAGTGTTGTGGATGCTGGTGAGAGAATGCAGGGGGTGGCGGCCCGAAGCGGTTCCCTTGCACGGGGCCATCAATCAACTGCATGTTGGGCATACTCGGAGGATAGTCGTAGCCAACAGGCGCACCCATTGTCGGGTTGACCATGACTTGACGATGTGGATCAAAGCCGACGGCCAGACGTCTATTCTGAACCATGAAATCTAGGTCGTGAGCAACCTCGGTCGGCGACAACGTCGTCAAGTTCGGGTACACTAGTGTGTTCGAACTTCCAAGACCCTTGTGGCGCGAGATCTGCGCATGCGATGCAGCGCTGAACGGATATGCCTTGACAATCTCACGCAAGGTCGGAGGCGAGCCTACAATGTGCGGCGGCTCAGGTATACGACGCTCTGGCAACAGGTTTGAGTGAACACATGCCAGACACGTTGGAAGTCTGCGATGACTGACCTGGCTGCGGGCGTTCCAATGCTCTACGCTCCCGCTCGAGCTTCCGCCGCTTCCTATTGGTCTCGGAGATCATTTCGGTCTGAAGATCATCCCGTTCTTGCTATATGATCGAGATACGCGATTTGCCATGACCAAACCCTGCGATCAGCTACAATCAAGGCACGTGCACAGACGCGTCGCACCTTCCACCAACTCCACGTGCAGTCCTCGTCCAATTTACGGCGCTTCGTGACATTGGCCACCTCGTAGTCGCGTCTGCGTGCGGCAAGTTCCAGCCTCTTGTCGCGTCTCTTCAACAATTCAGAATGAAGATGTAGCATCTCAGGGTGGGTGCCTGACAGTAGTCGATAGAAACGCATTGTAGGTCTTGAGATACCACAGAGTACATACCTTCAGCAACCAATGCTTCCTCCCATGCGAGATTTTCCATCTTCTCGACATAAATCCGCTCTCTGAGCATTGCGAATTTCAGCTCGATCGTGGCAAGTACGTCCAAGGCCTCCGCGCGATGAGCAGGTTGTAGATCGGACTCAAGTTCGAGCTCCAGCTCTGGCGAATCCGCCTCGACGTCTTCTGCGTCGGCACCGTCGCCTTCTCCGGGGTCTGCTGCATGCACCAGGTCTGCATCCGCATCGTTCTCTGCGTCCTGTCTAGTATCGGCCTTGCGCTTTCGTGAGGCTCTAGTCCTAGTCCTCCTCTTGTTACGTGTGGAAGTCCTGCTAGCCGTAGCTTTCGGTTCCGGCTCTCGTTCGACCTCGTTGTCGGATGGCGCATCTGCGTCTGGTGCAGGTGACGCCGAACGCGACGATGAAGGTGACCCTGATGTTCCCGACGACGATGGTGATGGAGGCTGAACTACTGCAGAGCCTGCCGTGATAGATGAACCCGCGGGTATGACAGGATTTGACGCGACAAGTGGTAGTGTCGGTACAGCGTCGTCGACGTCCATGAGGTCAGTGGTCTCATCAAGCGCCGGAAGTGCGCCGACAAACGGTGTGGTAAGGTCGTCCGCCACAGGTACGCCGGCGTCGTCGTTGTCATCCCCATCGAATTCGATAGCAGGAACGTCATCGTCGGCTGCTTCTTCGTCAGCCTCTTCATCTTCAGGGTTCTCGTCTTCCGTGAGCTCGGGAGATGTGGCGCCTTTATGCGAAGGCGCCCTCGACGGTGGGCTGCTCCCGGCGCCGTCCTGCTCGGGCTCGTCTTCTTCCTCGTCCTCATCCTCAGACTCGGCTCGTGGAGGCGACGCTGCAGGAAGATCCTCGTGATCGTCGTCACGCTCGTCCTCACCCTCGTCTTCGGCATCGCCCTCATGGTCGCTGTGCACTGTGTGCCCCTTGCGATGCGCACCCCCGCGCTGCTCCTGGTCATCATCTTCCTCCTCTTCCATTGCTGTTGCAGGACCCGCTTGTTCCTCTTCTTCCTCTTCTTCTACTAGCCGCGTCCTCCAGTCGCCTTTCTTGTTGCTCTTGTATGCCCAGTCCCACATAGGCGCAGGGACGAGTCCGCGGCTTTTGCGCCTGCTATCGCGGGAGGATGTTCGTGTCTCTGTCTTCTTCGTGCCGTTCTCGCGGCTCTCTTCTTGTTCGTCTTCCGTTAGCTCTGAGAGTTCGGAGCCGCTGTCGAGACCCGCTGGGCCACTGTGGTTTGAAGATGTTGCGTTGTGTTCTTCTGGGGGTGGTGGGGATGGCGAAGGCGAGCTCAGTGGTTCTAGGAAGGATGCCGTAGAATTAGGCATCGTTGTCGGCGGTGACGGCAGCGACAACGACGAGAAAGCGGAAGGCAAGGCGCGTACAAGCCTCCGCAATTGTGCATCCCGGACATTTTCCCGTTCAAGTGGTCAAGATAACAGATAAGTCCCATATAAGTCAATATGGCGCAGTAAACTGGTCTCTTTAAACGCGCATACAGTCACCACGATTACCGCACAATATTCCATCCGCGCTCGCCCCGCTTCACCAAAACGATATTCGCGCTTGCCATGGTCACCGCAGACAACCTGAACCTAGACTGTCTGGAGCTAATATTTGCCCATTTGTATGGAAATGACTTGGTCTCTGTCTCTCTCGTGAGCCGGTCCTTTCTGGCGGGTGTGATCCCAAGACTATACCGCACACTGGTCTTCAAGCTAAATCAAGCCAAGCGGTACCCTGCTGTAAGTCATACTGTTTTCACGCGCCACATTTTTGACAATCTTACAATGTTGCACAGATTCTGTCGCCATTTGCTGCTGTTCTTGCGCATCAGAACCTAACTAGTCATGTACGACATATCGGTATGTCGTCTTGTACACACGTCGTGTGGACCTGACTGTTCACCTTCACATAGATATCCGCACAGTGCCTATTGTCAAAGCTACCCCGAATCCAGTCTTCCTGCATGAGTGCGCTCGCACCATTGCCATCTGCCCGAACCTGATGACATTCATCTGCACGCCGAACGTCCTCCCATCCTTCCTCTTCGATCTGCAGGACAAAGAGTCTCTGCAGCATCTGCGCGTAAATGCGAGCCTTACAGAGGACCAGGCACAAAAGCTTGTGAACCTTCGCTCATTGAAGAGTATCATTCTCGATACGGGTACCCCGTATATCGCTAATCTCCTGCCGAGATGGACCACATCATTGAGTTCGACACTGCTGAGTCTAACGTTGTATGTATGTATCAGCCGTTAAATCCAGACTCCATCCGTCTGACTGTGTTTCAGGGTATGCATGATCTAAATGAGCACGTACTTGACGGTGCACTGTCAAACCTACCAAACCTCAAGGCCCTGCACGTAATCCAATGCACCAAAATCGACCATCATTCAGTGTTGTCACGAACGTCGAATGTCCCCCTTTTGGAGAGTCTTTCCTTCACGACCTGGGTGAGCGTCCTCGCTGCAGTCGCACGCGTACAGACTTATAAGTACGTCACCTCAGGAATCTCCACGCAATTTACCGAGCAGCATACAACCTCTACGTTATTTGCGGCATCTGGCCATTGATACGCATAGTAGTCTTTCACCAAACGCTACCCCAAGCTTATGGAGCTCGATCATTTCCCTTACGCGCTCATGGTCCCCCCCATTGAGCTCAATTACGTTCAAGTTGTCAGAAAAGCTACTTGTGGGCGACAGCTTCATACACGAGGTTCTCACCGCGCACGCAGCGACTTTGCGACATTTCGCCATCTTGAACGGTTCGCTGTCCCTCGAGGCAGTGCGCACAATATGCTCTAGGTGCTCATTGCTTGAGAGGTTTGCCTTCAGCATCCCCTCAAAGGACATCGTGAGTAGGCTTATACATGCACCTTTCCCTGGCCACCTTACCCACGTCGTCTGGTGTCTGTAGTTCTCCTTGGCTGTGGCCCTATCAAGGTCGAAAACTCTGCACACCCTAAGCGACGTTAGCAACCCTCACTTGACACACGGCCACAAGGTCCACGTCTCTCCGTCCAAAGTCCGTACTATCGTTGAGAACGTGCCAAGTCTGCAAAAGGTCATCACCGATGGTCGCATTTGGACGGTAAGTACCGCATAGGGAGCTATTGATTGGCACGCTAATGCATATCGCAGGTTCAGAGGAAACCTTTCCAAGTATATCAAGAGCGAAAGAGGACGCCGCCCGTCCATTGGTTTATGCCACCGTCAGGATCTAATTTCTCGTAGTTTAAGTCCTTATGCGGGTCGCTTTCCCTATTCATAGCATATTGCCGCGGTACTCACTACTACCAATCGTCTGCCTACTGTGACCTTGGATTATGAATTCACAAGCGTGACATAAACAGAGGTAACGGCTACTGTATGGTCATGTGAAGTGACTGTCACGACCATTACTGAAGCGCTGAGGCGTTGTTTGTTCTCGACGCGTACAGCATCCTGACAACATCTTTTGTTTCTTGCCCTCGTCTCTAATCGTCGCTCACTTTCTATCATGTCTGACTCTGAGGGAGATATTGACGATGAGCTCCTTGAACTTGCTGGAGCGACCGAGCGCAAGCGCAAGAAACGCCAGGCTGAGGGCTCGAAGTCCTCAAAGCGCCGTAAAGCGAGGTAGGTGGTGACTCGCGTCAATATTCGATTGGCCTCAAACATTCTCCTCTAAAGTAGTTCGGATGACGAAGACTCTGATGCAGAACAACCAGAAAGTGAGGAAGAGGATGCTGAGGCAAATCCGTACCCGCTGGAAGGGAAGTATGTGGACGAATTAGACAGACAACGGTGCGTGACCCTGGTAGATAAATTCGCGCATCTGTCATGATCAGTCTCTCAGATTACTGGAGCTTCCTGAGATTGAGCGTGAGGACATCCTTGCCGAGCGCCAGGAAGAAATGCAGCGAATACAGGATAAGCGCAATCTAGACCAGATGCTGAAGGCACAAAGTGGCCGGGGCGATGATACCGTTTCCAAAGCTGCAAAACGTATGTCACATCATGGCTTGAGGGGCTCCTTGACAACAGTATTTGGTCGCAGGGCAACATGCCCAACGAGGCGCTACAAAAGAGAAGACGCGCAAGTTGGATGAATTGAAGGCGAAGAGGAGGGCAAAAGACGAGAAGAAGCGTGTACGATTCTTTCGCCTCTATCAGGGGACTTTAGGTCTGATCCACGCAGACGAGAGGCAGCTCGCCGAAGCGGGAGATGTCCTCTTCACCTGTAGACATGGAGATGTCAGACGAAGAAGAGGAAGATGGACAGATTTCAAAGTATGAGGAACAAGAGGAGAAGGAGCGAAAATTGTACGACAGATACGACAAACCGAAGACGGACAAGGACCCTGAGGAACCTGCGACTCTCGAAGCTTTAGAGCGATGTCGGGTATCTCGAGATATGATTGCCCGGTATTGCATGGCGCCTTGGTTTGAAGAGTTCCTCAAAGGTCTGTAGTCTCTGACACTCCTGTGAGTACTTGTACATGATGCGGTGACATTAGGCGCATGGGTCCGATTCCTCATTGGCAATGAAGAGGATGGCCAGGCTGTATATCGCATTTGTGAGGTCACCGGTGAGTGAGTCCTGTCTAACCAAATTCCAGCTGTTCAAAGCCTCCAATAGGCATTGGCCAGGCACCCAGGCCTTACAAACTGAACGACAAACTGTACAACAAGGACTTTCACCTCAAGCATGGGCAGTCGTTAAAGAACTTCTTGATGGATAAGGTATCCAACTCGCCTTTCATATCGGTCAGTGGCTGTTCTGGTCTTCTATTCACCCTCGGCTAGAAAGGTGGTTATACAGAAAGAGTTTGACCGTTTGACGAGGACATGCGAGCTGGAGCGGGTCAAACTCCCTTCGAGGCTCCAGCTCGAGAAGAAAGCTGCACAGTTGGAGAAGTTCATCAAAACGCCCATGACAGAGGTTTGAGCTCGCATCTGTCGTGTGTTCATCCTCGCTGAGTGACACTTCCTCAGAGTGATATCGCTGCGATGCTCCTGGCACGCAAGAACATGATGGGTTCCCTGTCAAAGACGCAACAAACATCCACATCAATCACGATGGAGCGTTCACGGCTGGTGTCGCAACGCACGCTTGCCACGCGGCGGCAAGACTGGGCAGAGGTCAAGTTGATAGACGAGAAGTTGGCAGAGCTCGCCGCCACGGCGCCTGTCCGGGTGTCTAACGAGACACGCCAGGACATTTTAGCGAAGGTCAACGAACGCAACCGCAAGGCGAATCTCGAGGCCGTCCGCAAGGCGGAGACGGCCGAAGCCGAACGAAAACGACGCGAACGCAAGCTTCTTGCCGCGGGCGGCGGCACGCCGCGCTCGTCAACGCCTGCGGACCCCGCGGCACGGCTCAAGGCGAATCTGCTCAGTTCAAGGTCGGTCTCGTTTCACCCGCTCCGTCCATTGCTCCGTGTGCTTGATGTGTGTGGCTGGGCGTTGACGCGTCTTACTTTGATCACCGCTCTGCTGCGCACGCCACGACAGACCTGGAACACCCGGCACGCCCTTCCTGCAAGCAGACACCTCGACGCCGCGGTCGATATCACCATTACCTCCGGACGGGTCACCCAAGGCGCCCGAGGCCGCGGGCAGTTTCGAGGCGTCGATCATGCAGTCCGTGGAGATCGACCTAGGCGACTTCTAGCGTGCGTCATCGGATTTTCTCTGATCAATTGTATTCTACCATTGCGCGTATCTCTGACATCAGTGTTCACTTATTATTCAATCGATTCCTCGTTTTGGGCGGCTTGCTGTGTCGCCCACAAAAACAACATCTGATATATAAATAGCTACACTATGGAAATCAAGATGCCTTGCTGGTGCTGCCGACACCTAGCACTTTCAGCGCGCCAGCAACCTCCTCTTCGATTCCTAGTTCTATGCCTAACACTGTCGGTTGGAATGCGGTCAATGTGAGGCCGGCTGGATTTCGAATGCGCGGCTGCCAGCCTTCAGGTATGCGCTCCTCCAGTAATATGGGACGAAGGTCTTGCACCCTGCCGCCGAAGATTGTGAGGAGGGTGCCCGAGCTGCGGACGCCCGAGATATGAGTACGTCCCGGCTGAACAAAACCACAGGAACGTGATGCCTTACTTGGAACTCCCGAAGAGTTTGTGGAACGCGGAGAGCGTGAACTGTCCATTCGACTTCGCTTCTGTACGCCGTTTACCCGATATACGTGACAGGTCGGCCACGGTGAGGTTCCCGCCTGGGCCTGTCCCCGAGGCGAGGAGCTCGTTGATGAAGCGCTCGCAGGGTTCTCCTTGGTGAGGCGACTCAGACGTGTCTTCGCCTGCGGGGGCGGTGTAATTTCGGATGTATGGTCAGCTCCTATTTTGAGCCTATGTGACAAGTGAGGGTGCGTACGAGTGAGAGACGCATCGTGCTCGATGCCGTTGTGCACGCTGATGTCACTCAAGTCGAGCGTGTCGGTCCAGTAGCTCTTGCCGAGCAGGCCGGCCATGTAACTTGGCACGAAGAAGCAGAACGTGGGCGCGAAGTTGAACGTCGAACGGATGGCCGCGTTCATCTGGCGGAACGAGATGTTGCGCCCGGAGCGGGGGAGCAGGCCTGTACGGAATCAGCTCGTGCCTGCCTGCGGCAGGATCGACATGATGTGATCGCACCGTGGTTGGCGAGTGCATTCAGGCCCGGACATGCGCTCCGGCTGTCGCCCTCCTTGGGCGGGATGTATTCGGGCCAGCGTCCGCCCGCGCCGGGGCAGCCCGCAGGCACGACACGGTCTGCAGGTCGCAGCGGTGCCACCAGGTTGAACAATGTTAGCCCTAGATCCCATACCACGACGCCGAGGTTCGTCAGGATGTTGAGCAGACTCGAGATGAGCCCGACGGTCAGGCGTGTCGATGCGATGATGATGAAGGGGGGCATATCGTCGAGGATAACGGCGGTGGAAGGCACCCGCACGGCCTTCAAATACGCAGCCTTCAGATACGAGCATGGCCGCTGCCGCGGATTTGGGATAGATCCAAAAGGTCGGATTGATGAGAAGCAGCCAGCTATATCCGCATATGTCGTGCAGCATTCCGCCCCGTGATACGGAGGTCTGGGAAGTTTGCAGCTTATGGGCAAAGCTGGAAAAGAAGGCGCCTTTCGGGGCGCTATGAGCATCTGTGCCCAATGGGATCCGCCTGCTCTGGCACGAGGGCAGGCAACCTGTTTCATTGTGGGATAAGACAGTCATAACGTCGTCTCACTTGCCGCATGTTTGAACATTCAGGCCCGTTGAGCTGCCATATTGATAAGGCTAAATGACCTGATGAAGCAAGAGGTGTCGTGAATAAAAACATCAGTGACACTTACCGATGACAGCGAGTCGGAGTCGTGTTAGGCAATCTTCGTAGGATATGCACGAGGATGACGGTTCCGTAAGTAAGATCTTGAGAACCTGATTGGGTATTCGGACACTACGTAAGGCCGGTCTAGCGCGGAGGCACTGTAACGGACTCAAGTTTACCCACTGTCTGCCCATCCGACGTCGGCTCTCAGTGAAGCCCTCAAATAGTTAGTTCACGGTGTGCACTGCTCTTACAGTGTGAGAAACTGCGTACATATGGACCTTCATGCGAGCGTGACACGAGCCGTTGAATGAGATTGACTGACGCTCGGTGAGGGTACGGGTTCCTCAGACTACAGCTGTGAACCTTGAACACCAAGTCATATTTCTAGACTCGCCTGGGGCCAGCACAAGAATTATGGCTTTCAATCACATTCAATGCTTCTGCAGATCCTACCGTGCTTGCTCGACACGCTATGACGCGTGATTGAAGATTCGATGTTTGACCAGGGAAGCAACTGTCATCAGTGCTATGATTGACAGAAGACATGGTTGGCCAACTGTTGTGCGAGGACGTAGTCTGGTCACAAACTAACATCATATAACTGACTTTACTTCTGTTGCTGCGTTGGATCAGCAGCTGATTCGCAGTGGCTGCTGTGTAGAGTTATATATTGACGACAGATTGACACCTAATCTTGGTATTCAAGAAGTATGTTGATGAAATGCATGGTCAGGTACTACGAGCTCGCAAGCTCGGGCATGCTAGTAGCTAGGGGACAGAGACCCCTTTCGTAGTATATAATGATCATTCGCAATGTACGTACGCGCTCGCCGACCGTTTCCCCGTTGCTTCAACATATGTATGATTGGATTGATAGAGATGATGTAAGGCGACTTCAGATGCCTTCAAGTTAAGATTTGCGACTGATCACTGTATGTGGTCAACTGCGCAAGGTTTCCTCCGTTGCAGTGCAGTCGCTTAGTTGAATATCGGATGTTGGGATTGTGGCGAGCGCACCATTGTATTTGGCATTATTTGTGGTACCTAGCGGACTTTGCGTGAGCCCTTTCTGTACGCTCCCTACGCGTTTGATAGGCCTCAGACAATAACGATATATCTTCATTGGTCGTTCTCGGTTCAAGGTCTCAGACGAGCTTCTAACGAGAAAGGCCAATAGATGCTGATATCGCAACTCAAGGTTCCCTTTGTGAAAGGTGCACTCGTAAGTTGCATGTATGCACTGCCCGGGCTGGAATGACCTAGGCAAGGAAGAAGCTGCAATAGTACTGACAGCATGTACAATCTCCGCGATACCCCCCCCCCCTCAGCATGAATTAAGCACAATATTAACTTCTCCCACTTGACCGCTTCATTCACAAGTAAACGCGGGAATAACGGCTACAGTCAGTGCCTCGTTTTTATCATGCATGATGATAACCCGAGCCCTTGTCCCGCACATGAGGAGGCCCGCTGCACATGAGGTGCTAAATCTGCGCAGACAAGACTATACCACCTCAAAATCGACACGAGCCTGCGATGCTGCGGTGATGGAACTTCATGACTTCATGGCTGATGTGATTTAGTGATATCTCATTACTGACATTAATTTTACGCGAGGCTTTGTTTGCATATACGCTTCCAGACCCCACAGCAAGGTTCGTTGCCTTTGTCAGCTTTGGGGATTTATAACGGATACAACCACAGCCTGCAATCAAGCACCGGCATGAATGATACTACCTGCCATTCACTCATACACATCGATAACGTCAACACTGCATCTGTCAGTGAAATTGAGCATGAGCTACCAAGACAATCGTCAAAGGATGTGAGATGAACTCGCACAGTATGCGTCTCCTTGACCGCGGAAACCCTCCAAGGACGATCTTCTCCCACAGACCGACTGATGGTATCTTGTCGAACGCCTTGTACACCCTAAGCTTGAACTCGACACACTCTACACCTGCAAATTGTTCTGTAGCCAATAGTTCATCAAGCGTTTCCACCAACATGGTCTGAAACATTGGCCGGACAGAGACCAGTGACTGCTTCAGCTTGACGGAAAGCTTAATTACAATGGTCATCTGCCGCAGCGATGTGGAGGAGATGGAGGCTAACAAATGGTATATCCACCCGTAGTCGGCGCTGTCGATGGGTTCTGTCCGAACTACGAGTGCCACTAGGTTGGTACATCGAGCGAGTGTCAATGGCGGTCCTAGATACTCAGACACGCCAGTCCCCTTGCCCACGGGCGACTGCGGGCACGTGAAAGCAGCATCCAGGCTCCGTAGGTTGTCCTCTGCGCTATCGAGGAGTCGCTGGATGCCGAGAATGTGCGCATGCTGTATAGGGATGAACTCCCAATAGCCCAGTATGATGGTATGCAGCCTTGACGCAATCCCAGTGGCCAGGAGTAGATCAGTGATCGTACCCATGGAGGTCGTGTTGAGATACAATCTAGACAATGAAGAGTGTATCCACGGGTAACGCGGGGCTGCCTCTGCGATGCCGGGGTTGGTGAACTTCACGCCCCAGCATTCCAAATAGCCAAGGCGAGGAAATGCGCATATAAGACGACGGAAGGTGTGGATATTGGGGAAGGTCACAGCCTGCAGGACCAGACGAGTAACAGAGTGGAAGGTGGACAGATGCAGTGAAGTGTTCACAAACGAGGAGTCAGATATCCATTCTGCATTGCACAATGCAACCTCATCTAGGGCGAGCAGTTTCCCCGCCAAAGCTGTCGCGAACGTGGCCAGGTGTGGCACCGGTATGCGCACTTCTGGGGTGCTGCCTCCCTGGAGGATAACGCCTCTCACAGCGTGGGCGTAAAATGCGCCCATGACCATGTCTTTGTCTTTTTGCACGAGCTTCGCGAGCCGATAGACATGATGGCGCTCACGGAGGATGACGGTCCTGAGGAGATGAAAACGAGCTCGGGGATACCACGCGCGGCAGACCAGAGTACAGGCTTTGAGGGTCTCTTGGTCGTACCAAAGGTGGTCGAGTACGCGCTCCCATACTTCGATGGCAAGCGAAGGTAACACGATGCCGTGTTCCTTTGTACACGGGTTTCCTGTGCTCGACGGCAAGCCCGTTCGGGGGCTGGCTGTAAGCCAACGCGACCGTCGTCAGAGCAACAAAACCAGGGCGACGTGAGGTACTCACGGAGACAACAAAGGACTGCCGCACAGAGCCAGTACATCGCATTTAAAAGGGATGCTACGGGTCAAGGGTGACTTGGGCCAAAGTGATTGCTCGGCACAATGTAAGATACGCGACCGCGAGTGTTGTATGCAACGTGTCTTGTGATGAATGGTCAATATGGAGATACGACACATGCATCCTCCGCAAGCTCACGCACCTTTATGCTCAACAGGTCACTCATTAGTGTGAACGATATCCAAACCCGGGTACAACAGCAGTCGCCCATTTTCCACACAGTGCTTTCAAGTTTTCTTGCATAGTTGTCTAGAGGATCTGGAGCGTGCGTCAGTTACTATGATTTCAAACAAGGCCCAGGGAGAGCAGTATAGTAGGGGCTGTCGTGGAGGGAGGTATTGATCACGAATTGGAGACGTGAAGCCAGCGCTTAGTGCAGGTCGTCGGACCCAAAGTTTCGCCTGTACCTCGACTAGCTGACTTGGACTTTCCCCTGCGACGTATCTTTGTGTGCGTAAAGGAGCCGCACCTTCGCCATCTCAATGCTGGCCAAGAGCACGGACCTCGGGTGGAGTGGCGATTACTATGCTACAGATGCTATCCGTAATCTCGTCATGCGGGTATTGGCCATATATATGAAGATACATTGTGAAGACAGTGTACCGGTAGTCTGTTTTATTTACTCTATATCGTCTTCATCAGGTGAGTTTTTCGTGAATTTGCTTGACAATGAAGGTGCTAAGGTGAGAGGTCGTGATATGCTTCTGGACAAGCTGACCACTCGAACATTATTGATAGCTCCTGGAATTGTCAAGCTGTCAGTTACGTATAACCTGTCATGGTCTTGGTATGCTGGGCGGAATATCCCGACGTCTACTCGGCACGCAAAGTTGCCACACGAGGGCACCATCAAACCGTTCGCAGGGAGAACAGCTGGTAATCTAGGGCATAGACTAGCAATACAACCAGAGTGCGTCTGCTCCGCACTTCATAAGCACTCATGAGTAATGTGTAGCTCTAGTTAGCAGCAGTGACACACTGTTGATACTTACAGGTGCGCTCAATGCTAAACATTGTTGCCAACTTGCATCCTGGAGGTGCTGATAGGTGCGACCCTTCTTCGCTAGTCCGCGTTATCCTAAGGCGGCGTGGATGGACATTCACCCATAGAGTGGCGTTATAGCTGCGGGAACCTTTCCGCAGAGCAGACGTCAATGTATGCCCTAACGATGCAGTACACAGAGCAGATCTTACCCGGGACGCATGAATACGTTACCGACCGACCTGCCTTGCTATCCGTCCTCAAAGGGCGAAGCGTAAAGAATACCCTTCGCCGCTAACACATTCACATCCTCCTTCCGTGCTGTCAACTTAACTTCCGCCCCTGACCCACATTTGGCGCGCGACTTTTTCGCAGGACGTGCTGTTCGGATGACGACGACTTCATGACGAGTGTCGCTTCCTTACCCGAGATGGAAGTGCAGCGCTGCGATAGCGTGCTCTTCGCAAGAGGCTGGAGCACTCTACGAATTCGGCGCCGTATCGAGCGTGACCAGCGCGGAGGACATGGAAAACCCGTTCCTCTGCCCGTCGCAGACGGTGTTCTGAGCGAGGCATACACCTGCGCGGGGACACGGGGAGTGTCGAGCGTATGTCCGGTGGCTTGCACATACGGGTCGCCTTGTGTCTGCTGTGTGTAAGACGGCGCGAGTCGATGTGGTAGACTCGACATAAATGCAGCGCCGGTCATAGTCTGTACGGGACAGCATGCGTGGCTGGTCTCTCATCTTTCAGGTTCGAAGCGCTGTCTACATCTTGAGCAGCGAGGCTATCTGTTCCGTTGCCTGATTGGCTTACCGCCGATGTCGAACTTGGCGGCAGTTCCATAAACTGTCTCAGGCTGTCCCGCTTGCGCCATCTCCGGTGTCGCCAGCGGATGCGTGCCTTTGTGTTTACTAGGAGCGCACATCGATTGCCTTTCTCGTACTGTTCGCAACCTCTTCCAATCCGATCGACATACTCTTCCACTTGTTATAAACGTCGGTCGGCCAGTGAAGAAATGGCGAAACCAACGACTAAGCAAGGTAGTCCCAATCTGACCTCTGGATTCCCGCTCTGCTACATACGATGAAAGCATGCAGATCGCGCTGGAAGCTGCCGCTTGTCTACATGGCATCAACTTGGCCGTGCCAGGAGGCCTGACATGCTGCTCCGACATCCACTCGGGCAGCGGTCGAGCGCATAAAGGCAGACGTCTCCATTCGCACCATGAAGGCCTGCCGCATCCCCAGCCTCAGCATCCACGCCATGCTGCTGCCATTGTTCCACCCCGGTGCAGCTTCTCACTCGCGGGGAGCAGCTGCCAGTGCGTCGGCGTCAGTGCTTGCGGCTGCGCTCCGACTTCGGTGTCACTCGCGGGGGCGAACTATACGATCTACGAAGGGGACCTATTCATGCTATGCTGAGGCGACCATGCCGTCAGTGGGTTGAAGGCAGCGCATGACGGTTGGCTCTCAGGAGGCTACGTCCCCGGGGCCTCCTTGACCACCATTATACCGTCGGGGGGTACCCGCAGGAGGTCGCCGTCTCTGGGTGCTCGACGTGTTCGGCCCAGCAATGACGCGTTCGACAAGCTGCGCTTCCTCGAGCTCGCCGTCGCGCCCAACGCCCAACGCCTCGCACATCGTGCCCACCACGCTGCTCGTCACGGACGGCATGTCCGGCGTAGTCATCCCGAACGCGGTCGTCACCCATGCAGGGTGTGCAGTACACGAGCCTGCCTGATGGGCAAAGACTGGTGGTGAATTTCACGCTCCAGTCGCCGAGGACGTTCGTGCTCAATGCGGAATGCAACGTCACACACTCTATCCGGACGAATAGAGGTGATTGTAACCTACGATGCTACTTTAGGCGTGTGCATTCGTCCGTTGCGCTCGACATTGTCCCATCTTCGCGCTCCGCCCAGGACCAAACAATCACCGAACCAGATTGCTGATTCGTTTGATATTCGATCCAAACCGACGCGTTCCGCGTGACCCTTCCCCTATTTTACATGTACATACAAGTGTGCTGCGTCGCTATATGATGTCCCCACTCTCTCCGCTCGACCACGACAGTACGCCCCGCCCCGAATCCATCCACTACTTCGTAGGCCGGATCGCCTGCTGGTGGGGCCACTTGTCGAGGTTCAGCCCCATCGAATGGAACGGCGAGTATGTCAACCCGTCGCCCTGCCGTCGCGCAATCGATCTTAGCCCGCGCCCTCACACAACCAGGACAAGACATGACACGACACGTACCACCATTTCATGCGGGAAGCCCTTCGCGAACGGCTGCACAGCCTCGAGCTCCGCAATCTGCTCCGGCGTGAGCGCGATGTCGAGTGCGCCGATGTTGTCCATCAGGTGCTCGACCTTGCGCCCGCCGACGATTGGGAACACGTACGGCGTCTTCTGCATCACGTATGCGAGTGCCACTGTGCGTGAACGAGGTCAAGTCATGGGCTGTCACGTCTAAACAGGCGGAAGGGGGATGGGAGACGTACGCGCCGTGATGCTTGTCGCGCCGGTCTCGGCCGCGATCTTCTCGAGCACCTGGCATACCTTGCGCTCCTCCGGCGTGCGCTCCCAGTTCTTGTTTATGAGCGTGCGACCTTGGTGAGAGCGTGCGTGAGCCTGGGTTCATGTACGCATATCGTGAACGGGAGAACACACCCTTCTCGCCCGTCTGGCGCCGGCGCTCCTCTTCTGCATCCGTGCGGATCTTTCCGGCGCCAAGGACGTTCCATGGCGCGAGGGCCATGCCTGGTACATAAGATCATGAGCGCTGTAGACGCATGTGGGCGCGTTGGAGTTGCGACACACCCTCGACGCGCGCCATGGGAATAATTTCGCGCTCAAAGTCACGCTGCAAAATGCTCCATGCGCCCTGGTAGATCACGAAGGGCGTCTTGCCCGTCAGCCGCGCGTACATGTTTGCGCGCGAGACGATCCATGCGGGCGTGTCCGAGATACCCTGTGCTTACCAGTGAGCTGCCTGCGCGGAGGGGGGGGGGGCGAGATGTGCGTACGAGATAGAGGACTTTTCCTTGTGCTACGAGATGGTGCAGACCGTTCATGACCTCTTCGACACCACAGGTCCAGTCCCACTGCGATACAGGGAACGCGTTAGGGTAGATCCTGGAAAGATAGAGGGGAGTGGACATACCCAGTGAACGTAGAGAATGTCGATGTAGTCCGTGCGCAGCTTCTTGAGGGACTGCTCGACCGAGACGTGGAGCGACTTGATGTTGTTGCCAACATAGCTTGTCTTCTGCGGGAGATCGGCCGCACGCTTAAAGTTCGTTGAGTACTAGCAGAGGATTAGCGATGTTTGGAACCAACTTCCTGGGCATGGGGCACACCTTGGTGGCGATGACCATCTGGTCGCGGTTCTGACGGCGCTCCATCCACTCGCCGATGAACTGCTCGGAAGTCTCGTCTTGGTAGTTGTTGGCCGTGTCAATGAAGTTGCCGCCGGCATCGTAGAAAGCGTCGAGGAGCTTGAAGCTGTCGTCCTTGTCCATCTGGCCCATGCCGATGTTGGCCCACTGGTCGCCGATGCTCATGGCGCCGAGGCAGATGGGCGAGACATGGACGCCGGCGAGGGGGGAGAGCTGGCGGTGGCGGCCCAGCTTTGTCTTGAGCGGGGGAGGCGGGACGAAGAAGCTCTTTGTGGACATGGTGCCGATAAGAGGGAGTGAGGGAGCGACGAGAGGGTGGTCGCAGGGGTTATATATTGCTCGACGACGGTAGACGTCATCTGCGAATCTTGGTGGCCGCTGACAGGTATTTGGTTATGAGAGCTGTGCCGCGAGTGAGTTGTCCAGGCCGGCGGGGACGCGTCGCATATACAGCTGTGCCTCGGAGACATGGTGGGGCGTCACGTCAATCGAACACATATTGCCCGATGTCGTAAGCGGCCATGCGTGGACTGTCGGGAGTACTAGTGTAGATACGGCGGATGGGCGGCCGCGGACTGTCACCTCGCTCGTGTCGGTGGGAG